CTGGCGAGCGCATGTTGTGATGCTAGTCGATCAGGATGGTCTTCTGTAAGCACTTTTGCCTCTATCATGACAACGTGCTCCAGCAGTTTGACTGCTTCCTCGACCTGTCCATTGTCTTGATATGCCATGGCGAGCATATGTTGTGATGCTAGTCGGTTAGGATGGTCTTCTGTAAGCCTTTGTACTTCTATTGTGACAATGTGCTCTAGTATTTTGACCGCCTCCTTGACTTGTCCATTTGCTTGATATGCTATGGCGAGCTCATGTTGTGATGCTAGTCGATTAGGATGGTCTTCTGTAAGCACTTTTGCCTCTATCATGACAACATGCTCTAATAGTTCAACTGCCTCTTTAACTTGCCCATTTGCTTCATATGCTGCAGCGAGCTCATGTTGTGATGCTAGTCGGCTAGGATGGTCTTCTTTAAGCACTTTTATATGTATTGCGACAACATGCTCTAACAGTTTGATCGCCTTCTTGACTTGTCCATTTGCTAGATATACTCTAGCGAGCTCATGTTGTGATGCTAGTCGGCTAGGATGGTTTTCTTTAAGCACTTTTGTATGTATCGTGACAACACACTCTAACAGTTTGACTGCTTTTTTGACCTGTCCATTTGCGTGATATGCCACGGCGAGCAAATGCTGCAAGTATAGCTGATGTAGATTATCTTGGGCAAGGTTCTGATCCGCCCACTCGCAAGACTTTTGTAACCAGAGGACAGCATCTTTCATACGTCCATCCGTGTATAGGCACTGCCCGATCTTCCGACAGAGCTCGCTCTTTTCTTTCCCATCTTGGCATTGCCCATCACTCGCTAGGCGTGCCGCATGCGGCAGATAAACCCGCCAGATCTCACGATTAGTGTAATCGTTGGATGGAAAGACTTCCGAGAGGTGTTTTAATGCTGCTATTCTCCTCTCTGCTTCGTGGCCTGATTGACTAACCCACAGCCTTGTCGCCAAGTGGACTAGCCTATGCATGTCAAGTGTAGTGCCATCCTCTCTTCTCTCTAGAAACGAGTAGGAGCAGAGTGTGCCGATGGCTCCCATCAGCCGTGCTTCGGGGTGAGTTGTTGGTAAAATAGAGTACGGGATTGCCCTCCATTCAATGCAAGAGATAAATGCGAGGACATCTGCCGCTAATGAATCCTGTTCGACAATCTTGTTGAAGGTTACCATCCATGTTTTGGCGACTGCATTTGTCAAATTCTGGTATCGAGTCTTGTCGCCAAAATCCGTGCTCATGATAGCAATAGCATCCTGCTCTGTTTTCTGCCACAACCGCAGATACTCGGAAATAGAGGATTTGTTTGTGTTGATATAGGCTGCCGCCTGGGTAATAGCCAACGGGAGATATTCCAGCTCTGAAAGAAGATTCGTCACGATCTCAGGGTTGTAAGAAGGACTCTTTCGAACCAATGACTTATCCAACAAGTCCACTGCCTCTTGTCGCGTCATTTTCCCCATTTCAATCACATCACCGCCCGCCAGGTGTTGCGCCACGCCTCCATGTCGCGTCGTGAATATGGTCAGGCCGTCATCGCTTACTGGCAGAAAGGCCAACAAGCCCTCTTCTTGATGGCGCCCACAAAGCAAATCAAGGTCATCGGCATTGTCAACAATGAGCAACCACTTTCCTGCAGTCTTTGCGGATAGCCGTTGTCGCACAAGGACCTTCACATCTTCTGTGTTCTGCTGCCCCTGGCCTATTCCTAATGCTCTTGCTATCCCCATGCAGCCCTGCTCAAAGGTTTCCATACTCAAGGACTGTACCCAGAAGATGGAAAACTCTGGATAGTTTTCCATGACAGAGAATGCAAACTGCAGCGCAACCTGTGTCTTGCCGATTCCACCAAGGCCGCTGAGCGCCACTTTCTGGCAGTCTTTATTCACAAAGAGCTTTTGTTTCAGCGTATCGAGCTCTGCACTTCGACCGACAAACTGGCGATTTCGTAGTAAGGGGAGGTTAAAACTACGCATCGGCTCTATGGTGTGTGAGTCCAGTTGCTAAACTTCAAAGCTGCGACAACTAAACTCACCTTGTATTGCTTGGTTGACTGTCTTTGTGTTTAGTACATCTGCCGCCGGTATCACACTTAGCAGCTCCTTCGCGTACGCCGCTGCTGCTCCCGCCGCGTACGGCTGCCATCTCTTGTTCTTGTGCGAGTCAGAGTAGTCGCAGATTCCGCGGATCACAAGGCACGGGAAGGTGTTCATCAGGCCGGCAGCCTCCATCTCAAAGCAGAGAACGCCTTTGAATTCCCGACTGATCTTGTCCCGCTCTACCCCGTCTCTCATCACCTGGTTTCCCGATGCAATCGTACCATAGTGGATCATAGGGGTATTGGTCGCCCGCTCCTTCCTCTGCACCATTCTCGCAGCCGCACATGACACACAGCTATCGTTATCCCTTCTATCGTGACTGTACGCTGCTTCAAATAGCACATCGCGACCTGCTTGCTGGCGGCTAAATTTAGGGAGGCTTTCAAGCTTTGACAAGTGCGGCGACAGACTATTTCTCCCTCGGTCGTGGTTGGCTCGAAGTTTCGAAACGGCGGCGAGAAGGATGGGAGGAGGAGAGTTGAGGAAGCCCGTCCGCGTGAACCTGCCTGGCGTCGACTTTCCAAAGTCGTATTGAACCACTCCACCATGGCCGTTCCCGGGCTGACTCACAACAATGTCGCCGAGGCGAATATCTGCTTCTGTGCCTGGAACGCCGCCTCCGATGCCCACCATCAGCCCAAACCGGATGGCGGGGAACGTGCTCTTCATCTGCATGGCGACTGCCGTCGCCGAGTTGGTGCCCGTCAGCCCTGCGGGCAGACATGCAAGGACGACGTTGTGGCCGCCTATACACCCTAGCGTGTATATATTTGTATCATTGCTATTCGGCGGAAGGTCTTGGTGTTCTTCATCAAGCATCTCCTGTGCTGCGGTGAGCTCGCCTGGCAAGGCGCACACCCACCCGACTGTGTATTGGTCGCAGCTGAGGCGGCGCGCCATCTTACTCAGGTCGCAACTTGCCTGTAGGCCCAAGTATAACTAATAACCAGCTCGAAGAATTTGTCAAATTAGTTCAGTAAACATGGTTTGATGGAAGAGCTCAGATCTGTCCAGAACTTGATGATGCTCGCCAGGGTGAAGCGGGGTTCGAACGAGGAGGAGAGAACATGGCGAGCCTTGCACTCTTCCTGGGAGGCTGAAACTCAGCCTGATCAACCTGGCCACTAAGACTGCTCCTATACCCAGCTCAAGCGCTTATCTAGTCGAAGGCTGTGTACTGGTGTCTCCCAGCTGAATAATAGTCGGTTTGTGCCCAAAGATATACATCTTGAATATGTATTATTTGAGATCAGTCGTACTGATAATAAGTTCCTGGTAAGCCACTATTTTCGGGGTATATTTCACTTTCAATCTTACAGGGACTATCAAATTATTTCAGCGTTAGTGTCTCGTTAGTGAACAACTGTATTCACAAGGGTACGCTTTCGCTAGCCCCTGTACAGAGTAATACAGAGTAGATGCTGAGCGAGCTGCCTAGGATGCGAAAGAGATAAACAGGTCTTGGACGAAGCTATTCTGGAGAGAGAAAAGGCAAGCCTGATGGCGCTAGGCCTAACTAGGCGCGGTTATTGTAGCCTTATTTCTCAGGCAGAAGAATATCTTGATCTACTCCAGCGCTGTTACACACACTTTCAATGAAGAACTTACAACTATCATAGCCATTATGATATACCACTACTTCTTCTCTGTCTTGATTGCAGCTCTCGTCTCAAGAGCAGCCACTGCATCATTTGCCGAATCTTGCAGGTCCTTTTCCGTGAAACTTGCAGACAATAATACCCCCCCAGGTGGGATTGTCGAATACGTCTCTGCAGGAACAGACCTGCCCCTCCCATACAACGACCCCTCGTGCAATCGTCCAAACCAGACCGTCACGGCAGATTTGTGCCGTATTGCACTTGACGTGTCGACCTCTAATCTCTCGTCTGTGGTGTTGGAACTGTGGCTCCCCCGTAACTGGACGGGACGCTTCCTAGCGACAGGGAACGGAGGAATCGATGGATGTAAGCCTTATCATAATCTTTATCGACTGGTTTGAGAGTATCGTGTCTGTGCTCTGACATTTCAGGTATCAAATATGAGGATCTCGCGTACGGCGCTGCTCATGGCTTTGCAGTGGTAGGCTCGAACAACGGCCACAACGGGACGAGTGGCAGGGCGTTTTATCAGAACGAAGACGTCGTGATTGATTTTTCCTGGAGGGCGTACGCATTCTTTCTTCTTATTTCTTTTTTCCCAATCTGACTGAAGAAGTCTCCACACAATCGTGGAGATAGGTAAAAACCTCACCAGTCGCTTCTACGGATATCCACACCGCACATCATACTATCTCGGCTGCTCCCTTGGTGGACGCCAGGGTATCAATGCTGCTGATCGGTTCCCTGGGGACTTTGACGGGATAGTAGCAGGCAGCCCAGCGGTGGATTTCAACAACCTCGTTTCATGGCGCGCCAGCTTCTTCCCGCTCACGGGGTCCTACAACTCGTCCGAGTTCATCACCAGGGCGCAGTGGACGGGCCTCATCCACGACGAGATTCTAAGGCAGTGTGATGGGATCGATGGGGTCTGGGATGGTATCATTGAAGACCCAACACTCTGTCATTTTCACCCGGATCCCTTGGCGTGTACCACCACTGCTCATAAAGAGAACTGTTTGTCGGCCGTGCAGATCGAGACGGTTCGGCGCATCTTCAGCCCACTACTGGCTGGAGATGGGGAGCTCATCTTCCCGGCGATGCAGCCTGGTAGTGAAGACCTCGCAGTTGAGAGACTTTATGCCGGTAAACCATTCAGTTATTCGGAGGTAACACGACAATCAAACATACCCCAGCCAAGCACTTTAGAATTATCTTCTGACGTAATTAGGACTGGTTCAAGTACGTGGTATTCGATCCATCCTGGAACCCTGCATACTTCAACCTCTACGACGCCGAGACCGCAGACGCGTTGAACCCGGCAGAGATCCGCACCTGGCCGAGTGATCTGTCTGCCTTCCACGCAAGAGGTGGCAAGATGATCACGTTCCATGGCCAGCAAGACAACCAGATCACCAGCTTCAATTCTATCCGGTTTTACGACCGTCTGGCGGCTGGCGGGATGCAAACGGGCGCAGAGCAGATGGAGGCCTTCTTCCGCTTTTTCCGTATCTCAGGCATGTTTCACTGCAATACGGGACCGGGAGCCTGGGTAGTTGGACAGGGCGGGGGCGCCTCCGCTGCAGGCATCCCGTTTGCAAGGGAAAACAATGTTTTGGCTGCGCTGGTGGCGTGGGTGGAGGACGAGATTGCCCCGGACACGATTCTGGGCACGAAATTCGTCAACGACGAGGTGGGAAGGGGGATCCAAATGCAGCGCAGACATTGTCGGTGGGTGTTTCCCCCTTCTTTTATGGTGATCAAACAGAACTAGTACTAACTATAGCAGATATCCGTTACGCAATACTTATATCGGAGGAAATGCATCATTACCGGACAGTTGGATGTGTCTATAGACCAGGCTTTGGGTTCCTATATAAAAGCAGTCTCTCCCTTGGTATATTTTAGTTTTCACACACATATATATATATATTATTCTCTTCACTCCAAGCTACTGTTCTTCTTCGATGCCAAGGTCATTGGATCGAGACAAGCGTACGTTATTACTTTACTCGGATTGTTTTTGTTAAAATCTTACTAACCGCAATGATAATTGCCAGATTAGCAGATGCCCGACTATATCCACCATCGTATTTAAAACCGGTGCCTCTGTTCCTCAAAACAAGGAACCAAAAAAGCATGGAGATGTACAGGCTATCAACCCAACTACGCCTATCATACTCATACTGATGTATATCTTCTAGCCATGTCGTATGTCACCAACCGCACTCCTGCCGAAGATCTCAATTGATGCTAGATCGACTGCTGGACGTGAGGACCTATTTATATAAACCTAGCATCTGTTAAAAGCCTAAGTAAAGTGCTTTGTTAGAATGGGTATTTAAATGATTCCTCTGTGTCATCAAAAACTAGCTAATGGCAGGAATAGGGAGCTTGAAAGACGCCGTGACCGCTGGGCTGCTTATCCATGACCTGCCTACCTTCAATAATCATGTTAGTGACAGCTATCAACAGACGGGAGACAACACGCCATCTACTTCCCTGCCTGACCGTTCCCCTACAACGGACAGCTGCAGACTAGCATAATTTGAGAGGCCAATTGCTGTCCCTAGTCAAGGATACGATGAGCTCTATCTCCCTGGACAAATTGGTGGGATTTAAAAGTATTTGCCCCTTCTCAGCCAGATACTGCGAAGGACTATCTAGCCTGGAAAGAATGATTAAATGTGGTCTTGATACTCAAGGACGCACCGCGTTGATGGCGGTTACCCAGTCAATGCTCATGTGCACTAATCCTACCTTTGAAGAGTTGCTGAATAGCCCTCGCCTCAACTCTAATCATATCAACTCTGATGGGGAGAAGCCTCGTTGCGGGTGATTGAGCTCCTTCTCGCCGATCCCTGGGTGGATATTAACCAGGGCAGGAGATTGCAGGAAGGGAAGGTACAGCGCTTCATTGTCTTCTTTCGAGGGGCAAAAAGACTGCGTCGATTTTCTCGACGAGACCTACCCTGAGCCACACCAGGCGCCTGCCCGTGCCACCGTTCGTGGCATCCGACTCCATAACACTATCTTTCTTGTGACTACCTTCAGAAACGGGGGCATCTCGACAGGGATTATTGAACTGTCAATATCATTGGCCCCATCTTGCATCTTTTGAGGACTGTCTTTTACGCTTTATCTTCTCACCGTCACCGTAAGGAAAAGGAATAAAATTCCTGGTTTCTTTGTCTACATATTCAGCGCTATTACTCTCGTATATCAGGTAGATACCGCAGATGTAGAAATAGACGGAACTTATCTAGAGACAACTCACAGTTACAAGGTAGTCAGTCTACAAGATGGCCTTCATAATTGAAAGGAAGTTTATCAAAAGAAGTCTGTCAGAGACTGTAAATACTATTCAGTATTGTATGTAAGCAGTAGTACTAATCATAGCTAGCTACCCTCGAGTGCCGCCCTTCCTAAACTGCATATGTTCCCTCCGAAGAGTTGGAAGTTCTAACTATTCAAGCTACCTCCTTTAGTGGTTGCCCTCCCAAGAGCCAGTGTTTTCCCAGGAACCAGTGTTCTCCCAGGAGTCATCAGCACGAGGGTGGTTACCTTCCCAGGAACCAGTGCCCTCCCAAGAGCCAGTTCCCTCCCAGGAGTTGTCGGTGCGACGGTGGTTGCCCTCCCAAGAGCCGGTGTTCTCCCAAGAACCAGATCCTTCCCAAGAGTCGGTGTCACGAGGATGGTTGCCCTCCCAGGAGCCAGTGTTCTCCCAAGAGCCAGATCCTTCCCAAGAGTTGTCAGTACGACGGTGGTTGCCCTCCCAGGAGTCAGTGCCCTCCCAAGAGCCAGACCCTTCCCAAGAGTCGGTGTCACGACGGTTGTTGGTCTCCCAAGAGCCAGTGCCCTCCCAAGAGTCGGTGCCACGAGGGTGGTTACCTTCCCAAGAGCCGGTTCCCTCCCAAGAGCCGGTTCCCTCCCAAGAGCCGGTTCCCTCCCAAGAGCCAGATCCCTCCCAAGAGTCGGTGTTGTCAACGTCACGAGGCCGGTTGCGAGCTAATAAAGACATGTGTTAGCCCAAACCATATATCATCCATCGAGATACTCACGGAAACAGGCAAGGAAGCCCAAAGCCTGAGAACGACGGCACTGGCCACAGTCACCACCGCAGTCCTTGTCCGCACCACATGTCTTGCCACACTTGGAAACATCGCCATCTCCATTCAACTGGTTGACAGACACGGAAGTGGGAATGGCAGAAACAGCAGTATCAAAGATATCAGCCACAGAAAGACCAGGAACGTTATCAAGAGCGTTATCAACATCACGAGCACGACGAGCTAGTAACAAGGAAGCCTGTTAGACAAGACACCCACACACCCACAACAAGGAGTAGTACTTACTAGCAACACAAGTCATGGTCTTAGGGTGGCAGTAGTCGCAGCTCTTGGTGCAACCGGAGTCGTCGATGCAAAGCTGGCCACAGGCGTCAGCAGGAATCACCATGGCCCCCACCATAGTGGCAGTGGCCAGGCAGGCGAGAACATTGACAAGCTTCATCTTGAAGACTTGTAATGAAGTTTGATGAAAGGGTAGTAGTAGATGATGAGCTGTAAGAGTGCAGAGATGGTATCGATCAATGAGGTTACAAGAGAAGAGTAGAAGATGGGTGAGGAGGAGAAGAGGGAGAGAAGCGATGAGAGGAGAGAAACAGGAGATATTTATATGCAAAGGGAAACAGCTAGTGGTAAGCGACGTTCTGATCTGTTTGCATGTAGTGAATAGTTGCAAAGAAGACAAAGAACTCTTCTTTCACTCTCACTTGGGAGATCCTCCATCTCTCACATATCAGGAGCCAGTTGGGCTTCGAGGCGGGTCAGTTTGTTTGTTACACACCCGAGTATGAAAGCCCTCGGTGAATGAGAAGACAGTATGGCTTATTTGATTGGCGCAGGTCTCAGAAGTCGCTTTCACCCACTGTCGACAGTTACAGACTTGATATCAGGAGGCTCACCTGCAAGCGTACAGCTCATCCGGACGTTTGTGCCCTGACGACAGGACTTCTACGATGAGCAGCATACTACAACCCTTCAGTATAACAAGCCTATTCAACGGACATCTCAGGGACATGCCTATAGTAAGGGACATCTCTACAAGTATGGAGTAATTATGGGATACGCTGTACGTAGCTTTACTTGAAGAACTCTGTGTGAAGTGAGAGCTGACACTTTCTGATATTCACCAGGAAGATGGTGTTTTCAGACAGCAGACAGTGGAGCCAAGTTGACATTTTTGATAGCATTGATCTGAGAGTTATTCACTGGCCAGAGTTCCCTAGTGAGAGTGGAAGTTCCCTGGTCAAGATCCACTGACAAAACATCTGACTCAGAGATGATTCTATCCCACAGGCCTGTCACTTCGAGATCCGTCATGTACCAAACCAACCAGATGATAGAGTCATCAAGCGAATGAGAGTCTCTGTCGAGCATCTCTCGATTCTGAGCTTGCAGATTGGACGCTGGTAGGCGTCAAAGGCTCAATCTCCCCTGGGCTCTCTGAATTCCGAAATTTGAGCAGATATTCAAGCATCTATTCACTTATACATCTCTCCTTCTGAAATTATAGACGTATTGCATTCTATTCCATTGTTGACAGCCACACAACAGAGGTTCTATCGCCAGAATCCCGAGTCTCCTGTGACCTGACATTGTAAGTGAGAATCTGAAAAATTATTTGGGAGAAAACCAGATTATAAACAACCATACCTGCTGCCAAGCCATATACTCTCGAATATCTAACTCATAGACTCAATATTGGCTCAGCATAGATGAGTGTCGGTTGAAGAAAACAACGCAACGTTGGGGACGCACCGCCATACTCCGAACACTGCCACACACCGCCACTATGATCAGCAGATGTGGCACGGCCGAATCGCCAGCGATCGGAGACTCTATGACGCTCCCCTGCACTAAAATTGGACGAATGCTGGTCTATTGGAATCGTGGAGGGCTGAGAAGCGGAGCAAATCTCATGGCCGGCGCGTCTTGGCGATTGTTAGGCAGGCCTCGGCGGGGTTTGAGCTCTGTGAGTCGCAGAGTACGTGTTGTTTGTGTTTTTGCAGTCAACCTGGCAACGAAGCTCAACGACAAAGAGCTGACACTGTTAGCTACTGGCGACGAGTTGAACCCTCCGCACCTTCCGTCTCCTCACTCCATGTCTCATGAAAAGAAAATGGCAACGGAAATACCCCTCCCAAGTTCTAGCAGCAACAGCCGATCGCTGAAGCCAAGAAGCTGAGCTCTCTTCCCAGCAGTATAGTGGGGCAACGATTGCGTATACTGACTCCAGCGTGGCACGCTGGCGAGAACACCTGAGAACCCCTCTTTTGCGGGCAAGGAGATCCACGAATCCGTCATCGGTGGGCAAAAGGATGGAGGGGCACCGATTACGCTATACCCTACCTCCTGTAGACAGGGGTATAAATTGATTCACTTCCCCGGCCGAGATTCTCTCTGCTATCAACTACTCAAGCCTTCCTGCTCCTGTGACTCTTACACAGTCCTTCGCATCCTCTTCTTCCACGCCTTTTTTTTCGCTTTAAGCACACAAACACACACACAGTCAATATGCCTGGTCCTCACGGCGGCGGTCCTGGTGGTGGTCCTCACGGCGGCCCTGGCGGTCCCGGCGGTCCCCACGGAGGTCCTGGTGGCCCTGGTGGTCCTCACGGTGGTCAGGGTGGCTTCGGCGGCCCTCAGGGTGGCCCTGGTGGTTTCGGCGGTCCTCAGGGAGGCCCTGGTGGTTTCGGTGGTCCTCAGGGAGGCCCTGGCGGCTTCGGTGGTCACCAGGGAGGCCCCGGCGGTCCTGGTGGTCCTCACGGCGGCCCTGGCGGCTTCGGTGGTCAGGGAGGCCCCGGTGGTCCTGGTGGTCCTCACGGCGGTCCTCACGGACACGTAAGTCGATTAATTTCCAATCCGAGCTATCAAGCATCCTCCAGAGACCATCCATGCTAATGACCGGATCTGCAATCAGTAGCCGTCTGAAGGACATCATCACGGCCTTCTCTCGAACCTCCTCCATCATCACCATCACGGAAAATAAGCAAGTCGACACTCGTTGCTACAAAGCTGGTGCACGCACCGCTGGACGATGTTTTATCTGGACTTGTTGATCCAACAAGATATCAAACTATTTTATAACCACCTGTATTTACTTGATGTGTACACTTACAAATGATGGGATGTTCTTTACGACGGTCGTGGATGGGTTTCTGTTTTATATATAGCTAGCTCTTATGAAGACATGCAAGTTACAAATTCAACAATCTCTGTTGGTCCTTATAAATAATCCATCCTAGCCGTGTCTTGGTGACAACTACTAGTTGCTGGATATCAACCGGATATCATGTCAGGTCGACATTCAAAACCACATGTCCCGGGGACGGCGGCACATCTCCAGTCTCCCAGTCTGTCATCTCCGCGCCGAGGGTAAACTCGATAGTCCCGCCCTCCGCCATGACATCATTGTGCTCGAACCAGTTCTTCGTCCAGTTCTGTCCGTTGATCTTCACACCCTGCACGTAATACCCCTCTTCCAGCCCCGTCGCCGTGATCCGCACCGTCGCGCTGCCGTTGACTGTAACGTTCACGTCTGGGAACCACGGTGAGGCGAGAAGGTATACCGGCTGCGTGGCAACGGGGTACATGCCTAACAGCTGCCAGACGAGCCAGGAATTCATTGCCCCGGCGTCGCTGTTGCCGGGAATACCGTAGGGAGCATCTTTAAAGCTAGATACATAACAGATAGGTTAGAAAATAGCAGAGAAAAAAGAATTACAAATTCTTCAAGTGTAGGGCCTGACTATTCATTGGCGAGAGTCCGGGACTGCTCGACGCTCTTCGCTTGTTTGTTGATGTAGTTGTATAGATACGGCGTAGCGAAATCAGGTTCGTTCCTAACAAGCGTCAGATAGTGAGATGAAAGTCACGGCGGGTATGAAATACCCAATATTCATCAATGTGGTAATTCCAGCACCGTTGTCCCCAAGATCCTGGACGGCAACTCCTGGCTCAAACTGGGGGAAATCCAAATGTAAGCGTTTGTCTGTTCCTTTGATTCCAGGCGAGATGCTTCATACCATCTTGTCAAGTCGGGATTCGAACGTCTCTAATCCACCCATCAGTTCGATCAGTGTCTCGACATCGTGCGGGATGACGAAGGAGTATTCTAGGTAGAAAGGAATTATTTATGTGTCAGCTCACGAAGGGCATGGAAGGGAAGTAGTCTCACCCCAGGGAACGGCCTCATATGTGTATGCCTGCATCTCACAGCTGTAGCAGTACAAGGGATCATAGCCGCTGTTGTTGAAGATTCCGTTCGAGAACCTGGGCGCCAGGAACCCGGTATAGTTCAGACTCGTCACCTCTGGGTTCCAGATACGCTGCCATCCAGCAGATCTGTTGAGGTATTTTTGCTGATCGCCTGGCATCTCGCCGGCGGCGACTTGGCTCAGCGCAAAGTCGTTCAGACTGTACTCTACCGTTCGGGAGATACAGCGCGTGTTGCGATCCTGCGACACGTAGCCGAGCTCTAGCCAGTCGCCCAGTGCACCACGCCCTTCCTTTGTGCTGGCCGACAGGTCTTTGGGGTCGTACGTGTTGTATGGTATTACCTCCGCGTTGGTTTTCATGGCAGCATAACCGTCGGTCCAGTTGATAGCCCCGCGCAGTCCCTTTATATACGCGTCTGCGAAGACGTTGTCTGCATCCGAACCGCCTTGGACGAGACCGTTCCAGTTCCCAGATCTGCCATCGGGGAGGAAACCTTCGTGCCTGTGCCTGTTTAGCGAGTACTTTCCATTATTGAGATCCTCGGGAATACGAACCTCCAGATGTCAATCAACCCCCGGATCATCGACTCAAAGTAGCTGGTCTGGAGGATGAGGTAGAGACTAGTTGTACACCGGGAAATGTCCCCTTGGAAAAGCATCAACTCTCTGGCAACTCTGATAAGAAGGGCTCTCGAACTCACACATAGTGTAGAAGTCATCCCAGTACGGTTCGTCCGATTGCCAAAGCGGGTTCTCGCCTGTCCGATCCGACGGCATCAGATGGATGAAGTACAGCGAGCTGTACAACAATCGGACGTTTGTCATATTGGCAGAGCTATCTAGAGGCACATGGATCTTGCTGAACACGTCTTCGTTCCATTCACGAACAGCGGCGTCCACGGTATCGGTCAAGTTCCACGATGAAATCTCGCTGTCGATGTAAGACCGGGCTTTCTCCACGGAGATGAAGGAGATACCCAGACGAGAGGTGATCTTTTCAGCTGGGCCATCTCCCCAGCTAAACAATGCCCCTACACGACGGTTCATCGGACCCGATGTGATTGTATGGGATGTGTTCCCATATACCGGCTCAGGGATGGGTCCATTCGCCAGGTTGTGGTATCGTGGCATAGGATCGGTGTTGGTACCTGAAAAGACCCTTGAGCTTTTCGAAGCAATTGAAAATTCTCCGTAGAAGTAGATTGTGAATGGCGCTCCTTGTTTCCCCCATTATCAATATGAAGATGAACCTGCTTGGAGTCTTCTTTCTCACCATTGTTCCACCCTCCGACGTATGTCCCATACCCTGAATACGCCTTCCCATCATCCTCAATGGCGATTTCTCCACCGATGTAGAACTGGCCGTTATAGTCACCAGGAGACCCTGGGAGGAACTGCGATGGGGTCAGCTTGGGCTTGTGTAAAGATCTCTTCTGGAAAAGCGTACATGAGAGACATCCACGAGCACATGCCTCTCTCCTTCTGGGAATGAATAATCCATGATTCCCGCATGGCGAGACGCAGAAATCTCAATCGTCACTCCATTTTGCAGCTGGGTCTTGAAGTATCCCACCTCAGCCGTATCATTGCCGAGCTTTTCTATCCGTCAGCCCAGGTATTGCATCATCTTACCATTAACCCAAGCTGAACCACTCACTCTTGGCTGGCTATAAGTGTTGTTATCAAGGATATTGACTGGCAATGCAACAGAGGTCAGTGGCATCTGCGATATGAGTCCATATTTGGGCTCTCCCCCCGTTCCACTCTCGTGCATCATACCTAGTACGTAGCCATGGTCAGAACCAGAAACCCAAAGGTCGACGCGTCGATTCTCCAAACAGAAGACTTACTGACTCCAGTCACATTTCCATCAGGCGTCCATCCACCGTTCAACACAGCCAGAGTCCAATTCGCAGCTGTTGTGTCGATCCCCGCCTTCACCATTCCAAACGGCCGAGTACCACCCACGAAGATATCGCCTCCTCCATATCCTTTCCCTGGGATAGGACCTTCGGATCCCATCAAACAATTGACATATTGCGAGTAATCGACCGAGTCGCCCACAGCCATCGTGGCCAGGGCCAAGAATCCAGCCACCCCCGAATAGTGTAGCCGCATGGCGCAATCACTCTTGGAGGAGAGACTCCAACTCGAAATAAATTCTACTCAATAACGTCGACAGACGAAGAGAATCTGGAGGGAGAAGAAGAAAGAAAGAGAATCAGAAAATCCTAGGTTTTATCCAACTTCCCCTCTATCAGCACACCACATTCCAAGCGGTCTGCATGCCCCCTCGTCCTTCACCCTAGCATGACGAGATGAAGGCCGTTTCTTCGAATCCCACCAGACGGAGGAGATATAGGGCAAGGGGCTGATTTTGTCTGTGAACAACAAGCCAGCCTCCGACCCCGAGATCATTGCTGTTACACTGGCTGCTGTCGTGGACGGGGTTCGAGGTGGACAAACCGCCCTAACCAAGACGTCTAAAGAAGAATGGGCGGATCAACAGATAGCACAGTGGCTTGTTGGGTGTCCTTGACACAAGGGTGCTATTATCGTTAAGATGGCTACAGATGGGACTCGGTCTTTAGAGCTGCAAGTATTCTTGCTTGAGCCAGGTCTCACAAGATGCAAGGGAGGATCGACTGGGGCATATCCTGCAGCTGTCTGCCCGGACTCCCATCGAGACTTGTTGCAAACACACACACAAACGCGATAGAAGATATCGAGAGAAAATGATCCATTCATTCATTGCATGAGCAGTAATTCCGATTAGAAAACACCAGAAAGATAATAGCGCCAGGAAGGACAAGTAGTCCCTATTGCCATCCAGCCACACATAACCCATTCCACCTCACCAAGATCTCAACCCGGAGATTCATGCGATATAAAAAGACCAAAATGTAACAAGGGAAAAAAAATGACAAATAATATAGACAAGGAACCATTCCAAGCGGATTCTCAACGCCCGGTAATGTAATCGCGGTTCTCAATGGTCACGCTCTTGGTCATATGGTTGACCTTGTAGACACCGACGAGGCGGGAAGCAAGTTCAAACTGTGCGAGGAAAATAGTTAGCAGGAAGCCATACATCGGAGAAGTAAAACCACGGCTTACCATGTTGTTTCTCAGGGAAATGACGATGAATTGCGCGTTCTTGGTCCTCTCCTTGATGTATGAGGCGACGATGGAGACGTTACGGAAGTCCAGCGCGGCGTCAATCTCGTCCATCACGTACAGTGGAGTAGGTCGATAATGGTGCAAAGCGAAGACTAGAGCCAAGCTCGAGAGAGTCTTCTCACCGCCAGAGAGATTGCTGATGTTCTTCCAGCTCTTCTTAGGAGGCATGACGGAAAACAAAATGCCTTCCGAAAAGGGGTCCAGGGAATCCACCAGTTCAAGCTCGGCGTTACCACCCATCGTGATCATCTGGTACATTTCCTTCAAGCGAAGCGAGATAATTCCAAAGCCTTCCATGAAACCATTGAGGCGAGCTGATCGCAAGCCGTCCAGACGAGCCTTGGCGGCATCCCGAGAGCCCAGCGCGGTAGCCAAGTCAGTAGACCGGGCCTCGTGCTCAGCTGCTCTCCGCCTGTAGTCTTCAATGACTGAGAGATCCACGGAGGCATTTTGCGTCTTCTCCTCCAGGGCTGCGATGACAGCTTTGAGAGATTCCTTGCCGAATTCCGCAAGCTCATCTTTACTGTATGTCTGGAGCTCCATCGATTGCTGCTCCTCACCAAGGTCGCTAATATTTTGCAACGTCAGCTTAGAGAGCTTCTCCTGCCAGTAGCGGTTGCGCTTTTCATTCTCCGTTAGGGCCTTTTGGTTTTCTTCGAGCTTGTTTCGCATCTCAATCTCGGCAGCACGGGTTTCGTTCAGCTCCGCAATCTTGTCGTCAAGCTCGGTCTTGAGTGCTTTAAGCTCCATTCGCTTCGTCTCCAGGGCCTGTCGATGAGTTAGTTAGTCTATCCGGGGTGTTTTGGTCTATGTAAAAAACATACCTCCTGGGCCTCTTCTGCCTTCTCGCGCGACTCAGATGCGTCGCTAGCCTGGCTTTCAATATCCCTGTCGAGTTGTTCCAGGTCTTCAGCGACTTGGGCAATCTCCTTTTCAGCTTCCGAACGGGCCTTTTGGTGCTTGATGACAAGTTTCTCGTTCTTGCTCTTAGCAATCTCGGCGTTTGAAATCTCGTCCGCGAGCATGCTAATCTGTTCCTTGAGGCCGTCGACCTTTGCTTTCTGGCTCCTCAGTCGAACACCGCCCACCTCCATGATCTTGTTCTGAAGAATTTGGATCTCCTCCTCAATGCCGGACTTTTCTGACCGGAGCTTCTCAATCTCCTTTTCGAGCAACTTGATCTGTTTCTCCAAGGCAGAGGCCCGACTGTCATCGGTCTTTGATGGCTTGTGCTCGGCATCAATTTCCTTGATTCGCTTCTGCGCGTCGGCAAGGCTGCGTTTAACACTCTCGATTTCCATAAGAATCTTCTGGATCTTCGTCTCCGTACGAGGGATTTCATCGGACTTTTCCCGGATGAGAGCCTCCATCTGCCGTTGTTTCTCCTGGAAACCTTGGAATTTGCGCTCCATCTCATCCCGGTCGCTCTCAAGTTTGGCGACTTGTTCCTTCGTGGTGTCGGCAACTTGCTTCGACGACATACCGCCCCGTGCAACACGAGTGCCACCACCACTCATGGTTCCAGACATGTCAATCAACTGGCCATCGAGGGTGACAACACGCCAGCGCCTTGCACCATAGGCAATGCGATTCGCTTGCTCTAGGTCCTTTGCGACCAAGGTGTTCTGCATCACACTGTAGAAGGCCGGGGCAAATTTTGGATCCTTGGGCTTAACGAGATCAAACAGACGTGGCACCTTTTCGGGTGTGAAGATCGTGGACATGTCTCTTCGAGGAAGACGGTCGAGGAGGATAAAGTTGGCGCGACCGAGATTGTTTTTGCGCAAATAATCGATACATTGCTGGCCAACTTCCACCGAATCCACCACCATGTTCTCAAGCTGAGGGCAAGCAGTCGAGATGGCAACATCGTATTTCTCGTCGATAGTTCCGAGGTTACCAAGACGGCCATGGAAGCCGTCGATACGGCCTGACTCTTTCAAACGCATAAGGCCAGTGAGGACGCTGCCGCGGTTTTGCGTGCTGGCAAGGCTAGCACGGGCTTCGTCTGCCTTTTGTCGAGCGCTGGAGACGTGAGACCGGATCTCGGGTTCTCTTTGAGAATATTTTTTCAGATCATGTTGCAGTTGGGCAAGCTCGGCTGCAAGCGATTCCTTGTGCTCCTTGCACTCCTCAAGATCGGAATGCTTGGCTTCCAGGGTCTCTTCGAGGGAGGCAATCTTAGTCTGCGCTTCTTCCAGAAGAACAGCACCAGCGTTGCTCTTTTCGCGCAAGATATCAAGCTCACTCTGAGCAACCGCCACGGCAGATTGCCTTTCGTTGATCTTGGCATCCCAGGGCTCCAGGGACTTCTGCTTTGCTGCGATCTGATCGGAGAGTCCTTGGGTCTTGCCCTTCAGGCCCTCGCGGATAGATGCGAGCTCATGCTCCTCCTCCTTCATTTCCTTTTCCAGTTCGGCAGTCTCCCCGGTCTTCTTCTCGATGTCGTCGGAGTGTTTTTCTACCAAACTTTCGCATTCTGATCCTGCAAGGCGACTAGTTTGCATGGCCTTCTCGAGCTTTTTCTGTTTGCCAAGGAGGAATTTCCTCTTTTCATCGAACTTGACCGATTCCTTGTCGTATTTGGACATTTCTTTGAGCATGGCCTGAGTTTCCTTTTCCATGGCCTCGTAGTTCTTGGTGCCACGTTTGTAAGCCTTTTCTAGCTCTTTGATTCCAGTTTCGTTGCCCTCGTGCTTCTCCAGCTCCATATTCAGCAATTCCTGCATCTGCAATATGGCCTCTTCAGTGACCCGGATATTATCAGCACATTCATCGATGTAGATTTGGTAGAGTGTTGATTGTTTGCGGACAAGCTCGTTCTCATCACGGATATATGAGATGGCTTTGTCCTTCTTGTCTTCGAGGGCATTCTTCTCCTTTTCGACGTGTTGGACGCGATTATTCTTCTCCACACAGACATCGTTCAAGGTATCTACTTCCGCTGCGGCCTCATCGATCGGCGTTTTGTACTTCGATGTTCCGATAATGTCTTCGAGATACTCGAGAAGACCGTCTTCGTGCTCGTTCCCTGCTTTAGGCTTCATCTGGGCAATAGATTCGACCTCACCCTGCAGAATGAGGAAGCGTTTGTGATCTAGATCGATGCCACGCTCACGGAGGAAGGTCGTTACAGCCGTGAAATTCGTCTCCTTCTTGTTCATGTAATATTTGCTGGAGTTATTCTTGAACGCTCTCCGTGAAACGATAAGTTGGGAATCTTTGACGACTTCGTGCCCCCCACCGGGTAAATCCAGCACTTCCTGGAAATGAACCTCCACCTCACAAAATGGCAGATCCGGATGGTTAGCAGAGTTGTGAATCAAGGCGGAAATCTTGCCTTGGCGCATTTTGCTCGCGCGGAAACCGAAGACAAACAGCAGCGAATCGATGACGTTCGACTTCCCGCTTCCGTTGGGACCGACGACCGATGAGAAGGAGGCGTGGAAAGGCCCGACAACCTGCTTTCCAGCATAGCTCTTGAAGTTCATCAGGACCAGATGTGTGATTACCATGCGAGGCTTGGGTTCCGTTGACTCTTCGACCACGGGGGCTGCGAGATTACGGGACTTCAGGACAATATCCATCGGCCTCTCTAGGACAGTGGAGTTGGGGTTGATGATGGGGATTTGTTTCGGCTCGTCCGACGGTTTCGACGGGGTCTCGTTCACGGTCCTCTCGGTGATGTCGGCAAGCGGTGACGCGCTGTCTCGCTGTGGGCGCTTTTGCGGTGTCGGCTCGGGGGAAGCCGAAGGCTCTGGAGTAGGCAGTGAGGACTTTTCCGGATTGGGCGTCAAAGACACACGACTCTTGCGGGGAGCCATACTTTTTCTTTTCTGGACAGTACCAGGAGATTCTGTCGGCGTCTCTTCGTCCTCTTCGTTGGTAGTTGCGACGCTGGCAACACTCGCGCCCTCGTCCTCATTCATATCGGTCAGCTGCGATGTCTCAGACTGTTGACTAGCCCTCGACCGCCGGGTTCTCCGCAACACAGGCGCCGTATTCGACCCCGGTCCTTCGTCCGACGTCCTTTTCCTCGATACTCGCTTGACTGTCCTCTTCTTCGGCTTCGGAGTGAACTCCTCCTCCTCTTCTTCGCCCCCAGGGTTGGAAGGCGTCGGGGTCACGTTCCCCGCATCCTCCTCCTCGGGCGTGTCTTCAACGACATAACTCCTCCTGGTAGAGCGCCGCGATGGCCTGCCTCGTGCGACGGAAGCCATGGTGCGGGTCGTGGTGCTGCGTGTGCGATTCAGAAGATAGTGAAGGCAAGTTGACGCTTCTGTGTTTGGCAAAAGTGGGAGGTTGTTTACGTCCCAGCCCGAACAGGAAAGGCGTTGTTTTTCTGCCACAACACCGCCAGCTCCCCTCACCGCCCTGGTCATACCGTACTGTAATCTTTGCTCAGGCAAGCGATCATTGTTGCCCGCAAGGACAAGACGGTTGTTTAGGCTTCTTTTTGTTTATGGGTAGGAGACAGGATGGCTCCCTGGGAAGACTTCGACAGTATCTTCCGGTTCAACAAGAACTTCGTGTACGATGGCAAGATTATTGAGCAGATCCTGTCGAACCGCCGGGCCTTGGAGAACCAGCTCTTCGTGGACCGACTGCTGGGACTGCTGGGCGTGAAGTCGGGTATGTTGTCTATCTAGGTCCCTGCGGAACTCCCAATGGATCGCATCCTAATTGCTTTATCACTCAGTCACCAAGCTCTATCCGCCACGATCAAATGCCGATCTACGATCCCTTGTTCAAAACATCGTTTCCTCGTCGTTCCCCAGTCATCAAAAGCAGGCGGTGATCTACTACATCCTGAAGGACTGTCGTGCGGCCAATGATGCCGCGGCGCAGTTTGCGAACAAGTGCCGTCTACCTGAGAAGTACAGGCTGTTCATTGATGGGTTGTGGCACTTGGACAAATTGGAGTTCAGGGTTTGTCTTCTAGAGCGATTGCCGCGGTGCCTGGTCCCTGCTAACACATGAGGGAATAGCGAGCTCTTGAAAACCTCACAGAGCCATCTCTCATCCCAACGTTCCCCGACGAGATCCTCTACGTCCTATCTCTCTCGCAGCTTCCCAAGCACGATGACAGCCTCGTTCTAGCATACTATCTGAGTGCTTCGCCGCCTCTAGCGTCTGAAAAGGTCCGAAACGCGTTCTTCGACACGTTATGCCGTTCCAGCATAAGCGAGGCGTTCTATTTCACACGGTCACATGGCGAAGCGCACCGTCGGAGCTATCTCGAACGGCTAATCCTGTTTGTACACAAGACTGGTGGAGGGCCTACACGTAGCAGGCGGGCGATGGAATTGATCAACCTACCACTCGACTCAAAGGAGGAGCAGTGGTTCGAAGAAGTTCTATTGCACGGAAACGCCAAGACACTTCAAGGAGCAAAGGACACGGTCATTATGCGACGTCTTGCCACGGGAAAGATGCAAGAGCTCACCACAGAGCTGGAATCGCTAGGTGGGAAACGGATCGACGGGCTGAATTGGGATGACTTGAAGCAAAGCATGAGACACACACAGCCGTTCCCCCCGTCCGGCACTACATGATCTTGAGGTCGACTAAAACAGCGGTTAAATCCTTTTCTAATTCAGCACGGCTGGCGATGTTGGGTAGGAGTTTGGCGTTGAGGTGGCAAGCTATTTTCATGCTGTATGGTACATAATGCGCTACCTAGATATTAGATTAAATGAACAGAATAAAGTTAAAACTAATCTCTTGTATAAATTGTAAAATAATAAAATATTGGAATAGAAAACTTGGAATAAAGGAATGAATAAACATCAAAATGTTCTGCTGTCGCTCGCTCTGCGGACGCCTTTTGGTCAAACAAAACCAAACTTTACCGGACGGTAAAATATAACTATCAATCAACCTCTCAACCAGCTCTTATTATCCCATTCAAACTATCCTTTGTGCCGCTCTCATTCCACACACGATTACTTTACTAGTCGGAGATCCTAGGGTCATCCTCTTCAGCAGTAGCTAAAAATTCATCCATAATTTGGTTGTTTTTGAGTTCTTCCTGGCTGCGGACTGTCTTGCCGACGATTGATCTGCAGGCGCTGGAAGAAACCCACGCTTCGACCGGAGAGGCGAGCGTCGAGACAGGCTCTCACAAGCTTTGATTCTCTCGGTCAGCATAATATACTGCAGACATGACTATCTGCAAATACTTCCAGCAAGGCCGTTGCAAGTACGGGGGTATGGAGCTTCGTTCACGCACCCTTGATAGAACCGTATTACTAACAAGTTGCGCAGATAGCTGTAGATTTGAACACCCCGGTGTGAACACAGCAAGCTCTGGCAATCGATTTGAAGTCCTATCGGGCGGTGGCGGAGGATTTGGAGGTAGGTCGCTGCGCTTTCATTACTTCAAAAGCCATTGAGCGAGGACTGTTCCCGCGTTTGGGTGCTTCTTGGACGAAAGGCCACACTGGTATGACCATCATTCTCTTCTGAGGACTGATATGGCTTACTTTGGTCTTAGATCCTGTTCCTCAGCTGAATTAGAGCACTGTTTATGCTTGCTTAAGGCCACTCTATGTCTTGGTTGTTGCTGACTAGTGAAATGTAGGCCGCACAAACCAACAAAACCAACCAGCACAAAAGTCAGTTTCCCTTCGCCATATCTCTCTTTGACTAACTACCATTTTATTGACATGGATGCAGTTATGGGGTGGTTGCATCCGATATCAAGTTTGACCTCACGCCTCAAAAGGGGCGGCCAGATTGGGTCTTTTCTTCATACGGCCCGGGCAAAAATGCGCCAAAGCAGCTGTTTGGAGGCCCGCAACGGGAACAGAGTTTTGAAGAGATGAGACTGCGACACTATGAGGCTGTCGCTGCAGGAAATCCAGCCCAAGCGATCCAGGAGGCGGAAGCTCTTTATGCGGAGTCGCTGAAGCAGATGGACGTGATTTTAAGCGATCTTGACGGCGCTGTCAAATACATTCTGGACGGCGAAAAGGAACATCCTAATCGAATCGACATCACAGAAGGTAGAGTCGGCCCTGCAATGAGCCAGCCTCAACAGCAAGCATTCGGACAGCCTTCGGCATTCGGTCAACCAGCGCAAGCACCTGCGTTCGGTCAGCCCTCAGGCCTAGGTGGCGCTCAACCAGCCTTCGGAAACCCCTCCGGTTTTGGCCAGCCGTCTGCATTTGGTCAACCGTCAGCGCTTGGTCAGAAACCTGCCTTCGGACAGCCGGCGGCACTAGGTCAGGGTTCTTCTGCCTTTGGGCAGCCTTCAGGGCTCGGTGCTCAGCCTGCCTTTGGCAAACCTGCGTTCGGTCAGTCAGGGTTTGCCCAGCAACAGCCTGCGTTCGGTCAACCGGCATTTGGCCAAACTTCTGCCCCTGCTCCGTCCGGTTTTGGACAGCCTAGTACGGCATCCCCCTTCGGCCAAGTTCAACCTCAAGCTCAAGCTCCAAGTGGCTTCGGGCAGCCTTCGGGCCAGAGCACTGTGTCACCATTCGCTCAGGCAGCGCAACAACAAGCACCAACAGCAACGTCTGGTTTTGGCCAACCGTCACAGACAGCTTCGCCATTCGGCCAGGTCGCACAGCAAGTCCAACCCGCAGCCAACCCTTTTGGTCAACCAGCACCGGCGGCGGCGGCGGCGGTAACTCCGAGCCCCTTTGGCCAACCCGCTCAACAGCCTACGCCTTCACCTTTCGGCAAGCCAGCAGCACCAGAGGCTTCGCCGTTCGGTCAACCCGCTGCGGCACCGCTAGCACCAGCAGCTCCCACCACTGCCGGACCGCCTGCAGTGTTGAAACTAGATGCGCAAGATCTGAACCCTATCCCTCCGTTGAGCGGACAGACGATGCGCGATCCTGTCAGCAAAAAACTCACGGCGTGGAAGGGACAGCCGGTGAAATACATCAATGACTCGCCGTGCTACCTGCATCCAACCGATCGTCAGACCTACGTCCACATCTTCTTCCCCGACGGACCTCCCGATGAAGCGAGTTTGCGCGACGCCTACGGGAAGCCAGAGGAGTACACGCCGGAAGTCACTGAACAGTATGAGTTCTTCATGAAAAACGGATACTTCAAGGACGGAGTGATCCCGAGTGTTCCGCCCAAATCGGAGTGGGTGAGCTTTGATTTTTAGACAAGTCTCCCCACGGAGTTGATTACGGTGATACCCCATCGCGAGACAGTATTCCAGCTTCTAGACAGAATAGTCATAAGAGTAATCACTCATTACATTACGAATTGAGCTACCTATCTTCGATAGAGATGAAAGTGCACAGTGTGTATGGCGTTAGAATTTTTTGCTTTCCATTTTTGAATTGAGGTGCTAGTGGGTATCTATATCGGCCCAGCATAACCCAGACAGCGATGTTTCCATCACCGCCGAAGCCGCTGTATAGCCTGTAAATCCGACCAACCACACCACCCCATCTAAGAGGTGGTTGGAGCACACAGCCAACCCGAGCGAACACGTTTAGGCGGCAATGGTGACCTCAACCTCAACACCGGCCTCGATGTTGATGATGATCTGCTTGACGGTCTCAGTGGGGGCGAGAAGGCTAGAGATGCGTAAGCATGGTTTTTTATTACATATGAAAGGGAATATAGATGGATATGCAGGTAGACATACTCAATGAGACGCTTGTGGATACGCATCTCGTACTTGTCCCAGGTCTTGGAACCCTCACCGTTGGGGGTCTTGCGGGTAGAGATGTGGAGGGTCTTGGTAGGGAGACGGACGGGGCCCTTGACCTGCAGGCTCTTGGAGCGGGCACGGTCGATCAGCTCCTGGCAGACCTTCTCGAGGGAAGCGACCTTGCGGGAGGTGAGGGTGATGCGGATCTTGTGGACCTTCTGTACCGGTTGTTAGCCATTGAATCTTGGGGTTCGCCAGTTCACTGGCGATGCGATTGATGATATATATGAGAATATATAGATCATATATCTCTTCCACCAGCTTGGTATACACGTACAGGGCCCTCGCCGAAATCCTTCTCGGGCTTCTGGAAAGACATGGTGATTGTTGGTGGTGGATGGCTAAGGCAAGTTAGTTCCAAGTCGGATGTAAACTGGAGGAAGAATTCGTAGGGGAGTCTCACGTATAAGGCTAAGTGCCAATCAAGACCTGAACTTCCTGGTTCGGTAAAGTGATGATGGCTGCAGAGGGGATTAATTATCGACTCGCGATCGCGACGTTCTTTTTTTTCCCACACAAAAACGGCGGAACTCTTGGCGGGCTCGGTTATCTGGCGCTAGTCCGTATTTAGACGCCTACCGCTGAGTCATCGTTATTACCGCTTTAGGCGAGTTTCCTCCGTCAGGTGGAGCCTCGCCTTGGATACGGCCACGACAAACGACAGAAGGTGGGAGGTTCTGTGTGCTAAGAGACTCAGTTTCTGTGCTTATTTTACCTGTTTTTCCTTTGGTTTTCGGTAGATTCGGCTTTCTGTTTGTTTGTATAATGGCAGAACTGCCTGCGCTGGCACCTGTGCCCCCACCCGCAGTGCGGAGCAGGATACAACATGAGGACTGGGATGCCTTTCTAGATGCGTGGACGATGCTGGTGAAGATCCGGCTAGAGGCTTCTGAGCAAGCCTTTGCGCAATTTACGCCTAACGACGGATCAGCCGTGTCCTTTCTGTGCTCATTCTTCCATGAACTATCGGCATCAGAGGGTTCTCCATCACGACATTCATTCGATGCTGGTCCGAAATCAAAGGGGTTGAGAAAGCTCTCTTTTCTTCTCACCAGGAGGCTTCTCCTAGAGCAGCCGTCTACGGTACCGTCTGAGCTTCTGGGGTGGGGGTTTCTCAGTGATTTGTCCTGCTGTTACCCCTCCAGTACGACTTTGAGGAAGTTGATGATCGAAGTATGGAACAAACACGAAAGCACGATTGTTTCGAGTCTCGAGAATGCCAAAGCTGCTATCATCAAGAGCCTGTCGTCGAGTGCAACTTCAGCAAGCGCGCAGGCGATCTCCGATATGAGAAGACTCACTGTTCTGGCTTCTGTATTACCGGCTTGTGGGCAGGTCCTTATGGTAGGCTCAGACTTCCTGGATACGCTGTGTGAGGCATATACCACAGACCCGAGAGAAGTACTTCGAAGTATTATTGTGGCGACTATCTATGTGGGTTTGATGACGTTGTTAAAAGAGCCCAAGGCCAACCTGTCGCTACTCCTGGATCAGCTCTTCAGTCTGAAGGCCAGCGCTGGGGTTGGGACTCCAAGAGCAAACAAAAACGCTACACTTCTCTCAGACCTGATATGTAGTACAGACCTACTTGTTCGCCTGGAAAAGTACACAAGCATCCATCCACAAAAGAGAGCGCAGGATCTTATCGCCAGCTTACGCTCATACCAATCTCATTCAAAGGAGTTGCATCATCGACATCAAAGACATAGGAAGCCAGCCCGACATTCTGACAAGGGCAAGGGTCGTGCTGCTGCTGATGGACCCGTTATCCCTGAGCATCTCCATGCTCACAAAATGTCACTTATCACCCAGATTCAAGACCTTTTCCCGGATCTTGGACCGGGTTATGTTGTCCGATTGCTCGACTTCTACCAAGACAACCCTGAAATAGTGATTTCACATCTGCTGGATGACTCTCTCGCCCCGGAACTTCAAACACTAGACCGATCGGAGCAACTCCACGCTCCCATCAACTCAGTCCCCCATCGGGATGCACTATTACCTCAGCCTACACCCCCGCAGATTCCATCACCGCCGCTTAATCCGACCCCCGCCTCCTCTCGCAAGAACGTTTTCGACAAAGATGTGGATCTTGCAGAACTCACCCGTTCCTCTGACGGTCAAGCTCACGGCCGACTTCGGTTCGGCCGTGCGAATCCCGAGCTCACTGCCGATGCCATCCTCGCAGACCGCAGCCGCCATGCCGTCAACAAAGCAGCCATCATCTCCGCCCTGGCGACATTTGATTCCGACGACGACGAGCGAGACGATACCTACGATGTAGCAGACGTGGGCGGAACCGTCGACACAGGCGCAAATGCCGACGATGCCGACGCGGAGCGCCGCACCCGACAGGCAGAGGAGCACGAGGTGACGCTGTTCCGCACGTACAAGGCAAATCCCGCGCTATTCGCGCGCGACTCGGCAACCCGGCGCGGACAGCCGCGCGCCTCTCTCAAGCGCGAAACCGGTATGACCGACGAAGCGATCGAGGGATGGGCGGTGATGTTGGCGCGGGACCCGAAGCGCCTCGCGAAGCTTGAAGATCACTTCACCCTGGGAGCAGGCGGGGCCGGCGCTGCGGCTGTCCAGCCCGATCTTCCGTCCACGGCGTACCGAAAACCCGGCCGGGAGGAGGTCGATGACGACGAGTCCGACGAAACAGGTGGTACCGATGGTGGTGCGTTTTCTGGGAGAGGCGGACGAGGCGGACAGGCCCGTGGAGGGGGAGGCCGTGGAAGGGGCCGTGGAGGAGGGCGAGGCGGTACCGGGAGGGGGAGAGGAGGGACTACCGGGTTGTCCGGTGAACAGAGCCAAACTAATACTCCATTATCACACCAGAGAAAGGAGCAGCACAAGGCTAGCAGGGCGAACCATAACCGACGGAATCAGAGGGCCAAGAAGGTGGCTCGCGGGGGTGGGTTGCCGGGTTAGTAATTGTATATAGACAGACTATTACTGGACACTTTTGTCCCCGAGGCTACGAAATAGGATGGAATTCGAAGAAATAAAGGAATTCCGTTCAGGATAATTCATTCGCTAGAGGATCATTATTAAGTGAGGATAATGTTAACTACAGGGCTCTATATATCCACCTACTGTATAAGAGAATGTCACAGTGTTTGCTGACACGATCAATGATGGTGGTCTGAAAAGATACCCTGCTCCGCATATGACTTCCTACACTCTTCCAAGATACGAACCTGCTTGGCAACATCGCCTAGCCGCCCGATGACCTCCTTGTTCCCGTCGTAGAAGGTGAACACGGCATATGGAATACCCGTTTCCTGACAGAACTCCATCACCAACCTCTGCGTGCGGCGCAGATTATGCCGCGGGATGCGGGGGTATAAGTGATGGATGGCCTGGAACTGCAGACCACCGTGGAAAAAGTCGAGCCAAGTCGGGCAGTCAACATCCATGGTGGTGCGGAGCATCTTCTGCGGGAAGGACTCGTGGATCCCCAGGTCAGCTGTAGACATGGCAAAGTGGGAGAGCGTAATCTGCAGATGGAGCGGCGCGGTGACCATATGCGAGATCATGATGAAACTGAACCGGCTGCCCCATGTCGGGATAGAGCGGTAGAGCACCCAGTACCCAAACCAGTACCAGAAGAAAACCTGTCCGCCCAGCTCGAACCACCGATGCCACCAAGCAGGGCCCTTCCTAGGCGCCTGTCCACCGAGAAGGTACTCCCAGCTAAGACGGTAGAGGTTGAATCGGCCAAACAACAAGATTGGGTAATACAGGTAGTTCTGGTACTTGAGCATGAACTGGGCCGCCGCATCAAAGGCCATGATTCGATCGTAGTAAGTGCTGCGAAGGCTGTGGAGAAAGCGATGAGAAATAGCGAAGAACGGCATATGTTCGATGTCAGGGTCGTGTTCTGGCGCGTTCGTCACGATGTGATGCACATTATGGTTGCGTTTCCACCATCCCAGACTTAACCCGCCCAAGTAATCGGCGATGATGATCCCTATCACTGAGTCCACGTGGAAATGGTGTGTGATGCCCATATGACCAGCATCATGGGCACTGAAGACAAGTTGGTGCCAGAAACAACCCAAGAAAAATCCAGAGACGGAGAACCACCCCATTCGGAGGAAGATGTATGACAAGGAAGCAAAAAGCGTGTATCGACAACATTCAATAAAGTAGCTAAAGTAGTTGCATTGGTAGAGGCCCTCCTCACGAATGCGCTTATTCAACTCCCGGTACTTCTGGCGGATGTTCTCTTGGCTGGCTGCGTCCAGCGACGGGTATTTGGCGGTATCAAGCTCAATTTGCTCGCGGGTTCTCGCATCAAGGAAGAAAAAGGGCTTCGACTCGGATTCTTCCGGAGGGCATGGGGAGGTCGAGACTGATGTGTTCGTCGACGTGTTCGACTTCCTCCGACGCAGGGCGGGTTTCGCATCTATCGCATCAAAGATCGGAGAAGGAGGAGCCGAGTTATCCTGGCTCGAGCTGTCTTCTTCCTCTTCTATCGCACACGTTTTCTCATCATAGGGACGGAATTTTCCTCCTTGGATAGGGGGGAGGAAGTTGGACCAAAGGCCTTCGATTCGACCGATTTGAAAGGCCAGCATTCGCTGACGCGCCTCTTTCGAATGCAACCTGCAAGGGAAATACCGTATGAGCTTATAGCAGCCTCAAAATCATGTTTCAGCCATGGACCTACGCAGTAATCTCATCTGTAGCATCCCTTCCCACCATGTGCTGGATGGACTTATCACCTCCTGGATGGTACTTCACCCAAGCGTCCACCTTCAGAACCCGACCATCGTATATGAGTACCAGCCTTCCATCAGATATGAGTCCCTCAATGTAGCGCCGCGAAAGCACAGTCTCTTTTCCACGACGAGGGGGCGCAGTCTTGGTTGCAGGAGCTGCCATCGCAACGTTGCGGTGTGCCGTCACAGAGTAAACAAATCGAAAAAGAAAAAACCCCCAGGAAATCGACCACGATGAAAAAAGAAAAGCTCAATAGCACATCTTATATAATGAGCTCAACCCAGAGAGAGAGAAAGAGAGAGAGATGAAATCCAGTTCCAGCAGCTCTTCGATGAACACTGTTCCTGGACCGTTGCAAGATCTGGCCAGAGGCGGGGAGGAAACATTTCGGCCAAAGAACTGCCCACGGGTCGATCCCTTCCGGAGTCCAACCACGCCACCTACTACTTCGTCAACTAAGCTATCGCGAAGAAAACACGGACTCCAACATGGCAAGGGTTGCGATGGCGAGTTCAGAGGTATGAGTTTATTGTTGATTCTACTGCTGCTGAACATCCGCTAATTCTACGCGCAGGATGCCATTTCTCCACTTGTCCAGCAATGGCTGGAGTGGGACCAGGTATAGATGAGCTATTGTCGAGCTTCATTTCTCGACTGGGCTTGCTGTAGACCTCGCTAATGGACTATGGGGGAAGGAGCCAGAGACGCGGAGTGAAATCGAGAAACTTCGAGACTCTCACGATGTGGAAGAGTTGGAGCAGCGACTACGTAACCGTATGTGGCAACGAAGTAGAATGAATCGTCGGACTGTGGATGCTAAAAAGTAGCTAATGGTCGAACTAGGTATTCAATTCGGAACTGCAGGTCTTCGCGGCCGGATGGCAGCAGGGTTCGCCTGCATGAATTCGCTCACCGTTATTCAGGCGTCACAGGGCTTAGCCAAGTATCTCCGGAACAAGCATCCAGAGATAGCATCCAGAGGGGTGGTCATCGGACATGATGCTCGTCATCGTTCTGACCGGTTTGCCGGTCTCGCTGCCAATGCCTTTATAGCGGAGAAGATCCCTGTCTGGTACTACAAGAGCGCCTCGCCGACTCCGTTAGTCGCGTTTGGAGTAACTCATCTGCGCGCAGCAGCAGGAATCATGGTTACTGCAAGTCATGTATGTCGATTTGTCTGGTCAAGCTCAGAGAGCAGAGGCTAACAGACTGAAGAACCCAGCCCAAGACAACGGTAAATTGATCCATAGATGCCTCTTATTGGTTTTTAACTGACATCATACAGGATACAAAGTGTTCGATCTCTCGAGCTATATTATAGATTGATGAGTACTGACAAAGTTATAGCTATTTTGAGAACGGCGCGCAGATCAACACGCCCATGGACGTGGAAATAGCCCAGTCGATCGAAGAGAACTTGGCGCCATGGCCTCATGCATGGGATGACCTGCAATCAAACGAGATTCTGCACGATGATGCATTGGAGCAGACTCTACCTCAATATACCGAAGCCGTCTGGAAATATGCAGTAAGTACCGTATCTCTCTATGCAGATTTCCCGGGCTGATTCCCTTCCTCTATAGAGTTCCACTGTGACGGACTGGAAACAGCCCAAACCTTTCGCCTACACACCTCTCCATGGTGTTGGTGGTCTAGTCTTCCCATCATTCTGTCGGTCCAAGGGAATCTGCGCTTTCACGACTGTTCCTGCGCAAGAGAAGCCCGATCCCGATTTCCCCACTGTTGCGTTCCCTAACCCGGAAGAAAATGGAGCCTTGGACCTTGCAATTCAGACTGCCGACCAAGAAGGAAAGACTTTGATTATCGCACACGATCCCGATGCGGATCGTTTTGCTGCTGCAGAGAAAGTAGAGTAAGTCAGCAGCACCACTTACCAGACTAATCCCAGGTTCGCTAATGCTGGCCCAGCGGCTCGTGGTTCCTATTCACTGGTAATCAAGTCGGAGCCCTTCTTGGATCCCATATCTTCGAAACCATCGATAGCCAAGGTAGCAAGTCTCCTATTGCAGTTCTCAACTCTGCTGTCTCCAGTGGAATGCTTGAGAGAATGGCAGTGTCCAAAGGCATCGAGTTCCGAGAGACCCTTACAGGCTTCAAGTGGATGGGCAATATCGCGCGTACTCTTGAAGAATCAGGATATCTTGTTCCCTTTGCGTTTGAGGAAGCCCTGGGCTACATGTTTCCTTCTATCTGCCACGACAAAGATGGAATCAGTGCAGCTATGGTATTCCTGGCGGCAGAGACAAGATGGAGGGAGCAGGGTCTCACTCCGTACACGAAACTCCAGCAACTCTTCAAGGAATTCGGCCACCACGAAACATTAAACAGCTACTTTCGTTCCCCGAGCCCGGAATTGACGAACGTTCTATTCCAGGGTATTCGAAACGGGTCTTACAGAACAGAAATGACCTTGGGTTCCTTCAAAATCATGCGTTGGCGGGACATGACCGAAGGATACGATTCTGGGACAGCAGACAAGAAGCCAGCGCTGCCGGTGGATAAGGGCAGTCAGATGCTTACGTTGTGGCTGGACGGCGATGTTCGGTTTACTCTCAGAGGCTCTGGCACAGAGCCAAAGGTGAAATGTACGTTGCGCTTCCTCTGGGTTTTACATTAGCAATTTCTGACCATAGATCATAGTGTATATTGAAAGCTGCGGTGCCTCGCGTGATCTTGCAGTCGCCGCAGTCTGCAAAGCCTTTTCGACCGTCTTAAATGAATGGGTTCTGCCTTTTGCTCCGTTGATGACCTATAGCAAACAGCTTCCCACTTCGTCCGGCCATGTTTTTACGGCGGCATGAGTGTTTAAGGGATAAAGAAAGACATTTGTGAATAAAATGAAAATCAGCCTTCAGTATCGACATTTCGAATCAGACTGCTTGGATTTCCCATTCTGACGAGTTGATTCCTTTGATCTATCTCCATCAGGCGACCTTTTCGTAGCAAACTGACGGGGACCTTCGACAGAGTCCGTGCCATTGTGTAAGCAAACCCTGGCAGTACCTACGAAAAATGACTTGAGAGGTGATTGTTTGCTATAGCAGGTCCAAGACCCTATTTGCATAATGTTCCACTGACGAAGCTTGAAGGGACCTGGTCGAAACCCATCAAACTGCGTCAAGGTTGCACCGAAGGACGCCTTTCCACCCGTTGAACATATATATAACTGTGTTGACTTCCCCTGCCTCTGGGTCTTTGCATTCTACACTGGCTACTTTTATCAGGCTTTTGAACAATCCCCTTAGGATTCTTTGTCAATGACAACATGATGGCTTGTCGCTGTTCCCACAGACATCACACCCACCACGCTGACTCGGAGCATCTAACACATCATCGAGATGAAAATGCACTTAGTACGGATGGTCATGATGGCCATGCTCTCGGGGTACCCGACTACTCGACTCACGAACACTGTTCTCGACCCGCGTGCCATAGAATGAGAACAGATGCCCAACACATATACAGTGATCTGTATGTAGTGTGTTCACTGTGCGGACCCAATACCGCCATGCTGATTTTACTACCAGACACAACGAACCGTTGATGTGTTGTCGAGCCCACCCTCAGAACGTCCATGACGACTACGAGGAGGAATGCCACGCTCATCAAACCCATTCCCAGCTCCAATTCCATTCCCCAGAAGTGCAGAATCACAGACACAATCACCTTCATTTCCATAAGCACTTCACCCTCCCATCTAGTACAGAGGGACTATGTCATTCTCATTCTCATTCCCAGTCCCAGAGTACGGCGCATGTCTGTCACAATCTCTCATCCCATTCACAGTGTCAGTCTAACTCCCACTCCAATTCACATGCCCATTATCGCGCGCACTCGCATGCACACGCTCGCTCTCATGGCCATTCCCATTCGCATTCGCATTTCCATGCAACCTACCGAGAACGATGCCATCACCACCAGACCAGAAAGGCATATGGGCCCCCTCTTCCTCTCTCCTTCATGGCCTGTACTCGACGAGAAGGAAGGAGTCGGTCAAGAGATCCGAACTTTTAGAGTAGCTTTCTTTAATTCCCTAAGCAATGGTAAATCATTTCGGGATATGGATTTATTTTTGTTTACAATAAAAAGAATAAAAAATAAAAAAAGAATTGCATCATCCGTGAATCGAACACGGGCCTCATCGATGGCAACGATGAATTCTACCACTAGACCAATGATGCTTGGTTGATGGGGTTTCGGAGTTGTACTATATGACTGACTAGTGTTTGTCACTGTGGAGCTTTAGTTTACTACCAGTTTTAGCCTTGGGTACACTACTACTGTACAGAGTAGTAGGCGAAAGGTACAGGAGGAACGTCAAGGAATACCGTTACTATTAGGTCGAGTAAACTCTGCATTCTAGTCTTTTATCATAATATTTGATACAAATGGTTCAGACATAGGAAGGAAAGGTGATTAGAACATAGAATAAGAAATGCTACATGTAGTTTGCTAGCTGGGCTAGACTAGAGGTAAGATACATGAGGGCGGCGAGATGAAAGAAATGGGAATATATGGTGGTCGCCTTGCACTTCTACTTGTCTAAAAGTGGATAGCCTTGGAGTAGGTGGCCATGGCAGCCTCCTTGAAGGCCTCGGCGAGAGTCGGGTGGGCGTGGCAGGTGCGGGCGACATCCTCGCAGGAGGCGCCGTATTCGAGGGCCAGGGCGGCCTCGGCAATCATCTCACCGGCGTTGGCGCCGATGATGTGAACGCCAAGGATGCGGTCCGTCTCGGCGTCAGCAATGAACTTGACGAGACCCTCGGTGTCGAGGTTGGTCTTGGCGCGGGAGTTGGCGCTGAAGGGGAAAGTACCGACACGGTACTTGACGCCCGAGGCCTTGACCTCAGCCTCGTTCTGGCCAACCCAGGAAACCTCAGGGTGAGTGTACATGACGCTGGGAATAACACCGTAGTTGACGTGGCCGTAGCCCTTCTTGATGTACTCGATGGCGGCGACGGCCTCCTCCTCGGCCTTGTGAGCCAGCATGGGGCCGAAGGTGCAGTCACCAATGACACGGATGTGGGGGAGCTTGGTGCGGTACTCCTGGTCGATCACCAGGCGACCACGCTCATCCTTCTCGATACCAATGTTCTCCAGGGCAAGACCCTCAGTGTAGGGTCTGCGGCCGATGGCGACCAGGACCACATCGGCGTCCAGGGTCTCCTCCTTGCCGCCCTTGGCAGACTCGACGCTCAGGGCAACGGTAGCACCGCTGTCATCACCCTTGGTAACCTTGGTTCCGGTCTTGAACTTGATACCCTGCTTCGACAGGATCTTCTGGGCCTGCTTGGCGATCTCAGCGTCCATACCCGGGCCACCGATCTGGCTCAGGAATTCGACGACGGTAACCTCAGAGCCGAGGCGAGACCAGACGGAAGCCTAAAAAGAATCGATTAACATGAATTATGTTCGTCAAGGAAAAAAAATTGAAGAGGAAAGGGGTGATCTCATACCATCTCCAGACCAATGATACCACCACCAATGACAACCATCTTCTTGGGGACCTCCTTCAGGGAAAGCGCGCCAGTGCTGGTGATGATTCTCTTCTCATCGATGTTCAGGCCGGGGAAGGGGGTGGCCTCGCTACCGGTGGCGATGATGATGTTCTTTCCACGCAGGACCTGCTCGCCGCCATCGTTGAGATTGACCTTGACAGTGTTCTGGTCGACGAAAGCACCGGTTCCCTTGACGTAGTCGACACCGTTCTTCTTGAACAGGAACTCGATACCCTTGGTCAAACCGTCAACGGAGGTGTCCTTGGCGTTCATCATCTGCTCCAGGTTGAGCTTGACATCGCCAACCTCGATACCGCGCTTTTTCGTGTCGTGGAGAATCTGGTGGTAGAGGTGGGAGTTGTTGAGGAGAGACTTCGAGGGGATACATCCGACGTTGAGGCAGGTTCCGCCGAGCTTTCCACGCTTCTCGATACACGCGGTCTATGTCACAGCCGAGGGGTTAGCAAAGCGCGATCACGGCCAAATTTCAATTTATGTATGTCTCGTACCTTCAGACCTTCCTGACCGGCTCTGATGGCAGCAACGTATCCAGCGACACCACCACCAATGATCACAAGGTCGTGCTCTTCTATTCCCAAGAGTTAGCCAGGTTTTTTTTTTTTTCTCTTCCCTGTTTTTTCTCCATTGCCCCGGAAGCACAGGATGGCCTCTGACAGGGTCTCGCGACAACATAATGATAGCAAACATACCGGCCTCAGAAGCAAAGCCACGTTTTGAGCGGCCGAAAGCAGCCAGGGACGGGGCAGCAATGAAGGTGGAAGGGGCAGACTGGGCACCGGCTGGGCGGAGGACAGACCGCGGCGTCGCTCGCGGCAGCATACTCCTGTAGAACATGGTGGAGGATATATAGGACAGGAGCGAAATAGACAATCAGACAGAGGCAAATCGACAAGAACCTCCTCGACAAAAACTGCGGGGAGGGGAGAGAGAGAGCGCAATTGGGATGGATTATGGGATGAAGATAGGATTATCGCTGAAGATGTTGGGAGCAGCTCAAGTCCTGGAAAAGCAAAAGCTGTCCGGGCCGGTAACTAACGACGGTATTGGTACGGTAAAAAAGCCTCAGCCATTGTGGCGCGGGTTACAAATTCATTATGTAGTACGTAATGAACCGGTATTGGTGTGCTGGCAATCTGTAATCCGGTAATTTAAATGCCCAGTTATCCTCGGCCAACCAGAATCGGGTCAGATCGGTTTACGTGGTTTGAATGCGCTATATGATTCCTTACTACGGATAAACAATGTTAGATAAAAAGTATAACTGCTAATCTATATGTCGTCATAATTCTGAATGATATTGTAGCTATCTTGGGAGAGACTCTCTGTATTGGCCTGTCGTCCCTCCGACCGATCATGACTGTATCAGAACTGTTTTCCGGGAGGTCGGTGTGGCTGTGGCTTATGTCATCAGGAACATGCCGTCATCAGACCAAGTATGAAACTTCAAGACTGCAGGGATTATTATTAAAATATATCTATAGAGTAGATGCATTGTTTGATATGCATATCTTTCTCTATTTGCAGCTTGAAAGTAAGGTGTTTAAAATGTGGTAGGTCTGTTGTTAAGAAGACTATATATGGCTATATAAATATCTGGTTTCTGTTGATGTTATATTTTTATAGACACCGATATTATATCTCGCCTTCCTCAGTGACTAGGAACAGACCTAGTGGGTTCATTCTCTCTACGTTTTCGCATTGGAATTAAGCCATTCCTATGTAGCTTGCAGCTGTAGATGATGTATTGTTGGTCGAAGGAGAACCATCCTCGCTGTGAGGGCAAATCTTAGGTGATGAAACTTCTCCTGCAGTCTCAGCAGCCATGAATTGGTCCATAGCCATTCTGATATCGATCTCCAGCGTAACAGACTCAAATCAAATCCGATAGATTTTGCGTGGCTGGTGTTCAAGTAGTCATCGAGTCGACCGGTCTTGTAGCCATACAGCCTCGGTTTCAGCAATGCCTGGGATATTCAAGTGATCGCATTTCCATGGATAGACAAGAGAGACCATGAATCGATCGAGAGTGGATTTTCCAGACAGAAATTATTTGTAGGCATCAAGAACAGTTATTCAAGGGATCATGGGTAATCTGGGCATAAACACCATTCTATTCGGCCACGTCCAATTCACCCGGTTTATTCCCGTATTTTGATATTGAACTGCAATTAATTAGATTTCAGTCTTGCGTGGAATAGTATCGCATCATTGCAAATGGCATTAGATCGAATTGGATGTCTATCGAGGCCATTTGATTGCCTGAGCACTGTAGTGCTCGTAATGAAGCTGTATAGCCGCTATTGTAGATCATTGAATGGCTCCGAAAGCTGCCATTACAGCAAAGAAACCGTGGTGGTATAGTGTTTTCGTTGTTGCTATCTGAAATATCAGAGTGAGTGTAAGAGTAAAAGGAAGTTGGTTGGGATCTTGAGGTCAGCTGCCTGACCTTCCTTTCTCAGGCAACTCCCCGCCCAGTGAAACCTCCTCTTCTTCTCTGCCGTCATCACAAAGGATCTGCGCCTTGATTTCCTCGGAAACGATCCGTCTCTTTTCCGATCAGTTGGCAGCAAATTATTCTTCCTGGTTCCTCCTCTGTACTTCGATAACCGATAATCTACCAGGGTGATATCTTTGTCTGCTCCCTCCTACTGCGTCGGTCTCCACCCCCACGATCGGAGTACACAAATAGACAACAGGATGGGCTGACTCTGGGGTAGAAAACGGCATTATCGAGCACCCATAAACTGGCATCTGCCTGAACGACATGGTATCCTTGACTCTTGGCTTTTCGCTCAGATCGCCGAGTCGGAGTTTGCCCGGAAAATCGGGGGAGGAAGGGCGTCTGGAGTCGTGATAAGTGGAGCAGGACAGGGTCTCAACTGCTGTGTTTTCCGCCTCCTCCCACCGGGATGTAACCATATTCGATCGTTCCGGTGATTGTTGATTCCTTGTTCCTATGCCGATCTTTGTTCTCAAATTTCAATGGCTGGAAGACCCGAGTGACCCTGGTCTTGCGTGTACAACCCCCACGGCTCTGGATCGCTGGGCGGGAGACCGGATTAGGCTATCGGGGGGGGTGTTAAGCGCCTACCGCTTGCAGAGCTACACACATATATATATAAGTACCTCATAGGACCCCGCGAGTCGCGAGTCTAGAAGCCTGTCTTCTTGTGACTGGCGCATTTTTTCTCCGTGTTTTTTTGTGTCCGCAGTTTTGGGTTGCCAGGATGAGCGACAAGATTCCTGCATGGAATATCGTCCACAAGCTAGAGAAGGGCTACCTTCTCGGCGCAGTCAACTGTGTCGCTGCCCTTTCTATTTTGTTTTTTGGATATGACCAAGGCATGATGTCTGGGGTCAATAATGCCAAGGACTACATTGATCTCATGGGATTTGGCTACACTGAGATGGTGGATGGATGGCCCACCGCCGTCGTGACCAACAGTCTGTTGCAGGGCGGTATAGTCTCGGTTTATTATCTAGGCACGCTGTGCGGGGCCCTGCTGGGTGGCTGGATTGGTGATCGCATTGGAAGAGTCAAATCTATTGCCGTAGGCGCGGCATGGGCTATTCTGGGGGCCTCGCTGCAATGCTCTGCCCAGAACCACGACTGGATGATCTGCGGTAGGACCCTCAATCGGCTGTTAGGACAGAAAAACTAGGATCAGGTCTGACTGAGACAGCACGTTTTATCAATGGCATTGGTACCGGTATTTTGAATGCGATTGTCCCCGTGTGGGCGACTGAGACTGCCGAGCATACCTCGCGAGGACAATTCATCGCCATTGAATTTACCCTCAATATTTTTGGTGTCGTTCTAGCTTACTGGCTCGAATTGTACGTGCAATTCATTGCCCAGCAATGTCTATATAGCTAACGAAAAAAGTGGTCTCTCCTTCATCGATGGTGGTGCTTCCCCCATCCGCTGGAGGTTCCCTATCGCCTTTCAAATCATTTTCCTGTTGATTTTGTTCGGGGCTGTCTGGTTTTTCCCGGAATCTCCTCGATGGCTTGTCAAAGTCGGTCGAGAGGACGAAGCACGGTACATCTTGGGCCGTCTGCGTGGAAACGAAGGGAACGACCGTATACGGGCAGACGCTGAGTTCCACGACATTCTCAACATTGCAGAACTGGAGAAGACCATGTCGCACAGCAACTCGTATCTGTCCATGCTTTTTGGGTACAAATCCGGGGACCTCCATCTCGGACGCCGTGTACAGCTTGTGATATGGCTGCAGATCTTGCAAGAATGGGTTGGTATCGCTGGTGTCACTGTTTGTAAGTCGATCATATTCATCTGTGATTCGGGGAACCTGGTTGAGTTAACACCAATCTAGACGCTCCAACGATTTTCAGCATCGCAGGTTTCAACTCGATGAAGAGTCAGTGGATCAGCGGACTAAACAACGTCTTCTACATGGTAACTAACTGCGTTTCTGGACCACTGTTGTGCAATATTCTGATCCCATCTAGTTTGCTACTCTTATCTGCGTCTTCACTCTAGACCGGATCGGCCGTCGATGGACTCTATACTGGGGCTCTATAGTTCAAGGGATCGCCATGTTCCTTGCCGGTGGTTTCTCGCGTCTCGCTATCAACGCTAACGACGCTGGAGACACCAGCCACGCCGCCTCTTACGGCGCCGCTGCGGCGTCCATGATTTTCATCTTTACTTCAACCTTCGGCGCTACCTGGTTGACGGTCCCTTGGTTGTATCCCGCCGAGATTTTCCCCTTGGCCGTTCGAGCCCGTGGAAACGCCTGGGGGGTGGTAGGTTGGAGCATCGGAAATGGATGGTTGGTGAGTTGACCCCCCCCCCTTTTTTTTCTCTCTTTTTTTAATCATACATAAGAAAAGAAAAACTGACTGTCAGACTCTTCTATGTCCTGTCATGTTCGATGCGATTGGAGAGAAGACTTTGTACATTTTTGGGATCAGCAACGTCATCACTCTCCCCATGGTATGGGCATTTTATCCCGAGAGTAACCAGCGCACGCTCGAAGACATGGATCTGCTCTTCGCCGCCAATACACCCTGGGTGTGGGATGCTGAACGGACCTTTGCCCGCCTCAAGGCCGAGAATCCCGGCCTGGTGCAATCATCGAGTCGGAAGAACAGTGCCGTGGATCCAGAGATCGGGAAGTCGTTGGCTACGGAAGTTGCAGTATCGGCAAACCAGGCGAAGAACGATGATGAGGCCACCGGCGCGGAGCATGTTGATCGCTCGTGAGCCATAGATTGACAAATTTGCTGGTACGGCATGATTCATGAAGACATGTTTTATGAAACAATTACGATGTTGACGATGATAAACGATAAACCTGGCTAGATATTGCTCAGCTATCTATAGATAACTGATTAGTTTGTCTTTGGCAAAGCTTTACACGGTCTCATTTTGACTGCAAGATACTGGAATCTAATGATCATCTAATACAGAGCCAATTTTAGGTACCAGTCATCCTTATGAAGAAGCAAGTTGGTTAATCATTTCCAAAGTCTGGTTCAATCAGTGTGACAGTTAGGGCTAGTAAGCAGTGCTATATCACTTAGATCGATCTCACTGTGTTTTCAACAGCTGGATTAAGGAGAGCTTGCTGAAAAAATTCAGGGGAGATGGCTATAAGGACGGGAATCAAGGGATATCGTTAATTCCCTTCTCTCAGCGATGCCTCCCTGTGCTGTCATTGTTGAAGTCAGTTTGTAGATCCAGAATCTACCTTCTTCCCAATCGCCATGAATAGATATTTCCTTCCGTAGAGCCCTAGAGTCCATGCGGGCAAGGAGGCTTCCAAAAGTCAGTTTGAATCTCGCCCGTCTGGACGCCCCTGTCAACGGTGTTTGTTCGTGGCTGGTGGTCGAGCCGCGAAATCAGACAAGGATACTGCACTGTATTCAGGAGCAACATGGCAGAGGCCGCTGGATCATACTCCAGCATCCTAGCATGTACCAAGGCGTAGGAGATCGACATGATTGGTCACTTTGAGAGCATTCTGCCTCAGGCATATATTTATCACGACTCATCCTCATTCAATTCCAACTTCAACTTCATTCACCTTCATCCTTCTACAAGTACCTACTTAACGAAGAGTTTGCTCAAAAAAAAGATATACATGTAAGATAGAATCTAGATACTATACATGGACATACTACTAACAGATTAAGTCTTAACATGACCTCACCAACCACCACCACCATGATTCAACCTACAACAGCTGCCACCAGTGGTACCCCTGCTCCCAAACCAATTACAAAAGGGGCAGTAGACACGTCTACCACATTAAATCTGAAGCTGAAATACCTCCGCCGCATCTCCCAGCACCCAAGCCTAACACCGTACCGGCGCAGAGTGTACCGCGCTCTGCTCTCCATCCCACCAGGCCGATGGACCACGTACTCCGCTCTAGCGACGTATCTGGACTCGAGCGCCCGGGCGGTCGGGAACGCGATGCGCACGAACCCGTTTGCGCCTGAGGTGCCGTGTCATCGGGTGTTGGCCGCGGATCGGACGCTGGGCGGGTACAAGGGGGAGTGGCGGCGAGGGAGTAAAGAATCCGCTGACGGGAAGTCGAAGAAGAGTATCATCCCTGAATCGAAGCGGGAGAGGCAGAAGAGAAGCCTCCTCGAGGAGGAAGGGGTGCGGTTTGATCCTGGGGGGAAGGCGTTGGGGGAGTGTTTTTCTGAGTTCGAGATTACTACTGCTCATTGACTTCCTTTTGAATTAGTTGTTTGGATATAATTTGATAATAAGTCGGTTCTCATCATCTAATCTATACATGGGGCTGGAACCCACGATTCATAACATCATAGCCAGAATTCTCCTTCAAGACAAAAGAAAGAAAGAAGGGAAAAAAAAAAAAGTATGTCAGTCAACCCAACGCCGGATCCCCATCTATAGTCGTCTCAACGAGTTAAAAGAAGAAAGACAGCTGAAAGAGGTCTTGGGAAGAAAAGGAGAAGAAAAAAAGGGAATGTAAGCTAGGTGGGTTCATTTGGTGACTCTCTTTGAAGCCACCCGTTTGGGAACGTCGATGTTGTGGAACGAACGGATGTGTTCCATTAGGTGGTCTCGACGGGGAAAACCATTGATCCCTTTGCGCGGACAATCTTCGATCGGACAGTCTTGATACACAGGATAGTGCACACTTGACTGGTGTCGTTTCTGGTCGGCAGAGCGTGTGAACGACCGGCCGCAGGTGGTGCAGGTGTATGGTTTTGGCGGCCTAGAATCCCAAGTCAGATGAGGTGCACTTCGTCCGGACTAAGGTAATGCTTGAGAACTCACTTGGATGATGATGGCCCAGGAGGTAGATCGGCCGCTTCAGCCAAATAGGAAACGGAAGAAGGGGAAGAAGAGGAGGGCAGCAGGAGGAGATCTGCCTCCCATCCTTGCGGCCAGCGAGCCTGCGTATCGTATGGTAGACTCATCTGACTTTCGAGGGAAGCAGGAGACTGAGGAGGAAGACCGAGGGAAGCGGTAGTTAAGTCAAAGTAATAAGACTCGGCCTGATCAAATGGACTGGACGGCGCCAGCATCGAGGACTGATGGGGTGATGACTGTGGCGAGGGCATGTCGGATTCTCCCAACGATGAAGCGTAAACGTCAGGATAGCTGAATGAGAACTGCAGAGAGCCTTCACTGCCGGTGGAATAGGATGGCTGCATGGGTGGGCAGTAGATAGGGTTCGAAGCCTAGACAGAGAATGTCCATTAATTTTTTTTTGATTCCTCTCTCTATTTTTTTTTTTTTCAATTGCAAAAGTGACAAACAATCATGAGACCTACCATGGCTGAATAAGAAAACATGGTGCCTAATAATAATGGCAATTATGATAGTAATAATAGCAATAATAATATGTAGCTGGATACATAGAGGGAGATCATCCGTATGTATGGGCTGAGGGTATTCCGGATGGGTGCGCAAGCTTCTTAAATGGCCTGAGGAGACGAAGTGGTTCGAAGAAGGAGTACTTAGTATTTAGTTACTAGTTACTGCATTGCTAGCTAGTAACTAACTATCCAAACTCGGGTCGTAAGACCTGCTAGGTACCTACTAGTCAAGACCTTCTTGGGTGGTCAATGCCAGTGATCCCCAAACACGATGCAATCACCTGAGCACAGTGCACGCCGGTCGATTCAAACAGCACGATGGACGAATCACCAGGCCCGAAAAAGCGCGAATTGAACGGCGTGACAAGAGGCGTATCGAGTCCACCAATGCGCACAGCCCACCCGGATGACGACCATTGGGCGATATCAGGGACGAGGGAGGGTAGGCAGATGCAATGAGGTATATTCGTGAAAAGTGAAGCGGATCCTTTGCCCGCTTGGCTACTTCACCCCGGTCAGGAGTGGGATTGACCGCTGCATGGAACATTCGCACAGCCTTCTAGCGCTGAAGAAGATCGCATTGCGGATCGTAGTGATTGGGCGATCCCGGTCCTTTCACGCCAGTAAAGATGAAGGGGAATCCTGACAGGAACTCCGAACTCGTGATGGGGGCCGGGGCCCATGGAGAAGGGAAGGGGGGGGCTTGTTCTTGGCTTATTATTGCCTGATAAGCCCATTCCTCCTAATAATATTGGTAAACCAGGCTGTTGACGACGATCCCACATCCCTGGCACACACAGGACTGGACCGATGCGGCTCATAGTCATCCTCCTGGGTTGGTGGGAAGTTTGTTAGTAAGTTAGAATCGAGAAACCGTACTTTGTTGTCCTGTTGCAGTGAAACAAAAAGCATTCCTGCGCCAGCTACTCCCGTGGTTGCATAGTGTTCCGGGCCCGACCGTAAAGGGAGAAGGATGGAAAATAGCAGTGACGAGGGCGTGAGCGAAAGGCTAGAGGCCGTTTTATTTTTTTTCTTTCTTTGTTTGTATTGTACGGGGTAGCTAATCAGTCGGCCCAGAATCCCAAGTCTTATTTTTTGTCGCTTCAGTCCTGGTCAGGGGATAGCGGTAGACTCACTCACAGACTGCGAGCGACTTTGACCGGCAGCTTGATCCGATAGAGAACAGACTTGTCAACTGCCCAGGCCCGATCCACGTCAGCCAAGCTTTCGAGATCCAGCGTCAACCAACCCGAGCGTGATTCAAGTCATAGCGGCCAGTCTCTCGTCTGGGGGCTGATCGTGGAGCGGCCTTCGCCAATCGACGGCCGTCACTTTTGGCCACTAGTCACTGGTCAGTAGTTAGCGGAAAACGCCTGCGGGAAAGCCGTATGGAGTACTGCCTAGATTGAGAAAAAAATACCTAGTAGTCCCCCAGTAACAAGGCGCACACACTGACAGGTTATTACTGCACCTGCACACTGGCTCTAAATCCCTCATCAAGGGCGAGGGCTAAGAATCTACTACATATGTAGTAAGGTGTGTGCTGCTGTTCTTGGACCAGCCCGTCATCGAGCAGGCAGTGCCGACAGTATGTAGTACATATTGCTCTGTAGTGAGGCGGACGGTGGTCAACCCCACAGCAACCAAGATAATCGGGCAACCGAGTCGAGTCGTTGCCAGTTGGTCGAATGATAGTGAAGTTGTGGATGACTTAGTCCTCAGCTGCAGTTTTTGCGCTTTCTGATTATCCCTGTAGCTGGTATTTTGATTGGCAAACCGCATGTGATGGCGTATACAGAGCGTACCTAGTATTTCGGCCATGAAACAACATTGGCGCAGGTACGGAGTACGGAGTAGCATGCTGTTGCTAACTGCTAGTTTACTATCAGCCATGTTAGCTTGCATTAAACCTTACCAGGTCGCCCAAAAAGCCCTTCTGTTGCTCCATACACACTTGAAAGAATTGTGCTGAAGGAACTGAGGATGCTTACTTTTACACCTTCCACTGTAATTCAATTTGACTAGATCTGCGAAAAAGGTCACGACGTCATTGAGATGATCTCTGGAATGACTTGATCGCTTGTACGGAGTACTCCGGATTCCGGAATACTTCGTAGTTACTCCGTACTCAGTACTAGTAGTAAGTACAGATGGGCATCCGACCAGCAATTAGTCGCTAACCGCTGGCTAGTGGCCCTAAGATAGATCATCCCCGCTCTGGTGGATATTGTCTTTGAATCCCTGTAAGACTAGTAAGGTAAACGGAGTATGGCGGGTTGATTGACGTGTATTTCGAGGTGAAGTTGAGTTGACTATACCGTATCTGATGTTTGGAGGTCTCCCATGGAGGCTTTGAGTGGCCCCGTTCTTCCCATGATGCCCGCATGCATCGCCACCAATTGCATCTGTGTTTGTTTAACGAGGGTGTTGCGTCGAGTTTCAAGCGAGCGGCTTGGTTGACTTGTTGTTGCTGCGCCCCCCGACTAGATAGAAAGTACCGGATGATGGATTTCCTGCATTAGCGTATGGAAGACGGACTGTTTCTAGAAAAGAACAGGGAACAAGGATATTTGCCACCCAAGACTCAGCCATCCAATATGATACCGCAACGTACGGACTATGGAGTATAGTCACTATAGTGTGTCTGCCACGGGCTAGTTGTCTTAGCAATAGTCTGGTGCTAGTGGAGAGCTGGGAAGTCCACGTCTCAGCCCTCGGTCGGAGAATATACTAGGTAGGCGATGTAGGCGCAGCACTAGAAGGTTGGAAGCCTCTGATCTGCTTCTTTCGATTTACTCTTTCGAGAAAGTTTGTCTGTCGCGACATAATATTGGTCAGGCGCGCCCCTTATACCTGGTATTGTGCTTTGTCTTTCCCCCTCCTCGACGAGCCATCGCTGCGAGCTTAGAACGATGAGAAAGACTCCCCCGTCTCTTTCTCGCTCGGCTAGCTCATGGCGATCGATTTTCAACAGACAACCAGTAGATGTGATCCCCTATCCCGTCAGGAAGCGCGAACTCAATACTCCGTACGCAGAGGATCGTGTCCCCTGCTGATCGTTCAACCGCAGGTGCGTCTCCGCATTTTCTCCTCCGTAGACCTAACGATGCAGGGGTATGGAGTAAAAAAAGCAAGCATGTTCACGAAGGAATGGAGGCCTGAACTCTGAACTCCTGGATATCTGAAGCCTGGGGGTTCGAGGGACAAGCAGCTTGCGAAGTGCAGAAATTTCGGCCTGTCTGGACTCTGTAGCTATCAGTTAGCTAGGCCTGATACGCGCCATCATGGTGGAGGTAGTAGCTGCAGTTACTTTTGGGCTTCAATAGCCATGACGCTGCCATGCAGGGGAAACCGTGACAGCCCATTCTGGCGTCTGGGAATTGGATTGCATTGTATTCTCCGCGTGGCAGAGAGGAGGAGGATTTTCTGAAAGCTTCTGTCCCGTTTCGGAAGTCACCTGAGGGGCCCAGCCTTGTCGTAAATATACTACATACTACCTACCTACCAAGGGTACATACCAGGTAGCTACATACCTAGGTAGCCTGGAGGTATATGTCGAAAGAGAGAGAGAGCTACAGCCATGACAGACGACAAGATAGCTTTGTCTTTGATTCTTCAAGTCTGTGTTAATCTAACAGACAGCTTTAGATTGAACCCATCAACCACCATGCGAGAAATGAAGCCAGACAGCGTAAAAAAAGTATACCCACAGAACTCCTCATAGTTATGTCCCGCGGATACATCCTATCACGCATTTCCCAAACAATAACCCCACAATGATGATGGTGATGAGAAGACAAAGAAAAAGAGAAAAAAAAGTTGAAAAAAAAAATTGCAAACAAACCCAGAAGTGTGACTACAAAGCCAGCGGATTTGTCCTCCCAGTAAGTTTCATGACGCCGTAGAGCCCAGCCAAGTCGAGAGACTAGAATGTATGTGCAAGACAAGGACGAAGAATCTGTTGCGCCACCAGGACCATTCCATACCGATCCCCAAGACGAACCAGAATGTCGGACGGAGAGCATTGGAGAACAAACAGCCGTCAGGATTGTATTATAATTCATCTTCAAGATACTTGTAGATAAACTTGAAATCCGCCTTGCGTCGGTTCATCCTACAATGTATTAGAAAAACAGACCCCCCCCAAAAAACGATAAAAGTTTAAAAAAAGTGAAATGAAAAGAGACTTACCATGTGCTCTCGTAGTCAAAAAAGCGGTAGGTGCCTTGTTCGAATTCCTCGGTGATCGTCTTGGGCTCTTCATGGCGCTGGAACCATGTTTGGTACTGCTTGTGGAACCGCCAACTTTGGTTTTTAAGCGCTTTGGCAGAGAGGTATTGCTGATACGAGCCTTGGCGGTAGTAGAACAGATAGAAGAGGGTATCGGTATCTATGCGCCCGGTATCGTATAGTCGTGGGTCGTCGAATATCGACAGGGGTTCTTGGGGGTAGTAGAGAGGAGTGTTGTAAGGATTCTGAGGCTTGTAGTGGCGTGGCTTCTCCGCATCGCTCGGCTCAGGGCACGTCGTGAGAGATGCGGCGAGAAGTCGTTGCACCGATGGCGAAGGTGTCGATGAGGCCCTGGTCTTAGTAACTTCGAACGAATGGATCAAATCTTGCAGACCCGGCGGTAAATGGTATATCGACTCGTCGGCCTCCTTGGCAGAAGCTTCACCGTTTGTTGTTGGCGGCTGCTCAGCCTTCGGTGATGTCGGTACAGCCTCAGCCTCAGCCTTGTCCACGGCCGCAGCCGGCGGGACAGGGCTCGACGTACTCGCGGCACGAACGCTAGGACTGAGAGCTGGTGACTTGGTCCGTCCTTGGAGACCCACCTCTTCTGCAATGACCGTGGCCGCCGGTTTCGATACCGGTTGCACGGTGGGGACGATAGGCGACGCGGTCGACGAAGCCTTGGATGACGGGACTGCAGGGTGGAACGCAGGGCTTGCGCCCGGCGGTGGAGGTAGGGGAGCAATGCCCACGCCGTTCTTGTCACTCGCAGCAGCAGCGGCGGCGGCAGATGCGTACTTGAGCGTTTCGCCTGGTAGACGGGTTGGTAACGGAGCGGGTTTCATACTCGTTGCGGTCACTGACGGGCCCGACGGGTGCAGTGTCGCTAGGACGGGCAGGGGCGACTTCATTTGCGTAGACGGTCTTCGAGGCCCTGACGCTTCCGGCTTGGGAGGTTTGGCCTTGGGCTCAGGCTCCTCTTCCTGAACCGACTGGGTGTCTTGCGAGGAGACCCGGTCATTCTCGTTGGCCATGCCAAACTGGACTTCGGCATCATCACCCAGGTTCAGGTCGTCGTACAGGGTCTCGTCCTCTCCTGAGTAGTCCACGTTATGCCCATCTTCCACGTAGTACTTGATGCTCTCCTTGACATCCATTACCTGTTTCGTGTCGATGTTGCCATTCTGTACGGAGCGAAGTAGCAGTTCGAGCTTGGTGACATGCCACTTATGTCGTTCCAGTATCCGCGTAAGATCGGCCAGGCGGTTGGTCTTGGACACGTCCTTCTTGTTCTTCTTCATCTGCATATGTAGCGTCTCCTCCTCGGCCTCCATCGCCTCAATCTTTTGTTGAAGCTCGTCGACGCATGAGGACAGGAAGTCGCACGATTCCACCTTCTCCTTCTCCTTGGGATCTAATCGCGACGCGGCCGATAGCCCTTCCTTCGAGTATGCCTTGGTCTTCATCTCCTTCTCGACCGCCTTGAACTGCTCCATACACTGTTGCTCCGGTTAGCGTTAGTCGTGGACAGGATACCTTCAAGGGTTTCGGGTGGTGGGTGGGATTGAATTGCGCACGGTTTCGATTGCTTTGCGCTGCTCCAGCAGCGGCGTCTTGTCCTTGACCTCATTGCCTGATGCCCACGACTTGATCTGATCTCGAAAGCGTTGCAGCTTCTTGATTTCTCGCTTCAGATTATCCTCCAGCTTATCCCGCTGCGCGAGATTTGTCGTCGTCTTGATCTTCTCGTAGATGCCCTCAAAGGTCTGGATCCCCTCCGTGACCTTTTTGAAGGTTTTTTCGATCTCTTGCTGTGTTTTTCGAGACGTCATGGCGGCGCTTCACATACACACGGAGCCCTTGTTTTCTCGTCAAGGTGCGAAAATAGCGATGGGCCGCTGCCAGCGTGGAAAAGCGACTCGGCAGAGGGCGCGTTCGAAGCAAAAATTGTTGACGGCGGGATGGTTGCCAGGCGAACCGCGGAGAGGCGTTGAGCGTTCGCGTGCTGCGTGGCGAGGAAAAGAGTGAGCAGATCTCGATTTCTTCCTTTCGTCCTGCGCTGCCCTTGGTTTGAGGGAGTTGGAAGCTGGGACGGCACGTGCCAAGACCGCACCGCACAGCGCTAACAAGTGGTCGGAGAGCGGAGATCTGACGTCTACACTGGAGACAGCCTGTGGACATGGCAACTGGGCAGTAGAAAGAGGCGACAGTGAACGAGAATTCCACGTCGAGTGTTGTCGAGTCCTGTACTGGTGGCCGTGTTACCATGACGAGCAAGTTTTATTATTCACTTTGAGGTGTGTTGCTAATCTGGAGGTAACTATGCAGTGCCCTCTTAATTCACTCCTTACAGAGGAGTCTTCCTTTATAAATTTATATATAGTGGCCTTTATTAATATTGAACAAATTATACTCTTTAATATATTTATTGTTGCTGACATTTTGTCGTGCAGCAGTTTTATAAAAAAAATCCCCACTCCAAGACGCAGAGATGAAAGGTTGGATAGTCTCTCCTATCATCCTATTTGATTTCAGTTCTAACAACTCGTCAGTTGTTATTCAGAGAGTGAAATCCGCGTCCGTCACCGTCGACAACTGCCTTGTCTCGTCGATAGGCCGGGGCCTACTGGTTCTCGCCGGCGTGGGGAAGGAAGACACCGAGAAGGACGTAGAATCGCTCGTTTCGAAAGTTCTCAAAGCCAAACTATGGGCTGACGACGCAGGCGGGACGGTGAGTGGTTGTTCCTGTCTCCAGATAGTATATGAAGCAGGAGACTGATGCTCGTTTCGTTTACAGTGGAAGAAGAACGTCCAGGATATTGAAGGCGAAGTCCTTTGTGGTATGTCTGGCCTTGTTTTCTTCCTCTGGTAAGAGCCTCTGACACGATACCAATGCAAGTCTCCCAATTTACCCTCTACGGTCAAATCAAAAAAGGCAACAGGCCTGATTTTCGTGACGCTGCCGACGCCGAGACCGCGCGTCGACTCTACGACCTATTTTACCGACGCATGGGCGAGCTATACAACCCGGAACGGATCAAGAACGGCGTGTTCCAAGCGATGATGGATGTCGAGCTCAAAAACGACGGGCCGGTGGGTGTAGATTACCGCAGTGAGGATGCGGCGGTATAGCTCTCAAGCTTTCTTGCAACCCCGCCCCTCTGTTGTCAGAGTCTATGCTAACTGTGAGCTTCATCTAGGTAACCATTGAGATCAATACGCAACTTCCCAAGTCCGAGAAGAAATTTGGCGATAAAAAGGACAAATCTGCGGAAGACAAGGGGGACGAGAACAGGAAAACCATCGAATTCCAATTCCCAGCATCTCTGTTAGAATGAACAGAAGAGCGACCTCGAAACGAGGTGCCAGTATATATAGATTTTGTCGTAATATGTGAGAAATGAAATAACGAGCAACCAAGCGCTTTTTACTACTGCGGGCACCCGATTTACCGTCTTAAGCTTAATAGCTGGCGTCTACCTGTATACACTCTGAAATAAGACCGAAGTCGAAACATATAGAAAGCACATGGCCAAGTGTTTCCTCTAGGCCTAAGCCTGTTGGGTCAGATTGCCCTGGTATACAGCCTGATCCGAAACAGGAGGAGATGGAAGCTTCTTGAACCGCAGCCGCCCACGTTCTTTTTTTCCCGCAGGCTCCCCTTCTCTCCCCTCTCCACTCTGCTCTGTACATCACACTTTGTGAACTACTTGAAGACATAAAATTTGCTGTATTCTGTGATTTTGCTACTTGCTTCATAATTCCTCTCCATCTTTCCACCTGCGCGTTCATTCCGATATCATCATGGCCGAGTCACAGAGTATGTACTAGCCTCACGGTGCGGGGTCGTATAGCTAACTCGGAGGCCTGGACAGAGCGTTCCCGCGTCTACTTTGACATTCAGATTGGCAATCAGAAGGCAGGCCGTGTCGCCTTTGAATTGGTGTGTTATTGTGCTTCCTGTCTTTTTGATTGAGTGATCCCGACGCTGACCGACCGATTTTCTTCTAGTTCAATGACGGTGCGAACCCCGCTTTTGACTTGCGTCAAGGTTGACGATACTGACAACAATCCAGTCGTGCCGAAGACCGCAGAGAATTTCCGTGCTCTTTGCACAGGAGAGAAGGGTGTTGGCAAGCAGGGAAAGCCATTGAGCTACAAAGGCATGTTGTGAATGTGGTCGTATTGTGTAGTGAGCCTGGTCTGACTGATGATCTCCCCGCGGCGTACAGGCTCGATCTTCCACCGTGTCATCAAGCAGTTCATGATCCAGGGTGGCGACTTCACCTCTTTCAACGGAACCGGCGGAGAGTCGATCTATGGCGAAAAGTTCCCCGACGAGAATTTCGAGCTGAAGCATGACCGTCCGTTCCTGCTCTCGATGGCCAACTCCGGCCCCGGTACCAACGGCAGTCAGTTCTTCGTGACCACCGTTCCGACACCGCATCTGGATGGGAAGCACGTCGTATTTGGCGAGGTCATAAACGGCAAGAGCGTTGTGCGGAAGATTGAGAATATGCCCACCCAGGCTGACAAGCCGAACACCGACGTGACTGTTGTGGAGTGTGGCGAGCTCACCGGAAAGGAATATGACGAGGCCGACAAGAAGGTGGCAGATTCTACTGGTGATCCGTTCGAAGATTTTCCCGAGGATCACCAGGGTGAGGATCTCAGTGCTCCGCTGTGCTACAAGATCGCCTCCGAGCTCAAGGCCTTTGGAAACAGCGCGTTCAAGAGCGGGAACCTCCCATTGGGCCTGGAGAAGTACCAGAAGGGTCTGCGTTATTTGAACGAGTTCACAGAGCCGGATGAGAAGGACCCCAAGGAGTTGGATGGCCAGATGAAGGCTCTGCGCTTCACTCTCCACTCCAACTCCTCGTTGCTCGCCAACAAACTCGGCCAGTTCCAGAACGCTCGCACCTGGGCGACCTATGCGCTGGAAGTCGCCAACGGAGCCAACGCCAAAGATGCCGACCGGGCCAAGGCCCTCTACCGTCGTGCCGTTGCCTTCGAGAACCTGAAGGAGGAGGACGAGGCGCTCAAGGACCTCGGTGAGGCTTCCAAGCTTGCCCCTGCCGATGCCGGCATTATCAACGAGATTGCCAAGGTCAAGAAGGCCATTAAGGACGGCGAAGCCAGGGAAAAGGCTGCTGCCCGCCGCTTCTTCTCCTAAATTAGCAGTTTGACCGATTCAGGCTGAGCATACCAAATCATACTCTCCTCCTTCATGGCCTCTGGCATCTTCTAGCATGGAGCCCCCGGCGCATTGTTTTATTTACCTATCTCTTACCTACTACTTGAACGAGTGCATGAATATGAACCACGGAATAAAAAACCATCAACTTCACTATATGTACTCATTGGATACTCCATATACTTCTCTGCTAGAAATCAAATACGCAAACCAAGATGATAGCACCATTCATCTGAAATATCGGCTATATCTTTGAACTAACCGATAACCACAACCTGTAGACCTTTGCTGATTAGATCGCCTGAGACGCCAAATCGCCTTTCGCCTGGACCTTCCTTCTCTTCTCTTCTCACCGCGCCAGCTATCAGATAGCTGGTCTGTCTGGGAAATAAATAGTGATAGGTTAGCCATCTATCCTTTCCGGTCTTATCTCGAATTGACTTTGTTTCCTGGCAGCCAAGCTCGTACTCACGCCGTCATGTCCGGCCTCAGCCACGAGTGTTCCATCCTCATTGTCGGAGGGGGGACATGGGCCTGTTCAACAGCCCTGCATCTTGCTCGTCGAGGATACAAGCACGTCACAGTGCTTGACTCTCATGATATTCCCTCACCTATTGCTGCCGGGAACGACGTCAATAAGATCATGGAACATAAGGAGCCGATAGGTCTGTTGGTCGCTCATCTCTAAAGACCGAAGAATGCAAAGAATATCGGCTGACAGTATGAAAAAAAAAAGAATCAGAGACTGATCCACACACCATTGCTTTTGCGACCTGTACGAGGGCGGCGTTGAAAGGATGGACCACCGACCCGGTCTTTCAGCCGTACTTCCACGCGACTGGCTTCATCTACTCGGGACACACGCGGGAGTTGATCGAGTACATTCGAGAGAACGAGGTCGATCCGTACAATGCCGACTTTGAGAAGCTGGAGACGGCCGAAGACTTCCGAAAGACCATGCCCGACGGCGTGCTAACGGGCGACTTCCCAGGGTGGAAGGGGTGGCTCAATAAATCCAACGCCGGCTGGATCCATGCCCAGAAAGCGATGGTCTCGGCCTTCAAGGAGGCAAAGCGGCTCGGCGTTATGTTCATCACCGGCTCCCCTCTGGGTGATGTCGTCTCTCTTGTTTACAAGCAGGGAGATGTGATCGGCGCGAGAACAGCCGACGGGGTCGTCCACCGCGCCGATCAAACGATTCTGGCCGCAGGCGCAGGCAGTGACCGGCTACTAGACTTTAGGAAGCAGCTTCGCCCTACGGCTTGGACGTTGTGTCATATCCAGATGAGCCCCGAAGAGGTGCAGCTCTACCGAAACCTCCCCGTGCTGTTCAACATCGCCAAGGGGTTCTTCATGGAGCCCGACGAGGAGAAGCACCAGCTCAAGATCTGCGACGAGCACCCAGGCTACTGTAACTGGATTCCCGACCCAACTCGCCCGGGCCAGAAGCGCAGTATGCCGTTTGCCAGACATCAGATCCCACGGGAGGCAGAAGCCCGAGCGAGGGGTTTCCTCCGTGACACGATGCCCCATCTAGCCGATCGACCTTTGGTCTTTGCCCGGATCTGCTGGGATGCTGATACGCCAGACCGCATGTTCCTGATCGACAGACACCCCGAATACCGGTCGTTGGTGGTAGCCGTTGGAGGCTCTGGGAACGGAGCAATGCAGATGCCTTGTATCGGCGGCTTCATCGCCGACGCACTAGAGGGGAAGCTCCAAAGCGAGCTGAAGCATGTTGTCCGCTGGCGGCCTGAGACTGCTGTTCACCGCGACTGGGACTCAACCCAGCATCGGTTTGGGGGACCGAATAAAATCATGGATTTCCAGGAGGTGGGTGAAGACGGGTGGACCAAAATTAGGGAGAAGGCATTACCAGAATAATTAAGTGAATTCTTTTTTTTTTCAAAGTACATGTCCATTATAACTACTGGAGATATCTCGACAAGAGACCGTCGTTATCCTAGCGTGTCTACCTACTAGAAAAGGCACAAGCGCCCATATCGTGCTTCACCACCGCAGCCTCGGGCCTGATATCGAAATCAAAGATGTCCATGGGGACACCCAGCGTCGTGCACGCATTCGGGATATCTACCAGGCCCGCGATGTGGCCCTGGACAGGTGCGCAGCTGAGCAGCAGGTAGATCTGGTAGTCATTGTACCCATAGCGGCGAAGATACTCGATGACACGCAGACAGGTCTGACGGTACGCGACCGTCGCATCCAGATAATGCTGCTTACCCTTCTCGTCGACAGAGAATCCCTCAAAGGTCAGGTAGCGGCCGGGCCCGAAATGTGGCTCGACAGGGCCCGGGTGGAAGATGGGTGACTTCATGCCCAGTGTAGCCATGCCGGCTTTCATCACTGTGAACTTGAGCGTGATCACGCCTGCCATCTCAATAGCACCGCAGAACGAGATCTCTCCATCCCCCTGTGAGAAGTGCAGGTCCCCGACGGAGAACTTGGCTCCAGGAACGTGCACGGGGAGGTATACCTTGGAGCCACGCGAGAGGTTCTTGATGTCGCAGTTTCCGCCGTGCTCGGGGCGGCCCTGGGAATAATTAGCGCATATGCAATTTTTTCACTTGCTTTTTTTTTCCCTGTAGGCGTACCGGAATGGTTCTTGCTCCCTCTCTGGCAACCTTTTGCTTGATCTCCTCCCCGGCACTCCCTGCGTGGGCATTCTTGGGCTCAGGCGGTTTAGCCACGTCGCGGCCGGGAACCGTGTTCGCTGCGATCAGCTCGCCTTCGCGACGATTCCACTCGGCAAGGATCTCGGCAGAGGGCGCGCATCCAAGAATTCCCGGGTGGATGAGGCCGGGGAAGCGTACATGCGGGATGTGGCGGGAAGAGCAGAAGATGCCCTCAAAGTCCCAGATGGCTTTGGCTCTTAAAAGGCTTATCAGAAAAGACTGCCAGAATAGCTCAATCACAGGGAAAATGTCACTCATACGCTTCCGGATAAATCTCGTCTAGAAATCCTCCCCCGTTCTCCTTGGCAAACACCCCGGTGAACCCCCAGGGCTGGTCCTGGAAAGGCTGAACGTCTTGGATCTCAACTAGGAGCACATCACCCGGTTCGGCGCTCTCGATCTCAAAAGGACCAGACAAATAATGGATCTGCGTGAGGTCAACGTCGCGTACGTCATCGGCTGAATCGTTGTTCTTGATCTGTCCGCCCGTCCAGTCCAAACATTCGATCTTGACGACTTCGTTATTGGCGATTTTGCCGCACGCAGGGACTGTCCATTAGAAATGAGATGGAAAGTACATCAAATCAAGAGTGTCCTTCGTACCGTCTGGATGCCATCTGTTCTGTAACGAGTCAGCATTTGATAGTAACCATAGAATAGACCAATCACTTACATGCAACCCGGTTTGCTCCCAGGCAGGCTTGTCCAGGTCAACTTTGAGTGCAGTGCGGATTTCCCTGACGCCCATATTGGAATGTTGATGGGTATAGTGATCGGTTTGTAAGAGGAACACTGTTACAACGACGGGAGGAGAAGTCGGAGCCTCCCCTCTGCTGGTCTCGGCTTTATCTATCTCTACCCCGCAGGCGGAGAGGCCGACATTGCTCTAAGTGGTTGTATTATTATGGTGTTGATAAAGATGAGTTCATAATATGATTTGCTCTAGTTATCACCCGCTTATCGTCGGTTCACAATGAAATTGCGCGCCAGTAGTGGTCCGATTTTTGCATACTGATGCTCCTATTTCCAGGGTCAATGGAGGGCACTGCCACATTATGTTGATAACGCCGTTTACATAGGACCCGATTGATACCCCCTCCGTGGTCTATCCATGATTTAGATGCAAAATAATGCATACTGTCTCCAAAATTCGAGTGCAAGATGCAATGGCCTCTTATATAGGCGCTAAGAGCGGGTCAAGACAGGTGCGAAAGCTCTATGAGAACTTCTTCCTCGGTGTATCGAAGACGGATTCCTTCTGCTGCGGGTCATCAGATACAGTGTTCAATTTGTCGAGTTTATCAAGCGACAATTGCAGGAAGTCATGCTTGTTCTTCCAGGTAGTCTGGGACTCGGCAAAGTCCTTGCTTTCACTGGGATCCGGTGGAGGATCGGTGATTTTCGTGACCAAGTACGCTGTCGATGCTTCAGCAACGCCATACAAGAGTACACCGATAAATGGTGTCTTCAAAAGAACCGTGAAGCCAAAGGCAAACCCGAATAGAACGCCTTCACGGTCGCGAAACCATCTTTGTTTTTGCTCGGGAGTGAACCGAACCCGACTGAAGTAAGGCTCGAGCTTATGATCTCGTTAGCTATGAGTCTTTAGAGGAGTCATAGGACCGTAGAAACCCACCAGTTCACGCATCAGGCTGCGTGAAGAATAATAGGTGTGGAGAAATATCACAATATATCGTTTTGGCAGGAAAAGGCCGGCGCCAAAAAGAGCTGCAGCGGGAGTCGTTCCTACGCTGCTTCGGAATGCATAGAAACTGGCTGCGGGCATAACGAATCGGCCCACGACCGGGGTTAGAGACAGGAGATAGACCCCAAGCATCATACCAACTCGCTTGGCATACCGCCGCAGAAAAAGCATTAGAGCCTGGGGCACCGGATTGGATACGCCTACTTTGCCTTGGGTGGAGTATCTGACGAGGTTTGGGTAGTACATGGCCCGCAGCGTTCTGGGGTCTTCGGCCTTGTGCTTGTCCACGTAGGTGGAATCGACCCAGTGCAGTGATTCCATGAAGCTGGTATAGTCAGACCTGAGCTGGACACCACTCAAAAATCAATTCTGGTAACTCACATCTCATCAAGTGTCGGAGTGATATATCGCATGAGCGACATCAACAGAAAGGGGACTTGTAGAACGGACTTGGACAAGAATTCCAATCCGTTCAAGATCCGATCATCCCATGTGGCTTGGTCGAGATTCGATACCAATGACACAATCCATATCACAAACTTGATAGCTATGATCTTTTGTTTTCCAAAAAGCTTAGTTCCCGATCTTGAAATCTTCACAGCGGCGTCCAAGCTTATCTCATACCGGAACTTGAATAATGAGCTGGATAATCACGCCCACAGCAACCGCCAGGGCTGCTTGACGAAAGTGATCATATTTGAAGAGTTCAGGGTTGCGCAATGCTCGGACAGCTGCCAGTCACTCTTAGTAAACAATACTCTCTAGTAGGCAGATCGCACCCAGGTTCCAATAACCGGAAGAGCAGCTCTCGAGTGGCAGCAGCGAAGAAGTAGCCACACACAACTATCTTATAAGTTCAATGAACTTCTGTGTGATTCGTACATCATGCCCCCTCCCCTCGTGCGGAAATTATATCCCAGGCTGCTGCTCTTCCGCCAGTGGTACCCAGGCTAAGATCGACAGTCAAAAGAAACAACCAGGGGAGACGAACTTCCAACAACCGTCAACTGGAATCCACGGATCACCGCATTGGGCTCGAAATTGGACATTTTGCGCTCGACAAGAGTGAAGACCTCCAAGCAACAAGATGGCGTCTTCACCCAAAAGGAGAAAAACAAACCCACCGCAGGCAGCCATGAAATCCACTGCGTCATCCGTCAAACAGAACAAACACCGGAACCGGCGGTCACGTGGACATATCTATGCCTCAGGCCTGCTCCCCGCCATGGACACTGCCTCGTCGGAATGCATTCTTCGGGTCAAGCAGACTTTGTGGTTGTTCCTTTCCCCTTCATGTGCCAAATGGCCTGCTGCACGCTGTAAATTTGCGGGTGATCCGTTCCTTTTCGATGTGATTGTTTCCCTCGATCATTCTTTTGACCACCATGACAGCGTCGTCCGATGCGCTGCCCCCTGTATTCTCTTTGCGTCGATCTGCAACGCTGCCAACCAAGTTGAGCCCGAGAAAGCAGCGATTCTCAGACAGCGCGTTCTCGCCTGAGGACCATTTCTTTTATCATCCATCTGCGAAGATTGTCCATTTCGCCCCGAGAGCACTTGCGCCCATCCCATCGAGTTCCGGACCCTCTGATTTCGACTATCCGGTAGATACGATCGAGACTCTACCATGGCGATCGCCTACAGAAAGAACGGTTGCCTTTGCGCCACTGAGACTCGAGAAGGTCCAGGGTCTGACGGTGTTTCTAAAATGTGGTAGTGTGGTGCATGCGATCTTGAAGAACTCTCAGTGCTGGTGTGTGGATGGGGAATCGACGTTTGTGTTGCGTATCCGCCCTTTAACATACTATCGAATCGAGCTGCCAAACGAGACGGAGGGGGATAAAACAAAGGTTGGAGAGCTGAAGACTGCTCTGTCTGGTGTTCTGCGATACGAGGTTACGCCCTGTCCGTTCAAACGAGGCTTTACCGTGGAGATTCCGGAAGAAGCGAAAGCCCCCCGGCGCAAAAGAGCATGGCGCCCGAAGGGACGGAGAGAAAGCGCTCCAGCAGTCTCATCGTTTGCAGGCCAATCCCTGCAGGAAGAGGAGGATCCTGCTGAGTGTGGGAAAGATACGAGTGATACCCCGAGCACCGGTGAAGACACGGACGGAAGTACGACGGATGACAACTGCGTCACATCGAAGAATGGTGGCAATTCTGTCCTAGAAACCATTCCTGACGAAACGGAACCTGTGGTGATCAAACACTCAGAACCGATTGAGATCCCAGCTCCTGAACCCCGACCGAGTTTCGATACCTTGCTGGCAAGGTTTAATACTGATCCCGAGCCGGAGGTTGATCCCGATATTTCATTCTCGTCGAGCGTCGACTCCTTTCACTCTGTACAAGTATCATCACATTTACCAGAAGCCCCTTCCGATCTTATTCTGGACAGCTCGGAATCCGATTCAGTTGCCTATGTCGAGGAAGACTCAACAGAGATCTCGCAGCCTTGGACTGCAGTGCCGAAAAGAGACTCGATCGATTCCGGAGTTTCTACTCCTTTGGTTACCGATGATCACTCCGGGCATATCGAAATCCGGGACTGGTCACCTTTATTTGCTCCAGTCTTGATCACCGACCCCGAGCCTGCACCCAAATCATTCCTTGCTGTTCCTGGAGGCTATGAGTCTTCTGAGTCGGCAATCATGCCCACCGGGGTCTCTTCGCCCACTAATATGCATCGCAATTCCGCCTTGAGTCATGAACTTCGTCGCCGCGTGAAGGCTTCCAGGAACCGAGACGTCTCCCCTTTGCCCCCGTCTTCAACGCTATACCACCCTGGGTCGGATTCAAGCAAGCAGATCACGGCTTCCTTCATTCGCAAGAGCTGCACTCTGGTCCTCATCCCTCCCATCCAGCTTTTCATCGTGCTCATCCATATTGCCGCTAGAATCGTATTAGGCCCTGCTTTGAACCCAACACTCGCGGATCTGCACCCACGACTGGAGCAACAGTCCGTCTCAAACAGGCGAGAAAATGAGGATGACTTTGGTCTGCCTCTTCCTTCGGATATCTCTTCACCGTCGGGCGAGACACAGTCATCGGCTGACCTTGATTGAGACCTACTCTCTGTATTCTTTACCCATGTACACTGACTGTCTACATTAATTTTTTCATCCTCACTGTCTTCACCACCAAATATCTCTTATAATCACGACAGCCTCTCATTCCACTCGTCTCCTTCTCCTCTGTCTTCTTTTATATCCTGTGACGTGCTCACGGAAGAACCACGACACGCTCTCTCGCTACGATCTCTCCTTTCTATTTCCTTGCATTGTTTCGGGCCACACTTGTATCATTGAGTTTTGGGATTCGGTTCTGTCACCCTTCAGTCTCTGCTATAGTTAATGCATAATTGTGTACATTGTCTTCGCTCGTCAACCGAGGTTTGGCATCTGATTTCCATGTCGTCTAGAGCCGTAAGTATGTAAGTTTATCTAGCCCGTTATTCGCAACAGTTGAATATTTGACAATGAGAATCGAAGAAGAAAAAAATTTAAAAAAAAAACGAAGACAAAAGATAAGAAAGACATAAGATTCTAACGCCAGTCCATGCAAGAAGTCGTCATGAGTAGCTTTCCCCTTCCTCACGGTTCCCTTCGATACCATTCTATCCCCATTATTTGGCCACCTTCGCGGCGGCCCCCTTCTTTGCCTTCCCGCGTTTGCGGTCGCGCTTCTTCAACCCGCTCATGCCAGCCTTGCACACCTCCGCATACCGGGTGTAGAACGTCTCGAGCTCGTCGGCGGCCACCACGGTGGAGATCTTCACCTTGGACGCCTTCGACTTGGTCTTGGAAACGCCGCCGTTCGCACTAGACTTCGGGTTCGGTGCGCTGGTGTTGCCGTCCGTGGCGCGGATCAGAATCGAAGGGCGAGACGGCGCAACAGCTCCTTCTTCGGTGGTGGGTTCGATCAATGCTTTCTGGGTGAGGAAGACGGACCCGCGGGCTTTTTGGGAGGTTTGATTCAGGAGGTTGGTGAGAGAAGAGAAGAACTATATATATATATATATATATATATCAGTACATTTTAATATTCAAATTCATAAACATATCAAAATTGAATAGGAGTAGAGTATTAGATCAACTGTCAGTGTCATACCTCTTCATGTGTAAGATGAGGTGCCATTCTGTTGTAGCGTTTTGTGGGCTTCTTAATGCGTCTGCAATAATTAAGAGAACCAAGCCGTCACAGTCAATAATTATAGTAACTGGTTTAGTCTTCCCAAACGTCTGATTGCTCAACCTTTGCTCTCTAGTCTTCGCAATCCAACAACCATATTAACCACCATCTGGTCTCATGCCGGTCTCAAGCGGTGGGGGACAAGAAGCTCCGCCGCCCGCGCTGCCGCCTCCGCTCCGCAATTTTTCTGGCGGCATAAAAAAAGTTCCCGCCGCCTTTTTTCGACTTGTTCTGCCACGCTCAGGGCCAGGGAAGCAGCAAAGACAAGACAACGGTCGGTCCCTGTCAGAATGCGACACTCGCGCCCCCTGCATAATACTACATCGCTCCCTCGGGGCCTGCGCGACGAACTCGGTATCAAGGACCGATATGGCGAGAAGAAACGTAGGTTGAACGGTCCGGCGTCGCGAAAGGACCGCCGCAAAGCAGAACGAGCGGGAAAGAAGTCGAACAAGACCCATGGCTTTCGCCAGACAAGACGCGAGCAATTCGCTGACGACGGCGACGATGACGAGGGTGGTGATCTCGGTGCGTCCGATTTGGCGAGTGAAGACGACGAACAAGAAGAAGAAGAAATGCCAAAGCCGATCTTGAAGAAGTCGACGTCAAAGACAGCTGTGGTATCAAGCCGGGATGATGATGATGAACCAGCAGAGTCAACTCGACGAGTCTCGAAAGCGATCAAGGACAAATTGGATCAGGATGATGCTGAAATTGCTGCTTTGGAGAAGAAGCTGGGGCTCAAGAAGGGCAAAAAACTCCCCAAGTCATTCATGGACGATGGGCTGGATGATCTTCTGGGTGATTTGGACGAGGGGTCTGGGGATGAGAGCCGCAAGCGCAAACGAGAAGCTGACGAATGGCTACTGAACAAGAGGAGGAAGGCCCAGGGACTACAATCAGACAATGATTCTGAGGATGATGATAGTGATCTGGAAGACGACGATCTCGATGGTCTGCTAGACGAAGACGATGAAGATCTCGACGATGAGGATGATGAGGATGACTCGGGTGCATCGGACGAAGACGACGAGGGCGACTTTGAAGGATTTGAGGATGAAGAGGAAGAGAAGCGCTCCCAACCGAAGAAGAAGGAAAATCCTTATGTTGCACCGGTCACAAAAACGGATGATACTCGACCCAACAAATATATCCCCCCGTCACTTCGCGCGGCTCCCACCTCGGAGACGGAATCTCTCACACGATTGCGCAGACAGGCCCAGGGACACCTGAACAAGTTGTCCGAAGCCAATCTTGTTTCGATCCTGGCTGAGTTCGAGAAGCTATACCGTGAATACCCACGCCAACACGTTACTTCGACATTAATGAATCTTTTGTTCGGTCTTGTCTGCGAGAGGTCGGCGCTGAACGATACGTTTGTTATTCTCCACGCCGGTTTCATTGCCGCACTCTACAAGGTGATCGGTATGGACTTTGGTGCAGAGCTTGTGCAGAAGATCGTGGAAACGTTTGACGCTGGGGGAGATGAACGCGGTCAATTCGAAGGCAAGGAGTTGATCAATCTGATCTCTCTCCTATCACAACTATATAACTTCCATGTTGTCGGCAGCGCGCTGGTCTTTGACTACATCCGGATTTTCCTACAGGACATTACTGAAAGCAACACCGAACTTCTGCTTAAGATTATCCGAAGTAGGTTTTTGGGGTTTTCTATTTTTCTGATTCCTTTTGGTTAAAAAGCATAATCGACTAACCGCATGCCATTAGATTCCGGTCCTCAGCTGCGCCAAGATGACCCTTCTGCGCTTAAAGACATTGTCCTGCTCATTCAGCCCGCAGTGGCCAAAGTGGGCGAAACGAGCCTTTCTGTTCGCACCAAGTTCATGATCGAGACCATCACCGATCTGAAAAACAACCGAATCAAGGCCGGTGTGGGATCGAGCGTGACATCAGAGCACATCACCAAGATGCGCAAGATTCTTGGCTCTCTCAACAGCTCTCGCGTCATTCGAGCCTCGGAGCCGATCCGCATTTCACGGTTAGACATCCACAACTCTTCAAAGAAAGGGAAATGGTGGTTGGTTGGTGCGAGCTGGAAGGAAGATCCGCTCGAAGCCGCTCGTCAGGAACTCTCGGGCCTGCCCCTGGGCACCCATCCTGATTACCCTCAGCAAGATGCGGATGACGACGAGGATGCAGAGCCCGATCTTCTCGGGATTGCCAAGGCACACCGGATGAACACTGATGTACGGCGCTCCATCTTCGTTGCAATCATGTCTGCCACAGACTACCAGGACGCCCACGTACGCCTCCTGAAACTCCGGCTGAAGCGTGCTCAGGAGTTCGAGATTCCTCGGGTCCTTCTCCATTGCGCTATGGAAGAAGAGGCACACAACCCATACTATACGTTGATTGCGCGCCGGCTCTGCGGAGAAATGGGCCGGCGGATCAAAGTCTCCTTTATGTTCGCGCTGTGGAACATCTTCAAGCGAATGGGTGAAAGAAGCGATATGGACGATGGGGATGAGGATCCCGGCTTTGACGACGACAACGAGAGCGACAAGGTCACGATGAAAGCCATCGTAAACCTTGCCAAGATGTATGGTGGTCTGGTTGCGGACGGGTCGCTAGCATTGAACATTTTGAAGAACCTGAATTTTGCATATTTGCAGCCCAAGTCCAAGACATTTGTGGAATTGATGATGATCAGCGTGATTCAACAGTCGCAGAAGCAGAAGAAGAAGAAAAACGCAAAGAAGGCCGCCAAGTTGAACGCAGATGATGAGAGCACCGGGCGAGACGAAAAGGCCCTGGAAGATATCTTCTTCCGCACTCGCGATACGCCACAGGTGGTCAAGGGGTTGATCTACTTCCTGCGCAAGGTTGTTGCGAAGACCGACATCCTTGACTCGGACAAGGATCGGAGGCTGATCAAATGGGGATGCAAGGTGGCCGTCGACACTCTGACCGTCGTGGCAGGTGAGGGCAGAGATTGAGATCGTACAGCGCTTATTATATTCATATCGACGTTATATAGACAGTTGATCTGATCAAAGATAGATACCAATGTCGAGAGAGCTTCTCATGATTTATCCTAGGTAATCTTGTCTCTTTTTCTTTTTCCTAATACTCCTGCACGACCTACTCAATCACTGGCCTGGTACTTGGCCCGATACTCCTCCAGACGCTTCATATCCTCCTCATCGTCCTTGCCCTTGAGCAAGGCAATCAGGTCGTCGAGGGTGACGATGCTGGTGGTGGGCACGCCGTACTCCTTGCGGATCTGGCCCATGGCGCTCATTCGGGGCTCGCCATCATCGATTCCCTCCTTCTCCCTGGGGCCGGGCATCTTCTCCAGTCGGTCCAGCGCAACGGTAAACCCGATGATCTGGCCGCCCTGGCTCTTGACGAGGTCGATCGACTCCCTCATCGCGGTACCGGCCGTGACGACATCGTCGATGACCAGCACGTTCTTCCCATTCAGCGCCGCGCCAACAATGTTTCCGCCTTCACCGTGGTCCTTGGCTTCCTTGCGGTTGTAGCTGTACGAGACGGACGACCAGGTGGCAGGGTCGAGACGGTGGAGTTCTAGCAGGGTGGCGCACGCGAGGGGGATTCCCTTGTAGGCGGGGCTTTATGATCTCACTGTCAGATGAAAATACCCCTCCCTTTTCTATTCATGGCTATTCAAAATAAAAGCATACATACCCGAAGATAACGTCCGGCTTGGGGATGGACGGGTTCGCGGCCAGAAACTCGATGATGGTGTGTGCGTAGGCAATGGAAACAGCCGAGAGGAGAGCCGAGGTGTGGAACAAGCCCGCGTTGAAAAAATAAGGCGATTCTACGGCCCATATTGTCAGTGCTTGCGCGTTGTATCAATAGATGGCGGGGAACATACGACGGCCGGACTTGAGGGAAAAGGTGCCGAAGGAGAGCACTTTGGCGGAGATGCAGGACTCCAGGAACGCCTTCTTATACGCGCTGATCTCGGAGGAAGCCATAGTAGCAAGCTTGGGACCGGTTTCTGAACTCGCTGAGGAATAATTGCTTGTTCAAAATGTCCTGGTGGTGGTGGGGTGAAGATCTTCCTGGAGATAAGAGACTTTGTATCCCGTTCCGGTTTAGACTGGCTGAGGTAATCCGTGTCACTGGCAGGAAGGGGTTGAGAACTTGAGGGAGAGATTAGAACTTCACTCCCTCTCAATCCTTTCTGGCCATTTGATATATGATAATATGGATGAACCATTCTTTCTGCCCCCATGGCTGGCATGGCTTTTGGCCTTTTCGATAGCTTATGCCCTAGAAACTCTGATCTAAGGCCTGCTATGATGCCGATACTCGACCTGACGACCAAACATGAGTGGTAAAGTCTCCGGGCGTGTCAGATATATTCCCTGGAGACAACCTTGGTTGCAGGTTTATGATCCTCTTGATGGATGATTACACGGCGCTGATAAGGGTGGAGTAGATATATTTGATGACCAAGTATGGCTCTGATATATAATGGTCGGCCCCGAAGCCAGATCGATTCTAGCAGTACTCTCATTGTCTCATAATACTCTCATCACTGGTGCTTCAGATACCTTAGGAACGTCCTTGCCCGGTGGGAGAGCCCCAATCCCCTGGAATATAACACTCTGTATGCCCTTGTGAGAACGGAGCAAGGCAAGGCCGTGGAGTATGGCCTGGAACCGACATTCTTCCATACCAAGGATGAGACGAACACTACAGAAGCGATGGCCAATCGTTGAATCAGCATTAGTTGCCTCCTAGTCGATTTTGCGAGTGTCGATGTCCAAGTCCCCATGATCAAGGCCAGACTGATGTCAAGCAACAGAGGGTACTTTTAGGCAGCTTCTACCCAGAAATCATGTGCAAGCAGGACAAGAAATAGGCCACAGGCGTCACGGATACTACCTCGCCTCTAGCGGCCTGGAAGGAGGTCTACAGCGCAATAGCGAAGGCCTTGCGAATCGACACGCTGCCAACAAGAGGTGAACTGGGCTCAATCTCAAGTAATATTTCCAGTCTCGGTGACTGACACATGGCAATAGATAAACGAGAGAAGCAATGAATTCTGAAGAAGGAAAAAATAAAAAATAAAAAAGAATTGCATCATCCGTGAATCGAACACGGGCCTCATCGATGGCAACGATGAATTCTACCACTAGACCAATGATGCTTATTTGAAGCAAGTTCTTTAGTTTCGGGGACGTTTGGAATAATAAACTAGAGCTAAGAAAATTGTTTCCGGAGAAAAAATAAACCCAAAAAAGAATGCATCATCCGTGAATCGAACACGGGCCTCATCGATGGCAACGATGAATTCTACCACTAGACCAATGATGCTTGTTGAAGCGGGATCCTTATTTAGTTATATAAGCTAAAATAGGGATCAAATTTACTCTGTAGATGTGTAGACTCAATTATGGAATAGCATAAGATTTCGTATTATCTAGAAAAGCCAATCTATAGTAGACTACCTTTATATTGCCAAGTTCTCATATACTATATAGTCTAACTGTCACTCTTGGGAGGCAGATATACAGAAACCTCCAGACCATTATGGAACGGCAAAGTCATATTACTGAAATGGTTTGCCGGATCACGAAGATAGTCAAGAAGATCTTTATACTTTTCTGCCGATCCGATGGTATTGTCTGCGACGACGACCGCGCCATGCCGCATATGAGGCTGGACGAGCTTCAACGCCGGCAACGCCATGGGTGTCCAGACTAGTAGCAGCTTATTAGCAAGAGAATCCATATTACTATATATCTAGATATGCAGGGTTGGAACCATACTGTCCAGTAAGAGAAAGTCGATATCGTGAAGATCAGACTGCAGCGTTTCGCGCAGATCCCCCTCCCGCAAATCAATCGTAGCGAGGACCTCTTCACCACACTCGCGCCAGTGCTCGCGCGCCTTGGCCGCCTTTGCAGCCTCGTACTCGGTTGCAATGACGCGGCCGACCTCTCCGGTGCGGGAGGTGTTGGCGGCCACCGCGAGGGCGAGGTAGATCGTGCTCACACCGAAGGAGGTGCCGGCCTCGACGACGTGCTTGGCGTTGATTGCCCGGCACAGCTGGTACACGAACTGCGCCTTATCTTGGTCCAGCGCGATGAACTTGTCTTGCATCACCTCGTCGAAGGTCCGGTTGGCGAAGTCGGCGGCGGAGAGGGCCGATTCCTGAGCGCTGGACTCGGCATGCAGACGGCTCAGGAGAGCGTGGATGTGTTCTGGGACATCGACTAATGGGTTCGGCATTTTCTTTTTCTTCCTTCTTTCTTTTAATGTAATGTTTTTTTGAAGAGAAAAGAATCGGCGGTTGAGTATTTAACTGGGTGGCGGGTTCACTGCAGAATTGTACTATCTACTAGGTAGTACACAGTATGGGGCAACTAGTTTATTATAGTATTAGTGAGTGAGTCATTATGTTGGCTAATAATAATACGAACCTGGTCTTTGACAACCTGACATCTGCATCTAGATTATTCACACTAGACGATTCCAGACAATATAGGCGAATACGGTTGACGGCGGGGGTGGAGCAGCTGCATACAGGATCAGATTAGATTGCCTGCATTACAGCTTAATATTTAGATTCGGACTGGCTAATAGAACGTTATGTAGTAGGTGGTCTGCTGGGCTGAAATATACTTATTGAGCCATAGTGCAGTGCATGGAATTATTCCGGTAGCAAGTCCCACTCGACACCGACGAACCATTTCTCTGTTTCTGTAAGATCGCTTGGGATATCTCCGAGGATCATGCCAGGTGCTGGATTACCGACGCCTCCGTCTTCGTGGATACCGCCTAGATCTATTTCCCACGCCAGACCGCGATAGATGCCGATAATGTTACCGCGCTGCAAATCTGGGACAGGTCTGGGACGCGAGGGCCCTAGAAGGAGAAAATTCCGTCTCTGGACTTGTTGCAACCCTCCTTTCAATCGGATGGGCTCTCCCCGGACGAATGCCAGAGGGCCAGAACTGGCCAAGGCACTCTGTCGGACACTGTCCACGCGAAGAATTACAACGTACTGGTCTGGTGACCTAGGGGATGCCGATTGGGTAGCTGTGTCGCTACCCAAACGCTGATCGCGCTTTGCACCCATGTCTAAGATCCAACCCCGAACTTCTGAAGCCATACCACCGGGAATGTATGTCGGACCACCCTTCCACGGACGGCCGCGGCGGTTCAATGTACGTGAAGAGGGAGAAAAGGGCGTGGGTATGGAGTCTGGGCCCTCCTCCCCCGCGCCTGGCGGAGACGGCGAGCGCGGCAATACAAATGCTGGTTTGCGTGTATTGCTTGATTGTGGAGTCCCGGAAGGTGTTTGACTACTGGACAATATGAACCGAGGCGGTGGACGGAAAGGCGTCTTGAAGTTGCCTGAGACGGAAGGACGCGGTGTTTCTATTGCAGACGCACCCTCTCCTTTTTGTGGGCTTTGGTCAAGGGAACTAGGGAGACCAGGCAAGCCTATTTCTTCCGAAATAGCCTTATCGAATGTGTCAGGGTAAGCTCTTTTGCGCTGAGCCTGGGGAGTTTGCAGACGCCGTTTCCTCCGATCTGTAGACGAGCCGAACAGGATCTCGAGCTCCGGGTCGAGGCCATGTGGGGGGTCAACACAAAAAGCATCATATTTAGAACCGTCGATAGGAGAATCATCACACCCATCGTTCGTGGGCAATACCTCCTCGTCGGAATCCTCAATCAATTCCTTCTGCCGAGATGCGGAACCGCGTTGCTTCACGGCCCCGCGTCCCGCGCTGACACCGTGAACGGGGACGGGAGATGAGGGCAGATGCTCATCTGTATCAACAATATCATGTTTATCTCTCCCTTCTGCCTTCTCCGATGAGCTCTGCGACAGGAGAAACCTAGGCGTGGATGCAAACTGAGAACCCGCGTTGTTTCTGTGACGCGTCGAGAGGCGTGCGGAGGGAGGACGGAACGGCGAGGGAGTCTACCTTCAAATCAGTCGGGAATGCAGCAGGGTAGCTCGAATGAACTCATCTCTCGTACTTACCCCAAATGGAGCCATTCATTCTTGCCAGGTAACAAGACAGCCTTCAGACCCTCGAACAGTCCTCACGGTGAGGGTGAGGGGGAAGAGCGGGAAAGAGCGGCAGATTGAAAGAGGATTCACCGCCTTATGAGTTTCTGCCGACAGAAAGGTGGGATATAAAGGCGGTAAAACAGTGAAGTTTAATCTAATGTCAATAATAGCCTACAGGCATGGATTATACCACTACTAGACGATATAGTACTTGAAGAGAAAGGTAAAACCATCAATGGTCATCATTCATCATGCCTGGTAGACATACAAGTAGATCACAAGAAGAAGATAAGAATGGACATATATACAAGGCAGTGTCCAAGTGGGGGAAAAAACAAGAGGAAAAGAGGCCCAAAAATCGCAATGCAACGCTTTACAGCTGAGCAAAGAGCTCATCGAACGACTCCTCCGCGACCTTGGTGCAGTCAAAGCCGTAGATCTCGCGCTGGACATCGGCATCGGCCCACTTGTCGGGGACGGGGCCCTTGCCGGCCTTGAGGGCGGCGAACTGGCGGTCGCGCTCCTCCTTGGCGGCACCCTCGCCCAGGTGCAGGGCACGGCCGGAGGCGGCGGCGAGCTCGACGAGGGCCTCGGCGCGGCCCTTGCGGATCTTCTCGTAGACGCGCAGGCCCTTGTTGATGGACTCGGGGGTGGTGTCGGGCAGACGGGCCAGGGCAATGGCGAGGACGGCACCATCCTCGATAGCCTGGGCGGCACCCTGGGCCAGATGGGGCAGAGTCGGGTGGCAAGCGTCACCGACTAGGGCGACGGAGTGGTAGACCCAGGTGGGGAGGGGCTCGTGGACACGCAGCTTCCACTCGCAGACCTCGCCGTCGGGGACGTAGTTGAGCATGCGCTGCACCATGGGGCAGAAGTCGGCGAAGACGCCGAGCATGGCGGGCTTGGAGCCCTTGGTGGTGTAGGTGGCGTTGGTGGCAGCGGCAAAGTTGGTGTCGGGCTGGGTGGTCGACAGGTTGTAGATGGTGTTGTTGGAGACCGGGTAGGCGATGATGTGGCGCTTCTCACCGATCCAGCGGGTGACGCGGTTGCCGCTGATCAAGGCCAGCAGCTCCGGGTCATCCTTGCATTGATCCTTGTGGATCATGATCCGGTAGGCGGCCTGGTTGGTGTCCTTGACACCGACCTGGACACCAAGACGTTCCAGGAGCTCAACACGGGTCTTGCTCTTGATACCGTCGGCGCCGAGCAGGATGTCGGGCCGAACCACGTAGGGCTCGCCGCCGTCACGGGGGACCGCCTTGAAGCTGGGCTTGGTGGCGTCGGACAGGTCGACATCCTCAGCGCCGGTGGAGAAGTGGAACTTGATGGCGGACTCCTTCTTGCAGCCGTTGTAAAGGCCGCTGGCCAGAGAGTGGCGGTGGCCAACCATGTGGGGGTATCCGTACTCGCCCTTGATGTACTCAAGCTTGACGTGCGCAAGCTCGCTGTCATCCGCACCCACTATGTTTTACCACATGTCAGTCTATTGGTTTATCCAAAGACAAGAAGGGGGGGGGAGGCTTATTCCATACCTCTGACGCTAGTGTCGTCGATGTGAACGGCCTCCGCCTCAATCTCCTTCCAGGCATCCAACCCATCCAGAACACGAGCCATATTGGGGGCCAGCTGGATACCGGCTCCAACAAAGCCCAGGTCGACGGCATATTCGTAGACGTCGATGTTCTTGAAACCCTGTCGAGCCAGCGCAAGGGCCGAGGTCAACCCTCCCATACCTATTTCCCCAACCCCTCCGTCAGCACAACCGCGACTACCACGAAAACAAGAGAAGCTCCCAAAACTCACCAGCGCCAATAATGGCGATCTTCAGATCCTTAACAGCGGCGGACATTGTGGAAAGCAAGCAAAAAAGCTATGTAAATGAGGTATCACGCAAAGAGGGGTATATAGCAAGTCCAGAGACGCGGTGAGCGGAGAGAAGCGGGCGGGTTGAGCACAGAAGAAGGAAGTGATTCAAAGTTAGATGAGGCTTCTTCTTCTTCTTATCCTTGGGGGTCCGGAGAGAGCTTTATTTAACAAGAAGAGAGGGAGACAATTGGGACCGCTGGCGATGGTGGTTGCCTTTCCACGGTTGCTCCTGCCCTCGTGGACGCTCTCGCTCGGCGGTTGAGACTTTTTCCGCCCTGCGCCGGATGCCCTCTCTCGCACCCACAGCTCCCCACAATAATACGCTCTACTATGCAATACTCTATCGTATCTACCAGGCAAGGCGTGTGGGAACACTGAACCCCGTCGACTACCGCCCGTACGTGGTGGTGTTTCAGGAGACCGGCCAGAGGGAAGGCGGCGGAACTGGCCAACGGAGCTGCGGCCTCTCCGGGGGTTCGCGATGCTGACCGTTCGCAACTGTAAGAGCTAAACGCGGGGTCCTGCAGGCGATACGGAGTAACTTGCATTTGATAGCAGAAACCAGACGCCATAACCCAATCAGCACGCCGGTGAAGCCATGAATGTTGGTCGCTGTGTCGGGCGTCCCCACGACGGCCTTAACTTTTTCCCCCCGCTTCCAGTGGCGGAGAAAGTCTGATACCAGCCCATGGCGAACTGCCGCGGAGGATATGAATTTATCACGGGGTATTGCATGACATCGACAGTACGCATTGGCCACGACGCATTCTGGGGTCCGGAATTATTTTATGTCTTTTTTTTTGGGTCTGTTTCTCTTGGCTGGGGGTGACCGGGGTGACTACTGAGTCCTGACTAGGCTGAGGGCTCCGGGCTTCCCCAATAGAATCACGTGTATTATCACATGACTAATGAGTACAGTCTAACCTAACGTAGTTAATGCAATAATGTTACTAAGCTTTCACGTGAATGTTTGGCTCCTTCCTTTTTCGGCCAAACTCGCCTCCAACAACCTCCTTTCTTTCCACTGCGACTAGAAGCTGTCGAGGAATCCTAAGGTAAGTGCCACAATTTTAGCTCATCTACATTGTGTTACTACAGAAGGCTTCGGCAGGACTGACCCTTGTCCGTAGCGCATCTTGCAGCGCATCCTGCAGCTACTCGGTTTGGTTTGTGATCAGACTGTGTTTCGGTATAGAAACCTCAGAGCTTGACAGAGAATCTAGAACAGATCTAGGTTACTCAAGGACGTCTTACGTTGGTCAAATCTGCTCTGCCTTATACAGCTCTTATCTATATTCGATTGACATTTCAGTTTGCACAACCAGTCTATTCGAGTCACCTTAGCCATGACGTGTGTCTACTCTGCCGGGAATCTCCCACCTACTGCGAGTACTACCAGCTGGTTCGAATAATGATACCCTTGATTAACAGAACCACCAGACGGATTAGATCAGATATACAAAGTCAACAGTTGATTAACGGTGTATATTTCCTTCAATTGCAGCCTAGAGCGTCTTCTTTGGCCTGAGGATGCATTAAGAGCCGGCTTCTAAAGTCATGGAAGCTCTGGAGTGGAAAATGCTCATGCTTAGTACGAACTGCAAGGAGATTGCGCTCTATGCCACCTCAACTCGGTTCAGACCGAGTTGATCTGCACAGAGTGGAAACTAAGTGTAACGCAGAAAGGAACGACAATCCTCACCACCATAACTGGAGGAGTGAGAACTGCGATGATGATAACTTAAGTAGCCAGGGCAAATAATTGGGGGAAGTCCGAATATTCAAGATTGAGCATCCTTCGTGCACACATGACAGAATGGTAAATCAGTATAAGGGGCACCGGCGCCCTGCCAAAGTTACACGACATTGACTCTGTGCTACAATGCAGTTACCCAGTGTCCTCCATTACGGAATACTGGACTAAGGTAACGTCCAGTCCGACCTTGCCGAGATTCTGTTATTAATCGAGTTGAGACCTGATCCAGTTGTCATTCTTTTCTTTGCAGTTCCCAGTCTACCGAGTCTGTTGTCTGCCCAGAGATCTGAAAGCACAGCTATAGATATGAGCGCTCACGAATCCAAGGTTGTCAATGAAACGACACGTTCAGTGTTGGAAGCCAGGGCCTGCGATCCAGTCGGCGATGATGAAGTATTGGCGCGACTGGGGAAAAGGCCAGTCTTAAAGGTATTTCCGACCTCATGTGCTTTTCTATCTATTTAACAGAAATCCTGAGTTTGGTTGTAGCGAAAATTTGACTTCATGGCTCTCCTGGGCTTGACTTGTACAATTCTATCTACTTGGGAGGGAATGCTGGTGTAAGTAAGACGTGATATATGCACGAATAGTCTCAAGGCTAATGATTGCAAGTATGTTTGTAGAACCGCTGCTCAAGTATGATGACCATTACCCGAAACCAGATGATCCGGCTTCTTGTTAACAGACCAGTGGCGGCCCTGCTGGCGTAGTATACAGCTATATCGTGGCCTGGATTGGAACAACGGCAACATTTATCACCTTTGCTGAGATGGTCTCGATGTAAGAGGATCAAAGAGCCCAAATGCAGCCCGATTCAGGTGGTCACCGGCTAACATATACTTACAGGGCACCTACTTCTGGAGGCCAGTATCATTGGGCGATGATGTTGGCACCTCGCTCAAGTTTCAGATTTACTGGCTTTCTCGCAGGTATAGTTGGATGAAAGAGAGGCTCTGCATATGAAACAATATTCTGAACACTCCAGGCTATCTGACAACCTTTGGATGGCAAGCCTCCGTCGCGGCGGTAGGCTATATGATGGGCAATATGATCCAGGGGCTTATCGTTCTTACGCATCCGACGTACGAACCACAGGCCTGGCATCTGACTCTGTTGATGTTCCTAACCTTGGCCTGTGCCGCCTTCGTCAACGTCGCCGCCAGTGGGCTGCTCCCCAAGGTCGAAAGACTCGCACTTGTGCTGCACATTCTGGGCTTCTTCGCCATTCTTATTCCCCTCGTCTATCTGGGAGAGCATAATTCCGCGCAATTTGTTTTCACCTCCTTCCTCAACGGAGGCCATTTTGAAACTCAGGGTCTGTCATTCATGGTGGGGATGACTGGGAGTATGTTTGCGTTTACGGGAGCGGACGCTGCTTTCCATGTATGTATGTATCTGGCTCCATACGGATATCACGATGCTAAAAAAAAATGACTTGCCTCTGGCTAAAAAGATGGCCGAAGAGATCAACAATGCTGCTGTCGTTATCCCCCGCTCGATTTTCGCCAGTGTCCTTCTGAACGGCATTCTCGGCTTCGGCATGGTTATCGCCGCGCTTTTCGCTACGACCGACGTCAACTCGGCCCTTCAAACCAAAACGGGATACCCGTTTATTGCCATCTTACAGCAGGCGACAGGCTCCGTTGCCGGAAGCGCCGCCATGACCTCTCTCATTCTGGTACTGGGACTGGGCGGGTTCGTGGGCGCCGTCGCCTCGAGCTCGCGCATGATATGGTCGTTTGCGCGAGATCGAGGCTTGCCCGGCTGGGCGCTGCTGCAGCGTGTCGACACACGCACCTCAATCCCCGTTGTGGCCGTCGGAGTTACCACGCTGGTTGCGTGTCTGCTCGGCCTTATCACACTGGGCTCGCCGACCGTCTTCAACGATATGATCTCACTGTCGCTTAGCAGTCTGTTCCTCTCCTACCTGATCAGCATGTGTCTCTTGCTGTGGCGCCGCTGTACCGGCAGGATCCGCTCGCTGTGCAGCCTCTCAACGACGGAACCCGTGTACAACACGCCCGGGGCCCCCCTTGTCTGGGGCCCTTTCTACCTGGATGGATTCTGGGGAATCCTCGTCAATGTGTTCTCCATCATCTATCTCGTCGTCGGAGTGTTCTTCAGCTTCTGGCCGCCGTCAGCAAGCGTGGATGGCCCGACGATGAACTATAGCGTTGTGGGGACCGGCGGGGTGGTCATCCTGAGCACGTTGTACTATCTGGTAATCGCGAAACGAGAGTTTAGGGGGGCAGTCGTTGAATAGAAGCGACCGCCACTGTATCTATTGCATGATACACGCACTAGCCCGCAACTTCTTATTTAATTTATTCTACTTCCCACTGAAAATAATTACTATTCCAAACACTGTAATCATGCCTCTTTCTCTCTCCTTTGCCTCCCCCCTGTACGACCGGATAGTCCCCCTCGCGACGGGGGAAGTGCAGCCGACCGGCGTCTCGCTCAACTATGTGGAGGTGCAGCACCCACGCGACGTGTTCGACCGGATGAAGCAGAACGGCGAGTTCGACTCGTCGGAGATGTCGTCGTCCGAGTACATCCGACAGGTGGCGGCGGGGGACAAGAGCTTTGTAGCGATCCCGGTGTTCCCACTGCGGGTATTCCGGCATGGGTTCATCGCGGTCAACACGCAGCGGATCAAGCAAGCGGCAGATCTGGCGGGCAAACGGATCGGCGTGCAGGTTTACGGGATGACTGCTGCGGTCTGGATCCGTGGGCTACTCCAGGATGAATATGGGGTTGATCTATCGACGATTACGTGGGTGGAGGGACGATTTGACCGGGCAGGAAGTCACGGAGATAGCAAGGCATCGTTGTCAAGTGGAGGGAAAGAGAAGGAGAAGGAGAAGGAGAAGATTCAAGCAACGATTGTGGCTAATACGAGCACGAAATCGTTGAACCAGCTACTTATCGATGGAGAGATCGATGCAACTATCGGGGCAGAGCTGCCTGACGCACTGTACGACGAGAGTCCTGCGTGCGCACACATCCAGCGATTATTCCCCGACCACAAGACAGCCGAGCAGGCGTATTACCGCGCGACGGGGATCTTCCCGATCATGCATCTTGTGGTGATGCGGCGGGCCGTGTACGAGGCTCACCCCTGGGCGGCGACGAGTCTGTACCAGGCGTTGGCACGGTCGAAGCATTTGGCGCAGCGTCGGCTGGAGATGCCGGGCATGTTGCGTGTGATGATCCCCTGGGTGCATGATGCGCTGGAGGAGACCCGCGCCGTGATGGGAGACGATTACTGGCCGTACGGGGTTGAGGCGAACCGGACCACCCTGGAGGCTTTGACGCGGTACCTGTGGGAACAGGGGTTGACGGAGCGGTTGGTGGGAGTTGACGAGCTGTTTGCTCCTATTCAAGAGAAGCCTTTTTGGGAGTCGATTTAGTATATATACTAGACATACTAGACACACTAGACATACTAGACATATACTAGGCATATACTAGGCATATACTAGGCATATACTAGATGATCAAAGTTCATCCCGGCGATGGAAGCCTCCCCCCCAGTAGCGCTCTCCGCCCACAAAAGGATGCAAGGCCTCACGGCACTGAGGGTGCTGGTAGTCCTCGAGAGAGCCCTCTGGCCAGATGGGGACGACGCAGATCTCGTTGTCGGCGCATCCGTTGCACTGTTTCCAGGTGGACCAGGCCAGCCAGTCGATGAGCCGGTGGAGGGTACCCAGGGCGGCAGGGTAGCTTTCCTCGCGCGAGACGGCGACGAGGGTCGCGCAGACGGCATGGGCGACCCTGTAGACGGCCTGGGCAGCGTAGCTCTCCTGCGGGGCCCGGCTGGAGATGAACTGGCGTGCGCAGCGATCGGCCGTGACGGTGTCGCGGCGGAACTCGTTCTCGTAGCTGTCGCTCTGGTCGATGAAGGGGGAGAGCACGCGCTCGACCTCCCCCTGCAGAGATTCCAGCGTGGTCAGGTTGCCCGAGGCAAGGAACCGCAGCTCGAGAGCGTAGCGCTTGACGATCATGTCCGTCACGGCTTGCCAGTCAAAGTTGTCTGCGGACGGGGACCGGGTGAGAATCATGGCGTCGAGGTCGGCACGCACTCGGTCCAGCTCGGCGGCAGGGATGTGTTCCAGGCGAGGCAACGGGAAGCTCTTGTCGGGGAACAGGTCCAGGGGGTACGAGTACGCGGTGACAAAGTGGTCGAAGTCCAGACTCACCCGGTGGCCGCCGATGCTGTCGTACCGGTCGGCGATGGCTTTCATCCACGAGTTGAAGTTGCCCGAACCACCGGGTCCTCCGCCAGAACCACGCTCTCTCCGCTTGACCTGGCTGATACTCACAGTCTCCAGATCCCTGCCGAAGTCGCACAGGATGATCTCGAACCCGGCCTCCATGCGCAGGATGCCATCGATCCGACCGACCCAGTCCTCGCGGGCCATCCGACACATCTCGACCGCCCGTTCGCGCTCGCCGCCGCCCATCCCGCCGCGCCCGCCGTTGTTTCCCCTGCCCAGTTCGTCGTTCAGGAGGAGATGGTCCTGCGAGTCGAGCGTCCCCAGGCCGGTCTTGGCGGCGGACATGCCGTCGATATACAGCAGCCGGAGATCCTTTGCCGCCGCGTACGTATGCAGATATCCCTTGTTCTCAGTCTCCTCCTCCTCCTCCTCCTCCTCCTCCACCACCTGCATCGGTTCCTGACCGCCCGGCGGGCCGGGTTTATTCTTCGGAGGGCCCCCAAATCCACGGCTGGCGAAAACCATGGCATGCTCGGGCTCAAAGGCCAGCCATTCGGTTCCCGTCACGGGCTGCGAGTGCGAGGTGCCGTGGTAGAAGTGCGTGCCGGCTGGCAGATGGGCAAGGAAAAAGGACATGCCGTTGTGGTGCAGGGAAGACCCCCACTGCCGCATCGAGGAGTGGATGGCGTTGAAGATATGGTTGGCATTCCGATCCAGCTTGTCGTTCTGGGCGCTGGTGGAGGAGGGGGAAGAGGCGAGGGGCGAGCCAGCCGCACTGGCAGCCAGCAGGGAGAGAAGACACCACTTCATCGCTGACGTCCTGTTTCTGTTAGATGGTGAAAAAAAAAAAAGAAAAGACTCAGAGAGATGACAGAGGCATGCTTCGTTCAGAATCGAGATGGTTATAACAGAGGTGCCTAGAGGCTGAGTGGATGGGACGCGTCATCGCAGGCGTTACGAAGCGCTAGAGATAGAAAACCCAGCGATTACCGGTGGTAACTGAGAGCCCGACCATCCGAGCCTGTATTTTGCCTCTATTCTCTGCTGATTGATGCTTTTTATTCGTAGATTGAAGCATTGTGGGCTGTTCGAATATTATCTGATGATCTGATAAGAGGAGGTCTTTAAAATACTGTGAATTCTTTATTAATGTATTGATATTTCTGTAAGAGAGTATGTAGTAATATAGTAAGTAATACTTAATAACAGTATACATTATTTAATAATATTATTTAATATATCTAATAGTAGTATGTTGAATGAGTACTGAGTACTGAGAATTAATAACTTCTGGCAGTAGAAGTAGCTATCAACAAGAACTGCTACTGAGTAACCATCAACTGTGACACAGACGACAGCTAAACAACAACTAATAATTACATCTACCTACTCTACTCTACTCTACTCTACCCACTTCAACTACTTATCATGCCACGAACCCTCCTCCTTACCCTCGATGCCTTCGGCACGCTCTTCCACCCCCGCCTCCCTATCCCCGACCAATACGCCGCCACCGCACACTCCTTCGGCCTGACGGTGTCCCCCTCTTCGCTGAAATCGGCCTTCAAGGAATCCTTCAAGGCACAGAGCATCCTGCGGCCAAACTACGGTCGCGCAGACGTACTGCGAGGCGAATACGCCGGTCCGAGACAATGGTGGGAAGAGGTGATCCGCGCCAGCTTTGCCAGAGCCATCCCCTCGCTGAGAGAAGATGAGATCCCAAACCCCCTCGTCGAAGGACTTATCCATCGATTCGCAAGTCGAGAGGGATACGTTCTCTTCGACGACGCGAGGCTGTTTTTCCATCGGATGCGGCTTCTACGCGAGACCACGGCGGTTCGCGTCTACGTGGGTGTCCTCTCCAACTCGGACGATCGGGTGGCTTCTGTGCTGGACTCGTTGGGAGTCAAGGTTAATAAAGGAGGCGATGATTATCGTCATGATTATCGTGATGTCGATTTCGTGCTTACCAGCTACGAGGCCGGTGAGGAGAAACCCCATCGGTTGATCTTCGATACGGCCAGGTCGATCGCCCAGAAAATAGCTTTACATTCTTCTCCTTCTGCAGACTGGACGTGTCTGCATGTCGGCGATGATAGGGAGAAAGACTATGAGGGGGCTCTACGGGCAGGCTGGACGAGTTATCATCTTCAAAGAGATCAAGACGGTCATCCTGAAGATATCCAAACCACCAAGAATTCAACTGTTCATTCGTTGCTGGATGTACTGGACAAAACGCATCTCTCATGAAACTAGAAATTACAATCTACTACTCCCACTCGCCACCTCCCAGTGTCTTGAGCCCCCCCGCGTGTTTGCTCAGCAGCGCCGCAATGTTCGACCCCGTCCGCTGCTTCGCCCGGATCTGTCGCTCGCGCTCCTTCTCCCGCGCCGCCGTGTAGTAGTTGACCGACCCCTTGGCTGGCTTGGTCACCCGGGACGATGAGGTAGTAGTGGTAGAGCCGTTACTGGTCGTGCTGCTGCTCGTGCTGCTGCTCGTGCTCCGGCTGCTGCTGGCTCGGCGCAGCAACGCCGGCGGACGGAATCCGATCGGTCCAGCGGCGTCCGACCCAGAGTGGAAGGCTAGCCGTCCGTTGCCAGGCCCGTTCAGCGTCGATGAAGCCGAATTCGATGACGCCTGGCGTAGCAGCGCGAGCCGGTCGACCACCGGGCCGCGCGTGCGCCGTGGGTGCCGCGGAATCGCGAAGCCATCTCCGTTGCTGTGCGTGACGGCAGCCGTCTCGCTTTCCTCGCTTTCCTCCTGTCTCTCCTCCTCGGCCGCCTCGTCAATTGATGCATCTTCGCGGAACGAGTCGTACTCCTGCTGCTCGGTTAGGAAGGAGAGGGTCTCGCGGATCTCCGCGAGTGTCGCCGGTCTCTTCGACATGGCGCTGGCTGCGGTCCGGCGCAGATGGGGCGGTGGTCGGTTGGCCACTTCATCAGAAGACTCTAGAGGTCGCTTCTTGTTTGGCGCCCCCGGCTCTCCCGACTCGTTCCTCTCCGACACATCCTGAGAGGAGGCCTCGTCGCCCGTCTCCAGAAACTCCAGGTTGAAATCGTCGTCGTCATTGCGGTCTTCGATCGCCCGGAAGAAGGCCGCCTTCTTCGGGTTCTCGGCCAACTCGCCCACCTTCTCATCCGCCATCAGGGCTTTGCGCATCTTGGCAAACTCCCGCTGCTTGCGGCGCCGACGCGCAGCCTGCTCGTCGTCCGAATCATCAAGATCGAAATCGTCGTCTCCGCCACGTCGTCGGCGCAGTGCACCTGTCGTAATATCCTTGAGTAGCTTGGCGACTTGTTTCTCATCCGCATCTCTCTGATGCACACTGTAGAAATTAGCATCGTGTCATTAAAGAGAGAGTAGATTTGAAGAAGAAGAAGAACAAAACATACGCATTTAATGCAGCAAGCTCCTTCTCATCCACCACCTCCCCGCTATTGTCATTGATCATTTCCCGGTCGTAAATATCCTCCTCGCCATCACTGTCATCGCTGGCTCCGCCCAGACCGGCGTACTCGTCTTCTGACTCTTCAGCAGCCTCTTCAACAATATCCTTGGCTTTACTCTTGGTCTTGTCGAACACGACTGCCGGTTTCTTCTTCGTCGCTTTCTTCATCACGTCAAATGCGCTAGCCTTGGTTTCAAGGCCACCATCTCCGTCTTCATCTCCTGCTGGTGTCTCAGTCTGCCCAGCACGTCCGCGATGTAGCTTGCCTCGGTAGCGGTTCACAATCGGCGACTGGCTCTGCGTCAGCAACACCGTGTCAACCGTGCCTGGCGGCGGGGTGCCGATGAATCGCTTCGACGGGTCAAAGGGGGAGTAGACGAAGCCCTCGTCCTGGGTTGGATCTGGGACCTGGGAAAACTGAGAGACAGAATGTTGCGCGGGGGACTCTGTGACCCGCGGATACCCCGCATACAGATCTGGCGTCTGCCGTTGTTGCTCCTGACTATCTTTGACAATAAACTGAGAAGAATCCTCTTCCTGATCGGGAAGAGGGCTCGCCTGTCGCTCCTGCACGGGGTCCGGGATCGAGGGTGGAATTGCTGACGCGTCTTCTTGGCCGCTCAATTGGCTTCCACCGAGCGTACCGGCGAAAGCTTGCGTCAGGCTCATGGTCAGGTTACCTGACGCTGGAAACCCGGGGAAGTGAGGCCGCTCGACGGGCGTCGCACTCGGCGGCATCGACTTGGCAGGTGTCCTCGGTTCCTGTGGATCTCCGCCTTTGTCGTCCTCATCATCCTCATCGTCACTGATGACCCGCGTAGGCCGCTTCCTGCGTGCAGTGGGCATCTCCAAGGGTTCTTCATGTTCGTCATCCGAGAAAACGGGCTCTGATTTATCGTCGTCATCGGACTCATCGTCTTCATCCGCTTCCTCTTCAACCAGGGGATCCCCATTCGTGCTACCCTCTCCATCATCACCATCACCCATCTCCTCATCTGAACCAGACAGCTCAAAGTCCATGTCTTCCTCGTCGTCCTCGTCCTCATCCCCTTCACCAGACTTGGTCTTTTTCTTCTTGTTCTCTCTCCGGGCAATCTCCTCAGCTTCCTTGCGGGCCTTCTCCATGAGATCTTCCACATCATCCTCGATGGCTGCCCGTTCTTCGGCGGTCTCAATGATGATACCCTTGGCTCGGAGCTCCTGGATTCTCTCCTGCCGTTCTCTTGCAGCCTGTGCTCTGGCCTGATAAAGAAGATTTGCCGACAGTTCTGCAGTGGTCATTGAAGCGCTACGGCGCGTAGGAGAAGTCAAATGAGCCAGTGCCTTGAGTTTACGCATCGAGCCCGATTCCTGGTTCTTCCTGACCGGCAGATTCTCAAAGGCCGCGATCCGACGGCATTTCGCTGGCGAGGTGATCACCTCCAGATCACTATCGGAATCCTCCTTTTGATGCTCCGCCACGGTTTGCCGTGAGAGACGAACACGCACGGGGGGGCCTGTTAGTGTCTTATGCTCGAGTTTTGTCTCTTTGTGTGGCTCATGCGGCTCTTCGCTCTGGACCTCAACCCGCTCGACGGCAACAGGTTGATCCTCTGGGAGCTGATACTTGCCAGCAAGAAGGTCGTCCAGACTAGGGATCTCCCGGTCTTCGTTGTCCACTGGATTATTTGTGACAGCCGGTGCCGCCTTGTCGTTCAAAACCTCCGGAGCAGGAGACGTCCGCGGTGTTTTCGTCCCCTTGTTGGCCTCGGCATCGGAAGAGTTTCGAGACTCGCCAGTGGTAGTAGTCGTAGTTGAGGAAGCAGAAGCGCTTTCTGCCGGTTGGGCTCCATCGGGCTGCATGAAATTGAACCGGGCAAAGAAGCTTTCCTTGGTAATTTTCTTCTTCGTCCTCGCCTGATGAGCGAGCTGCATGTTTCGACTCATCCGCTGCGTCTCGCGGTTCATTTCTTCGATCGCCTTCTTGCTCGCTTTCCGCGCCGGCCGTGACTGCTGTGTTAATCGTCGACCAGAGTCATCGCCGTTGTCCTCTTCCGCGCTCTCCCCGCCTGAGAGCATGTCCGAGCTGAATTGCTTCATTTTCTGTACCCTGGCTGCTTTCTTCTCCGCCTCGATCCTTTCCTTTTCCTCGCGCTCTTTACGCTTCTGAGCGACCAGCGCCAGGAAGCGGGAGTTAGATTTCTGTTGCGGGGCTTCGCCTTCGTCATTCGAGTCCTGATCCGCTGGTTCTCCAACCGACCCACGACGCGACGCCGCAGGCGAAGACATGAAGAGTGGAGAGAAGGAACGTGCCGGCGATGGCGATCTGTCCGATGCATCTCCCTCTTCCGTAAACGTTTGGGCCTGTTTCTTTCCCTTGGCGAGTCTTCTTTTCGGACCAGCCGCGGGTAACTCGTCTCCACCCGAAGACGGTGACGAAGGAGAGTCGGATTTATGGTCCGCGCGCAACGCCCTCGACACTCGTTCAAATGCCGTCTCTTTCTCATCCGTGACAACAGTAGGTTGACTAGTCCCGCCCTGCATTCTAGCCGCCATCCGACCTCTAGGCAGAACAACCCCCTCATCTTCATCGTCATCGGTTTCTGCACCCTCTTTACTCCGCACGCCAGCACCGAATATCGAGCGATGAGCCGGTTTCTGTGCCTCGCGCGTCCTAGTTTCGTTCTCAGACTCGGAATCGCTATCGAACGCCGCTAGCATGGCTTTGATCTTCCGTCCTGGCGTGAGGATATCTGGAGACGCCCCCGTGGGTGATGCGGAACGCGTCGTCCGCGGCGTAGAGGGGGAAGACATTGTTATGTATGCTTTCAAGGATTCCCAGTTCCCTCAGATTAATCATATATCATATGTCCAAAATGTAAGAATAACGTCTCATCAAGCACCGAGGAGTGTCTGGCAAATGCTCTGTCGCTTCAGGCAAGGAGTCGTTCTACATTTGCACGCGCGCGAGACGCGTCGACAGAACACGTGATTTGAGGAGATAAGTTATCGCCGAATAGTATTTAACTACTATTCAGCACATACACAATAGGAGTTACTGGTTACTAGACAATGGATAAATGCTAAGAAATGATGTGATTACAGATTTATTGCATGCTAGTATGCTGAAAAAAAAAGTCTTCGCCACCCACCGAGTCCAATCTGAATGTCAAGTATGTTCAATGTACAGGTTACCAGGGAAATATCCGTTTCATGCAATAGGAAAGAGAAAGAAGGAAAGAAAGAAAGGAAAAAAAAAATAAAAAAAAACATCTGGTGTCCAGCAAGTCTAGATATCAATGTCGATGTCGATGTCGAGAGCGGCAATGTTCTCGTCATCCATATTGCGATGGCGGATCATTGCGACGCCACCCTTGGTCGCCTTCTTCTGGCTGGAGGACAGGGTATCACTGCGCTTGGCTGCGGCGAGCGCGCCGGGCGTCTCGGCACCATTGGCGGGCGTGCCAGCGTGGCTGGTTTCAGGCGTCGGGGTGTCTGTTGCTTTCTCGTTCATGTCGTAGTGTGTTTTGGCACGGGTTTTGACGCGCATGAAGGGGTCGGCGGGGGCCTCGCCGCGGGCAACAGCGGCGGCGACCTTGCGGCTAGCCTTCTTCTCCTCAAGTTGTGCGCGGCGGACGTTTTCGTAGTTTAGCTTGCGGTTGCGGAAGTTCAGCTCGGCGAGTCGCTCCTGTTCCGTCTTTCGCTCGACCTTGGGTTTGGACATTGAGGTGCCAAAGGCAAGCTTGGGTGCCGCCAGATCTCGCAGCTGGAGCTGTAGTTTATCGACCTCCGCATCGTCGCCAGCGGCCTTGGCTGACATGAGCTTGTTCTCGAGATCAAGCCGGCGGAAGACATCCATCTTGGTGTCCAACGATCCTTGCTTCCGAAGCTTCTCATTGAGCTCGTCCTTGGTAAACTGGTGGCTCAAAAGCCTGTTGATGTCGGCAACCTTTTTGGCAACGGTTGACTTGGTCGCCATCTTGCAATCCTCCACGGCCATTGTCTGTCGATATCGGTTGAACTCGGCCTACTCATGCGTCAGATAGGGAAGTTCTTCACGTAAGATTGTAGACAGATTGACGAACCTCGGTAAAACTCGACTCTGAACAGGCAATAAAGGGAAATTCGCGTTCTGCTTTTCCATGTGCAAGGACAGCGTACTGGCTTGTGATAAATGGTCGACCGTTCGGACCATCCATAGCATACGGACGACCCTCGGTGAATCCTGCATTGCTGTTAGCCTAGTGTATTTTTTTTTTTTGGATGCGATGGGTAAGGTATACTCTTGATCAAGCAGACTCGATACTCGTTGAGGCCCTCGCTGTTCGGCCCAATGCTGGCTCGAGTATAGCAGCCCGAAATAGCTTCTTCGAATCTAGGATAGAAGCAGACCTGGGCAAAGTTGGTGCGACCAACACGGGCGCGTTCGATATCTCGTAGCTCGGCGGGGGGGTCATCTTTGGGAGGTGACGGGGTCCGATCCGCTCGCTCGTCCCAGTCGGGCTCGCTCTCGCCCTCGGCATCCACATCGGACACTTCTCCGTCCTTTTCGCGGTGGCGAGCCTCTCTAGACGCCGCATCGCGTCGTCTGATTTCATCGCGTTTCCCCTTCTGCTGTCGCTGACGTTTATAGGCCTCGATCGCGTCGGAAGTCTCGCCCACCTTGCGCCCACCGAGAGTAGTTTTCTGCCGGGAGCTCTTGCGCTGACCCTCCTCTAGACCGGCTAAGCTTGCTTTGCGCTTGTTCTTCTTTGCCTGTCGGGCTTCCTCGCGCTCGCGGGACGCCAGCAGACGACGTAGCGCAAGATCCTGGTTGTGACGGTCCACCTCGTGTGCTCTCTCGGAGAGAATCTGCTCGCGCTGGATTTCAGGCAAGGCCATGATCTCCGCCTTATCCTTTGCGGAGTGGTAGAGCTTATCGTAGGCGAACAGCGGTCCGTCGTCGTCCGCAGGGCCATCGCCGTCGGACTCTGATTCTGATTCTGACATACTGGCAGACTGTAAGGAGTGGTGCGATGCAGCTGACGAGCTAGACATGACCCGTTAGCGATAGAGCGACACCAACTCGAGGGTGCGACGTTGAAGATGAAGGCAAACAAAAAAAAGTGAGCGGGGCAAGAGTCTCACAGTTCTCCATCTTCTGCTTCCTCGTAATCTCTCTTAGCCTTACGGCTCCGTCGGACGGGCTTCGCGGTCCCCTTGCGCGCCATGACTGCTTCACCTGGTTCGGGGGAATGTTCAGACGCATGAGAAGAAACAGGGGAGTCAGCCGTCTCCTTGGGAGGAGGGGAAGACTCTTCATCAGAGGAGTCCCCCGCTAGGGCGAGGAGCTCTGCGTCCAAATCGTCGGCCATGGTGAATCAAGGTCTCCTCCGTGGGTCTCTCTCTCTTTCTCTTTCTAGTCACAAGCAAACTCGAGCCTGAGGCGCAACAGAACAGGCAAACGGCGCAAATTCGAACTCCTCAGGTATACCTCACAAAAAGCGACACAGAATTGAATAAGGAGGAGGTGAAAGAAAAAAAAAAGACCACAGCCCCCTGAAGAGCTTTGTCGCCACGCAACGCAGGGGAAAAAACGAGGATGAGTCCAGCCTGCTAGAACCAAGATAACAACGCAGAGAGTGCAACACCTGGAGTATATCTCAATTCAATGGCCGTCTCCAGTGCGGAGTATATAGACAGAGACAATCGATCCCTGGTACTCGCAGCGAGCCGGGCAAGAAGCACTCGAGAGCGAAACTGCCCGCCTTTGCATGACGTTCCGGTCCAGGGCCAAGACTCGCGCGCGCTAAGATTGGCTGGGCAATAGACGCGCGTCTAGGCGGCTATCGGACCATGTCGGCACCGGCCGTGCTTTCCTAATGGTTCGAGTCGTTCCTTCTTCATACTAGATACTCATATTACACACCACGAGATTGTTTTTTTTTTTTTTTTCGTTCTTTCGTTCTTATTCTGTAATGGAAATGCTGACAGTACGACGAAGCAGCGTTCGGCTGTTTCTTGATTTCCTGGCCCCTTCCACTTTACGGTCATGCTCACGCCACTACGCCTCCGCTGCGTCGGTGCCGCCTTCGACCGCCGGCACAAAGCCGCTTTATATACTAAACAAACGACAGCGCGAGTACCTGGACAGCGCTCTGCGAGTCAACCAGGCGGGAGAGCTAGCAGCGACATTGATCTACACGGCGCAGACGCCGCAGGTGGTGCGATCACATCCGCATCTACGCCCACTGATGAAACACATGTACGAGCAGGAGGTTGGGCATCTGAACACCTTCAATGCGTTGATTGCGAAACACCAAGTCCGCCCGACCATGATGTATCCGATCTGGGAGCAAGCGGCGACGTTTCTGGGCTGGTCGACTGGGGCGATGGGCCGGGAAGCTGCCATGGCCTGCACGGAGGCAGTGGAGACGGAGATTGGAACACACTATAACGAGCAAGTGCGGGAGATTCTGTCGTGGGAGGCCGAGGCCGAGCGGCGGGGCGAGGAGCTGGATCCCGAGCTGAAGGAGATGGTGTCGACGTTCCGTCGGATTCGTGACGAGGAGCTCGAGCACCTGGACCACGCGGTGGAGAATGACTCCAAGGAAGCCAAGCCGTACGATCCGTTGGTCAATGTGATTCGGTTGGGGTGTCGGGTTGCGATCAAGATCAGCGAGAGAGTATAAGCCTGAAAAAAAGACGGTAACTGTATGTATATATATGTAGATTCATGTACTATATCTATCAACTATGTTTCTTCATGTACTCGTAGCACGTAACATACATGGGTATCTATTGCACATCGCACCTCTCTATCATTCATTCTCTCCTTCTTTGAGTCGCAGGTGATCGAGGAAATTCTGCGAGAACCGCACCGCCTGCTGATAAACATCCTCGAACCCGCTGGCACCGCCATAGTATGGGTCCTGAACCACCTCCCCGCCGCCGACACGCTCATGGATAGCCCCTCCGACCCCGTAATCACCAAACAGACGCACTTGGGCAATTTTAGCATCTATACCGTCCACTGCAGCTGCAGCCACAGCTCTCCCCTTGGCACCACCCCGTTTCGCACCAGCACCAGCACCACCGGCAGACGCAATGACCGATTCCCGTAGATCCAGCAGGTCTCGCAGGTTCTGTTTGTCCATGGCGAGCAGGTAGTCAAAGGTCCGGAAGTCGTCGCGGGTCACCTGGCGAGCGGCGTGCTGGTAGTTGCGAATCCCGTGGCGGCGGAGGGTAGACATTGTGCGAGAGTCTGGCGGGTCGCCTGAGTGGTAGGCGCCTGTGCCTGCCGAGTCGATCTCGCCGATCAGCGAGGCGTGTGCTGGCGAGGTGGCCATGTGTCGGAAGACACCTTCGGACATGGTTGAGCGGCCTAGATAGTTAGTGTTGTTGTGCTTTTTTTCTTCTTCTACTTGTCATACGCACAGATATTGCCTAGACAGACGAAAAGAACGTTGACCGGTCGGGTCGGTGGGACGCTTTCGTTCGTCATTGTGCTGGTGAACAGCAATATTAACTCGAGAGGGGGAATTGGAATTGACTTGGTTAAGATCTCGAGTGGTTATCGATAGACTGGTCTGTGCGCAATGGCTGGTTACTGTACTGGACTAGATGGAGAGTATACGGAGTCCCTTAATTAATTGTATCTATGATTTGATACTATTATATATAGTCTTAGGTACGGCCTATACATTGTCAAAACAATAGTAGGCTCGGCCGTATAGTCATTTAAGAGACACCATTACACTAACCACTGCGTTACTGCTTGCACCTCATGTCGCATAACAGATTTATTCAATCGTTTACTCAAGTCCCCAAAGAGCTGTTCCGTTTGAACAACGGCCCAGCAGTCCATCTCCGGGCCCATCCTGGACCTCTGAGACCAGCGGGGTTGTTCGACTTGCTTACGACGGAGGGAAAGGTCAGACCGTTGGCTCTGGATCCAGCAACCTATGAATGTCAGTTACACCAGCGTTTTTCGTAGGGAAGGACAATGGCTGATTAGACTTAGTCCCGAATGGCGCCTCGATGCGATCCAACTCCATATCACAGCAGAGGCTTGTGAGAAGATTGAAAGGATCCTCCGCCCTCATCTACACCCTTCATGCAGGTATTGTATTGTATTGTTGCGACAGCTTCTCAGCAGACTCATATAGCTAGGTACGGAGCTTCCGGATGATCTGATCTTAGTCCACGAGTTTGCAGACCACTATTCCCTGCAGGCAAGGAGATCGATGACGGTGGAGGGTATGCTATGTATCAAGTAAAATTAAGGACAAATGTTGACTGAATAGAGCTCAATAGCAAGATCACTCAGTTCTTGACAGCAAAGGGAGAACGTCTTTCGAAAGAACAGTGGCAGCAGAGATATCCCACCGCAACAGAATCACGATGAACGGCAGGGATGTCAGTCAGTTTTATTCGGGTTGATTGTTTGAATAAAAAAAATAAATCAAAAAAAGAAAGCTCCGAAACGGGGAATCGAACCCCGAGCTGCCGTGTGAAAGACGGCGATGTTGACCGTTACACCATTTCGGATTGAGTTCTTTTGGAATACATCTATGGCATTAGGAGTCTACTCCGCCTTAGTCGTTAAGTAAGGTCTACTACTAGTTACTACTAATACCACGACTACTACCTAGCACTAATACTACTTCTACTGCGACTGATAACTATCACTCCTGAATACTGCCGTCGAGAGCACAAGAGTTTCTGATGCGTTGTGCAGACCGCCTTCCTATAGGAGCCTCTGTTTATAAGTCTCTTTAGCAGGTACGGAGACCATTTACTAGGTGCCTAGTACTTTCACAACACCAGACCTTCCTTTCGCCTCCTGCTTTGCAGATATCAGTCTGATTCTCTATTATGCTAAAGCATCATTGGGTTCTCATCATTCTTCCAGTCTATCTATGCGACTTTGTCATGGATGGCGTCCATTCCGCGTTTCCAACTACGTGCATCAATTGCAAGTAATTGATTGCGGACAAAATAAACCATTTATTTAAATTCCCTCAAGTAAGCCTTGGAGCTTTCTAATTCTCTATTCCGGCCAAATGATTCCATAACCGCAAAACCCGTAGAGGATACGGTTCTCTTCACAGCTGATGAGTGGATAATATGGAGGGCCGCCTTATGAGAACAGTAATGTACTCCGTGGTCTGCCTTGCTGCCTTGCCAATCACATTAGACTAGCTACGAGGAGGGATAGGGTAACTAATAGAAATCAATGATTTATTAGGATAATTAACTATTAACTATAAAGTCGTCATACATATGTAGTACTCCATACAGTCAGGTACAAACTAAAAATAACAGGGCGCAGCATCGTGGCTGGTGCTGGTTGTCCCAGTGATTGGCGAGTTGTGCGCGTCAATCCTTCTGCGCCATGGCTCAGCTGGCAGGCAGTCGAATTCCATGGGTTCGTTCATCCACTCTCGAGTTAATTTCCTTCTTCTGATTAAATTAAAATATATTCAATCATTCTCCAGTCGCAAAATCTACGCATTTTGCTGTCTTTTGACGTGCATATCGGAGTATTATTCATTCTTGACCTGGAGTGCTGCGGGGGCATCGAAACTCAACAATAATTCGATCGTCATCACAAACAAGTCCTCCGCCTCTTGTCTCCTCTCTTCCCCCCTCCCGACACAACCTCCCTGTTTGCTCTCGCAACCATCTGAGGCCTTATCCATCTCCCCTGATCCGGATTCCATCTTCGCCTACCAGAGTTTCTGCCGTCTCATCCACCGGTAGCGCTGAAACGTGCCAACTGCCAACCGGAGATTGCCTGCGCCAACATTCCAGCGGCGCTCCCGCGCAATCTGCTTCCAGGTAGAACTTTATTCTTCTAAGCGCCATGTCTTCTTACGGGCGTCTAGGTAAGTCGAATCTTTTTTACGGTTGATTTTTCTCTTTCGTGTGGTTAATTCGACTGTTGTGTTTGTAACTTGCGTTGAGGCGACGGGTGTAGCAGTACTATGAAGTTAGGAAACTGACAAGTCGCAGACGCCTATGAGGAGGAGGTCCATTCACCCATCATGAACCCTCATCACGTCGACAACCGGACTCCGTCCCCCGGTCGGCCGCTCAACCGCTACCAGCTCTCCGACACAGCATACCAGCCGCAAGGCCATCTGGAGATGCCTTCGACCGACCGTCTACTAGGCCAGCCGACGGTGAGTGAGGAAGGCGTGATGGGAACAGTTGAAAAGAACAGACGCTGATCTATTGGGTAGTACTCTGTCGAAAACGTTGGTAATTCGTATGCCTACGAAGAACCAGCCGGCCATCAGACTCACACAGCCTACCCCGGCTACGAGTACTCGATCAACCCCGAGGCTCATCATGATGCCTACTATACCCAACCATACCAGCCCACCGCCACGCCACAGGAAGATTATGACCTGGGCCAATATCCTGAACAGCAGCATGCCTCGTATGACGACAACTCCCCGATGCTGCAGTCCGACAATCCGTACGGGCCAGACCCCTTCAGTAACCCGGAGGAGGAATACCAGGATGAACCGGGTATCCCGCCGACCCCAAGCCCGGCCCCGATCCGGCGCTGGAAGACCGTAAAGGAGGTCCCACTGTTTGATGGCAACCTGGTGCTTGATTGCCCCATCGCGCCCAAGCTGCTCAGTCAGGTACCCCACGCCGAAGCCCCCGGCCGCGACGAGTTCACCCACATGCGATACTCCGCGGCCACCTGCGATCCCGCCGACTTCTTCGAGGAGCGGTTCACGCTGCGCCAGCGCCTGTTCGCCAAGCCCCGTCACACCGAGCTCTTCATTGTCGTCACCATGTACAACGAAGATGACTTTCTCTTTGCGCGGACAATGATCGGTGTGTTCAAGAATATCGAGCACATGTGCTCACGCACCAACAGCAAGACCTGGGGCAAGGATGCCTGGAAGAAAATCGTGGTCTGTGTCATCAGCGACGGGCGTGCCAAGATCAACCCGCGTACGCGGGCCGTCCTGGCTGGTCTGGGCTGCTACCAAGATGGTATCGCCAAGCAGCAGGTCAACGGCAAGGATGTCACCGCTCACATCTACGAATACACCACCCAAGTCGGCCTCGAACTGAAAGGCCAGCAGGTCTCGCTGACGCCGCGCAGCGGCACCCCCGTACAGATGATCTTCTGCCTCAAGGAAAAGAACCAGAAGAAGATCAACTCGCACCGTTGGTTCTTCCAGGCCTTTGGCCGAGTGCTGAATCCCAACATCTGTGTCCTAGTCGATGCCGGTACCCGACCCGGCAAGGACTCCATCTACCAGCTCTGGAAGGCGTTTGACGTCGAACCCATGTGTGGCGGGGCCTGTGGTGAGATCAAGGTCATGCTGGACCACGGCAAGAAGCTGCTCAACCCACTGGTGGCGACACAGAACTTCGAGTACAAGCTGAGTAACATCCTCGACAAGCCGCTGGAGTCGGCCTTCGGCTTCATCACCGTGTTGCCGGGCGCCTTCTCTGCGTACCGCTACGTCGCGCTGCAGAACGACAAGAACGGCCAGGGCCCACTGGAACGGTATTTTGCCGGAGAAAAGATGCACGGCGCCAACGCCGGCATCTTCACGGCCAACATGTACCTTGCCGAAGATCGAATCCTCTGCTTCGAGATCGTGACCAAACGCAAATGTCGCTGGCTGCTCCAGTACGTCAAGTCCGCATCGGGCGAGACCGATGTCCCGGATCGCATGGCCGAATTCATCCTGCAGCGTCGCCGCTGGCTGAATGGAAGTTTTTTTGCCGCCGTCTACGCCATTGCACACTTCTACCAGATCTGGCGTAGCGACCACAGCTTCATGCGCAAGTTTATGCTTCTCATTGAGTTCATCTACCAGACGCTCACCATGTTGTTTGCCTGGTTTGGAATCGTAAGCTTTTCTCTTCTTCCCCATTTCCTCGCACTTTCCCCCTTTTTTGCTAAGGCTGACCACTTCTAGGGCAACTTTTTCCTGGTCTTCCATATCCTCACGGCAGATCTCGGAGACTCCAGTCTGCTAGGCACGGCCGGTAAGGTGCTCGGTGTGATCTTTGAATGGCTGTACCTGGCCACGCTCGTGGCTTGCTTTGTTCTATCGCTGGGCAACCGGCCCGGAGGCTCCAACCGGTTCTACATGACGATGGTGTGTTTCTGGGTGTTTATCATGATCTACCTGTCGTTCGCCGCCATCTTCGTCACGGTCAAATCCATTCAGTCGGAGGTCGACAAGAGCAATTTCAGTGTTGGCCAACTGTTCAGCAACGAGCAGTTTTTCACCATCATCGTCTCCCTGGCCTCTACCTATGTCATGTGGTTCCTTGCGTCGGTGATTTTCTTCGACCCATGGCACATGTTCACCTGCGTTCGTCTCCTCCCGCCTTCAAAAAAAAATGGTTTTTACTGACTGTACCAGTTTATCCAATATATGCTCCTCACCCCGACATACATCAATGTGCTCAATATTTACGCGTTCTGCAACACGCACGACATCACCTGGGGCACCAAAGGCGATGACAAGGCCGAGAAGCTGCCGTCCGCGCACCTGAAGCCCGGCGGCAAGGTGGACGTCAACATCCCGCAGGACGACGGCGATCTGAACGCGCAGTACGAATCGGAGCTGGTCAAGTTCGCCACGAAGCCGCCCAAGGAGGAGAACAAGGTTTCCGAGGAAGAGAAGCAAGCAGACTACTACAAGGGGTTCCGGAGCGCGGTCGTGCTCGCCTGGGTGTTTTGCAACTTCGCGCTTGGGGCTGTCGTCCTCAGCGCCGCGGGGCTGGAGACCTTTGACTCGGACTCGGATCTCTCGTCGAAGGAGGACAAGCAGGCCACCATCTACATGGCGGTTGTCCTGTGGAGTGTCGCGGGCTTGTCGACCTTTAAGTTCTTTGGCGCCATGTGGTTCCTTGTCGTGAGGATGTTCCGAGGTGTATAAATTCGCTGCCGGCAGCGTCATGTCATCTCAATGGCATAATGGCATAATGGCATAATGATGGCATAATGATTGGTATAGATGTAAATGTATGAATCAATTGAGGTATAGAGAATTAGCATTGTTTATTCCATTCATGTTGTGTACAGCACTAGAGGATATCTATTGTTCACCTGCTTGTAGTAAGAACTACTAAGCGTATATATAGATATCCATGGATCTACTCCGTATATAAAACATTCCAGACAGCTAGACCAGACTTATCTCCAGTTCATCCTAGAAAGTTAGCATGGTACAATATAAGACCAAGAGAGAATACCTCATAATCACCCGGGACAATCAACCCAGGCACACCCCAGCTCTTCCGGAAACGAGGGTTCCCACGCACATACTCCCTGTACTCCGGGGCTCCTGGTCTGACGACATTATCCGCGACAACAAGCACCCCGCTCTTATCCAGGTACCCGAGTCTCTCGCAGAGTGCAAGGTCATCCCGGTACAGCTCCTCGACGTGGTCCAGGAAGAGCATGTCCAGGTCGTTTGGGGCGAGAATTTGTTCATCATGGAGTCGTTGCAGGGTGTGTGCTGATGGACCGACGATGACCTCCACCACGGAACTCAGGCCGGCGAGGCTAACTAGGTTCATGGCTATGGAGGCGACAAGCGGGTCGAGTTCGAGACTGTATACGTGGGTGGTCGACGAGGGAGGGGGGTATGTTTCGCGGAGAATCTTGCCGAACAGGATAGCCGAGTATCTATAGATTAGAATATTAGCATATGTTAGCATATATTATGTATATATGTAGAGTCATGTGTACCCCACGTAGCCCCCTAATTCCACAATCACCTTAGGCTGATGTTCTTTCAGCAGCTCTGTGAGAACGGCAGCTTTATGAGAGCCGATGTTGATGAGAAAGTCTTCCTGCGCGGCAAACTCGTCCATTGCGTCGAGTATCGCCTGCGGTGAGCCTCGGAGCTCGCTGTCCAGCTTCGGATGGTTGTAGATGTACTTGAGGAGAGTAACCTCCCGCCCGTCGTGGGATTCCACAATATCTTCCATTGGGATCCCAACAGTTTTGCGGAAGCAGGGGTATTTGCTAAGGATTTCTTCTTTGTACTCCATGGTGAGTGAGTGTTAGTTTTAATGGCCAAGTCTTTTCGTCTGCGTTTGTGGTTAGGAGAAGAGAGAAACCGTAAGACACAGCTCAGGGGGGAGGGTATTTATAAGACAGTGAGGGATTAAAAGGCTAAGACCAGCCAGAAGATGTCAGCAATAAATTTAATGACTGGGGTTACATCCCGCTTTGCCGACAGTCTCACCTAAACATTTATGATTGATGATTCTGGATTCGTCTTATAGGTGTAGGCGAGTGTAAAAGAAAGTAGTAAATCTGAGGCGAGAGGATATTCAATAGGATCAAGTTTTGTCTAAAATTAAATTTTATCTCCCTCGTCGTTTCAAGTCTCCCAGCGATTCTCTTTTGTGTGGCATCTGTAGTTTAGACAGACTTAATTGCCACAGCGTCCATTTTGATCCCTTCGTCACTCCTGACAGCCTCGGAATAAAATTCTGCTCTGATTGGCAGGGAGAGATGATAAGGATGCAGCTAGTCTCTTTTTGTCGACTTGAGGCCGAAAAGGGGAGATTAGGGCATAGTTATAGGGCTTCTCTTATCACCCCACCTTGACCGCCTTCTTATCGTTTTGAGTCTGGACTCGCAGCCAACAGTTGACAGAAATACCAATGGATGCCCTTTGGGAGGTGAACGACAGACGGTGGTGACATGTTCTTAATACAAGTAAAATGAGAGAATGGGAGACTCATGGGCCTGGATGGTCTGGTATACCTCCCCGCTGTCAGTAAGTGCTCTCGCTTTCGCCTTGAGCTTCATAGCTGACAGACAGGGATACCAATTCCAACCGTCGAAAGGGAACCAATTTACTATATAAGGCTTATTATAGTGAATAATAGTTATTTGCTACAGATTTTACAATATGTGAGATAATTATAATTCTTAGTGGTCTTTATATGCAGCTGGGTGTGACCTTGTCATCGGTATATTCTCCTCTTTCTAGGAGCCACCCACAAATTGTCACCCTGGCAATTTTACACTTTCAAAAACCCTTCAACCCACTGTTTAAGACATGGTGACTGGTACTCTGCCTCTTTGACAACTTCCCTGGACACTTCTTTTCTCCTAGGTATCGTCTTGACGACGTGAAAACCCCCTACTCGATCTCTGGGTCTCGCTCTCCGAAACTTGCTACCATGGCTGCTCCTACCCGTATCGAGACTCTGAGATTCCTCTTTCCTGTGGGAAGCACGCCTGCTGTGTGCCTCACTCAATCCCTGCCCCCTGACCAGGATGCTGCTTTGTTGCTCCTTGGGTGCGGAGACGTCCGAAATATTCTGTACACATCGTACGCAGATTCAGGAAACGGTAGGCCATTTGATGATCAAGTATGCTGCATCGACAGTCGCTGACAAGCTGGCAGACCGCAAGCTCGATATAACCTGCTGCGATATCGAAGTTGAGATCATAGGTACAGCCCACGATTCTACCATTAGAAAGATAGATAGTTAGCTCACAGTATTGACCACTAGCTCGAAATATCCTATTCTACACACTCCTTGTTGACGACACGGAGAGAAAGAACACGGACAAAATCTGGAACCTTTATTATCATTTCTCTATTGACAGCGACTCTCTTCATCTTCTCAGAGACCAGGCAGACCAGCTGCAAAAGCTTGCTAGTACGATCGAAGAGTGGAATGATGGGAAATATGGCCATCTGCTCCGCTTTTGTGACACAAACACCTTCTCCAAGGTCGTGGGTTTGTGGAAATTTTATTCCTTGCAGCCGTCTCACGGAGAAGCCTTTGAAGAACAGCAGGCACGCCTTGAACGGGGTATCCAGAAGGCGAGAAAGATAAAAGAGACGGTCGTAGGCAATTCATTCATCTTCTCGGGAATCAGGTCGGCAGCTCCTTGCGCCTCACACGCTCTCCAAGACCTTCCACAGTCCCATAAAATATACTGGGACAATGGAACAGCTACTCCAGGTCTTGCTCAGAGTACGGAGAGCCAACAGATCAATCCTATGTTTGGAACCCTTGACGACAATTTGGTTATCCACTATGGTGCCGATCCGCGGCTGGGATTTCATCTGGCGACTACATATGCGCCTCTTGTTAAGCATTCTCCCCTGGCTCCGAACGGGGCTGGGTCCGAAGAGCAAGTCGACAGCTTCCCGGGTGTCCAAGCCCAATTCAATGCATACACCCAAGCATTTCAGAGCTTCGCTGGGCGCCTGACTATTCGATTTGTGAATTCGGACGCCCTGGCCCTCTGTCACACTTTGCAGCATGTGAGGGAGCATGGAAAAAGCAAGAATGCCCGATGGTATTGTAGCCCTTACTCCTATACGCCTCTTTTTCTAGATAGCAACGACTACTCCCCACAAGGGTCAAAATCAGAAGCACCTCTGTCCTTCGACATCATTGACACCTCGAACTTAATGGACTATGTTGGCTGCCTCAATTTTCTGGCTGCCGCAAGCCCGCTGCTGAATCCTAGCCCCAGCTCTACCCTGTTCACTGAAACTCTTGGTTTGCAAGAAAAGAGCGTCGAAATGTCTGCAAGAAAGCTGCTCTACGACGACTTGCTGACAATTGCTCTTTTCTTCGGTCTTATTCCCTTGCAGTGCTGGACTGGAGTCTCTACAACTTCTATCTTTGATGAAGAGTTGGCAAATAGCCTGCATCTGTTGCAAGAAACCACAAGTTGCCAGTCCCGGTATGTTTTCCAATGGAAAAGCCTCGATTTCACTTCACGGCGTCTTGTTTCTTTTGACCCGATCGAGCTGGCGTCTCTACTCTACCGGGTCTACGTCAGTTTATTTGACGATGCAAGATTGGAGCAAGTTTGGAAAATGAAGGCGGATGATATCTTGAGACTGTCCTACGCAACGTATACCCGAACAAGCTTTGCTGCAATCATTGGCTTGATCCGTCGTGAAAAGCTGGTGGAATGGGAGACTTTCATGCCTGAGCTTTACCGTCTGATTCTGAATGACTCGACTCTACACGCGGGCTCACATTATCTCCAGGATTTGGGTGTGCAATTGCACCTGCAGGGCTTATACAATGTACCAACATTGGAACTCAGTCCTCAGGAGCTTGATGAAATACAGGCAAATCCACAACTTGGACAGTGGACGTCTGTCCCTGCCGTCGTATGCCTAACCATGGTAATCCCACGCGAGAGATTTGCCGAGGTGTTTGGCTCTCACATGCTTGGAGGATCAAGCAGTCTTGCCGTGCAAATCAGGCTACAATCCGCTCAGCAAATGATTCAGAATTATTTCCCAGCTCTTCAGCTGAGCTTTGGGAGATTGAAAACTACCGGGATCAGATATGCTGAGAGCTTCGCGGTTGAAGTTGAGGAAGATCCTCGCCAGTGGGATGCTGCAGCGCCGCTGATTGCCTCCGTAATGGTTCCTTCCTGGGAGGTGTTTTCCGGCGCGGGCCTGTCTAAAGAAGTCGTTTTTGCGTTGAAGGAGACTCCTGTCTCGATGGCCAAGTTTTCCGGGAAACTTGGCAAGCCTCTAGAGATTACCAAGTCGACTCTGGCCGGCGATGATGTGTTCATCACCAAGCACCAGCCTAATATGCATGGGGATATTTCGAGTTTTGGAATGTTTGCCGTAGCTTCGCCAATGCACCCAGCAGAGCTATCAAACAAATCTCCATCAGACGTGTCTTCACGAATTCACATCGCGCTAGCCTCGGAGGAGATGAAATTCACTAGTATCACTACGCATCTCGATATCGCGCCCGGGCCCTTGCAAGACCGTCTTCGAGCGGGAGGCGCCATTCATGTGTCATTGGTATCACCTTTTGAGATAGCATTTGCTTTCGATTCCGATACACCCATCCAGAACGTCCGACTTCCGGTACCGGTACGCACTACTGGAAGCAAGACGAAAGTGTCACGGAAATCCTCATATATTGAGCTGACTGCTCCCGTTGTTTCTCAAACGCTGCTTGCATCCCGGCCGGACAGCTTCTTTTCGATGTCACTGCATCAGGGAGTACCTGTTATTGGCAGTACGCACTATGTCTCGCTCGACCGACTCCCAATCATTGCAGTAAATAATCAGGCCGGTGCAAAGCTTCTCTGGTTTATTCCTCATCTTTCCAGCATGTTCTCCGCGCAGGAAAGGACCGAGCGGGGAAGACTGTTGCATCAGAGTAGGGCGGATACAGCAATCCGGGTGAACTTCAAGGACTCACTTTTCAGCATGTTCCTGCAATTCACCGAGGATCAGAATGGCGTGCGCCAGTCGATCTTTGCTGTGAAAGGCGCGACCACCAGCAGCGTTGAGATTCTCATTTTCGTCGCCGACCTTCGGCTCGACATCTCCAATCAGACCGTGGTCCTCGACGCGGCAGCTATCCCCATGTACGACGAACTGAAGCCACAGCTGAAATTCTTGCTCAGCACCCTCGGGACTCTCGGCGTTGTGGCTATCGTCGTGGACGACAAGGAGCTTCTGGCATGGAAGCACGCCCTGCCTGTCTTCACTGAGCGGTGCCGGGACTGGGAACACATCCCGTCGTGCTCATATGCGGTATCTGGCAAGGTGCCCGTCTCTGTCGAGGAGGGTAAGGAAGTCCTGTGCGCGTGCGGACGAGGCAAGTTCCCAGACGGATACGGAATCCCACAGACCGGCGCATGGGGGCTCGCCATGCCGCATGCGACGCGGATGGCCATCCCGCTTTGCTTCCCTGTGCCCTTTATTGATCGCCCATTCAGCCTCCGTGATTTGAAGACTGAACAGGGGGGTACTGAGGAATCCTTAGCCCGCAGACTGGAAATCGAGCTGCGACAGAGGATCGAAGAGGAGGAGAAGAAAAGGGAGGGGTCCTGTCGTCGGTGCGGTCAAAAGGAGTCTGAGCGAGGAACTACGCTGTTTCGATGCGGAGCATGCAAAAGGGCAGAGTACTGCTCCAAGGACTGCCAGAAGAAGGACTGGACGGCGCACAAGGCACAGTGTAAATTCTTCCAGCAGGGATAGGTTGCAGAATATGTTGATTAGACAGATAGTGAACTAGTTGAACAGATAGGTAGATAATAAACAACCTTTGTTGAGATACTAGATACTAACATTGCCGCTCTGGTTTTTCGAATAGACACACAGCGCAATTCCCCCCAAGACAAGAAACATTCCCAACCATGTCTCACGGGCGATAACCTTGCGCTCGACGTACCATTCGCCCAGCACTGTGAAGAGAAAGGCACTTGAGTTGGAGAGGGGGACGGTAAGCGAGAGTTCTAAACCATGTTAATTTGAAATCTCTGACAGCCAAGAGATCGTAATGTGGTAGAAGGGTTTTCCATCTGCCACATATTCATTTCTTACCATGTTTTCCAACCAAGATGAAGAACCAGATACTGCCCGTGAGATTGATGACCAGGGGGATCAGGTACGCCGGCGTACGGAGCAGGTTGACCACCGTCCAGAAGAGGGAGAATAGCCTAGTCTTCACCCAGGATGAAGCAGGCGGGGAGGCATGTTTTTTCCATGCTGGGGTCGGGAGTGTATTGTCTTCTTCGCTGCTATCCCCCCTGTCGTCTGCATTGACAGTATGCTCCTCCCCAGGGGCGGGAGTGGTTTCTGCATCACTTTCCTCATTCACAGACATCAATTCCTGCTCTTCCGTTCCCTCTGTACCTGAATCCCCAGCCTGTGTCTGATCCTGCTCCTGCCCCTGTCCCTGTTCCCGTTTCGCCTCCTGACGGGCGTTAAAATCTGCCGCCGCGCGGCGGATGAACGGCGTGGTGAACCCCCATGCGACACCGACGAGGAGGAAGGAGAGAACGTAATTGAATGTCGACGGTTGGTCTGTCTCTTGATCGGCCATTTCTCGTGGTGTGTGTCTGTTTTGTAAGAGGAGAGAGTGTCAACTTTCCAGGCTCGTGTCGATCTGGCATGCGATAGCCGAAACGGGTTTAGTGTGTCGAGGAGGCCTTATCAACGTCCCAGCTTCAAACGTCATCGCTTACTCCGTACTTCTTACTGGAACATTCAGGTATTAATATCCGATGGTTCTATCATTCTCATCTGACTGAATCTCGCTTATTTCATGATTGTTGGGTATCTGCAAAATTAATCGATACCGGGAATCTATTTAGTAGTACAGGCATGTACTACGGAGTAACTAGCTTTGTGGTAGTTAAGTTCAAGTCTCACCTGTAAGGATTAGCATTTAGCGTCGCTAATTATCCAGGACGTAGGATTGATACTCAAGGCCAGAACTAATGGACTATAGAGAAAGAGAGTAATTGGAGAGACAACAAGGAATTAATAGTAGTTTGTTACTATTTAGTATGCTCTAATCTATCATCAATCTAGGAGCTTAAGAAATACCTCTCTATAAACGGCATGCTAGCGAAAGGACTATCTGATACAAACAATATTCCCCAGCTCTAATTGATACTAGGTATTTAACTAGTACTTGGTGTGGAGTATGCAGTACTAGGCATTGTATGTAGTAACTGGTACTAATCAGTTGCATACAATAATACTAAAGTCTAAGAGTACAACTTTGTATAACTACGGAGTCCTCGGAGTCCTCGGAGTACGGTTATTTCCGAGGGGTTAGACGCCGTACTTTAAGGGCCTAGTGTGTTGTCCAATTAAGAGAAAGGGTTTTCCAAATAATGATTCTTCAAGCCAAACCAAGCAAACAAACCAAGAAAACAAACTAAACAAACAAACTAAACAAACTCTCAGGCATCCCCGCCTCATCTTCCATTCGACAGATTCAGACCAAATTTAGGACTCGCTGCCTCAGGATTGGGGATTGCATTCCAGCGGTGTCCTGGAAATATGGGGATTCAGAAATCTATAAAGACACGATGGCCGTCTGGATCTACAGACAGGCCCATCTCATCGACAGCACACCGAAGCTTCTACAGCAATTAAAACGAGCACTTCGAATCAACAGTTCAAGGAACCAACCACTACCATGGCTGAATCCTACTCCTCTGAAGACAAGCTGGCAGGCTTTGACTTGATGCAAACCAACTACAAGACCGTCGACGAGCATGCTATCCGTGCCGACCTTATCATCCCGCAGAAAGCTGGGTCGGGCAAACGGCCGGTGATTGTGCACTTTCACGGCGGTGGACTGGTCAGTGACCTACTAAGTGTTGGAAAAAAAATATCTATATATTGAAACTAAATAAATAACTGCAGGTGACTGGAGACTCCCTCTTTATGGACTGGGTTCCCAGATGGCTTCTGGAGCTCGCCAAACGATACGGGGCGGTGATTGTCTCGCCGAACTACCGTCTCCTGCCGGAGGTGACGAGCCTGGACCTGTTCGCCGACGTGGACGACTTCTGGACATGGCTACACTCTTCAACGCCTGCGACGGTGCTTGCCGCCCACTCGACCCCAACCGAGCTTGATCTCGATCGGGTGCTCATGGCGGGCGGATCCGCAGGCGGCCTATTGAGCATCTCCCTAGCGCTGTCGCATCCGGACGAGGTACGCGCGGCCACCGCTGCGTACCCGATGATCGATCTGAACTCGGCGGATTACAACGAGAAACGAGCCGTTCCCCCACTTGGAACGGACGTGTCGGAGTCCGTGGTGCGGAAGTATCTGGCGGCCGTGGAGGATGGAAGCAGCCCCGTCATCAGTTCGGCGATGTTGCCCACCCGTATAGACCTGATGATCGGGCTATTCACCCACGCGATGTACAAGGAGGAGGTCTACGAGCGAGGCATCGAGGGAAGCGGCAGTCCGCGTCGTGAGGTCCGCTACCCGTTTGAACGCTTGGACCAGCCGGGCGTCAAGGTGCCGCGGGGCGGAATCGTCATCCTCCACGGCCGGCAGGACTCGGTCGTCCCCATCGGGGGCAGCGAGCGGTTCGTCACCAAGGCACGCAAGGTCTTTGCTGGCCAGCCGGGTGGCGATCGGATCGTGCTGGCAGCGCGCGAGGGCGAGCATGGTTTCGACACCGATGTGGCCTGGGATACGAATTGGGTCAAGGAGGCTTTAGAGGCTGCTGTGCAGGCTTGGCTTGAATAGATCTCTATTATCTAATCTTTGTATTACCTATTATATATTCATCTACTTACTATCCTATCTAAATTATTTTTTATTTACAATATTCCGCGGAGAAAGATTCTAGTAAGCAGTAAACAAAAGCTCTTGATGTAGTGTAATTTTCCCCTCACCGACTCACCCCTCTTCTCTCTCCCTCTCTTCACTTCATCACCTCTCATCACTCAACCTCTGTTCATCAAGACTGGCATCGTCACATCACATTATATCAAATCTAATTTACTATACTATAATGACAGCCAAAACAATCCGAGAAATCACAGCCCGCAACCTGGCGGTGTTCCGGCGCCAGCCCGTGTCGGAGATCTCCGGCTCGCTGGGCGACCTGGGCACGTTCTTACCACTGGCGTTGGCGCTGGCAGCGAACAACACAGTGTCGCTGTCGAGCACGCTGATTTTCTCGGGGCTATTCAACATTGTGACGGGCCTGGTGTTTGGGATTCCGCTGCCCGTGCAGCCGATGAAGGCGATCGCGGCGGTAGCGATTGCCCGGGGCTTCAGCAACGGAGAGATTGCGTCCGCAGGACTGCTGGTGGCCGGGTGTATTTTCGTCTTCAGCGTGACGGGTCTGCTGCGCTGGTTCACGAACGTGATCCCCGTCCCCGTCATCAAGGGGATCCAGGTCGGGGCGGGCCTGTCGCTGATCATCGCTGCGTGCGGGACGTTACTCTCCTCGCTTGGATGGGCAGGACCCTCATGGGCGGATAATCTGGTCTGGGCGATTGTTGCCTTTCTCTGTCTGCTCGTCTGCGGCGTGTACCGCACTTTTCCCTATGCGCTGGTCGTCTTTGTCGTGGGGTTGCTGTTTGCCATCATCCGCAGCGTCGTCGCCACCGACCTGCCCTCGTTGGTCTTCTGGCGGCCGTACGTGGTGGTCCCCTCTCCCGCCGAGTTCGCGACGGGTGCCGTCGACGCCGGTCTGGGTCAGATCCCGCTGACGACGCTCAACTCCGTCGTCGCCGTCGTCTACCTGGCTGCCGACCTGCTGCCGGAAGTGCGCACCCCGACCGTCACGGCCATCGGGCTGAGCGTCGCCGCCATGAACCTGCTCGGCTGCTGGTTCGGCGCGATGCCCGTGTGCCACGGCTCGGGCGGGCTGGCTGCCCAGTTCCGCTTCGGTGCCCGCTCGGGCGCCTCTGTTGTGTTTTTGGGTCTGCTCAAGCTGGTCATCGGCGTCTTCTTTGGCGAGTCGCTCGTCGGCCTGCTCAAACGGTTTCCCGCCGCTCTGTTGGGCGTCATGGTCATCGCTGCGGGGTTGGAGCTCGCCAGCGTAGGCGAGAGCCTGAATACCTCTGCCCGCGATTTATCTGGCGTTCTCGGTGAGCCCGATGAAGCTGGGAGATTAGGGGAAATCCCGCCCAGCGAGTTCGAGCGTAAGAAGCGCTGGACCGTGATGCTTGTGACAATCAGCCTGCTGGTCGGGTTTAAGAACGACGGGATCGGGTTCGTGGCAGGGATGTTGTGCTGGTGGGCGTACGAGATTCCTTCTTTAGTGGAGAGGGTGAGAGAGAGGTTTGGAAGAAGAATTCATTTATAGTCTTATAGGACCCATTCATACACTCAATTCATTCAATTTATACACCCGATCCAATTTATGTACATCCTATACAAGACACACCAAAATCAATATTTCGTCCCTGGATCATGGAGACTCGCCTCCGTTCCCGACTCATCCAACTCGGTGATTCTCTTGGTGGCATCCCCCGATACAGCAGGGAGCACCATCTGGCCCGTCCGATCGTAGCGCCGTTCCTCGACGACAGCAGGCTGGCCTAGATCCTGGTGCGCGGTACGGACGACCGTGTTGCCTTCTGGATCGGTGTGCGAGGCGGTGCTGTATCGGTGGCCTGTTGTTGTGGTGCCGTCGCTGCTGTTTGTTGCGGAGCTGTAGTAGTAGCTGCTGAAGGACATGGCTTTAGTATAAGACAATAATTTTTAGATAGACGTAGATAGATAGTATACAGTGTAGATTGTAGAGTATATAGTAATGAGTTATAGACAAATAGTGTAGATGAAGGGAATTTATACACTGTGTGGCGAGTGACTTCATCTGACATCATGGGGCGAATAGTACATATTATATAATAAATAATAATGATCCTATACTACTATAATTTTATATTACCATACTCAATATACTCTACTGTATTATTAGACAGCCATTATAGATAATCTTTACCACGAAACGTCTCCCTCTCCCATCCAGAGAACCATACCCCGCTGTGTGGGCGCCCACCAGCGAAATCAACGATGAACTTCCCATTTCCATTGCCGATTTTGTCTGAGAGATTGAAATCTCGCTCGTGGAATATACCATTGTTGTCTTTAAGAGATGCTCTGAGGATTGGATATCCCTCCCAGTACACCAGGGTTGGGTTCTGCGCGGATTGATCGACGTATTGGCCTCCCCATTGAAAGGTGCCTACCGATTATGAGTCTTCATATATAAAGAGAAAAAAAGGATCAGTGAAGAGATACCATTCTTATTTCCTAGACAGTCACCCAAGGGCAAGCTTACATCTACCCAGTCTCCGTTATTTCGGCGCAGCTTTGCACGCAGGGTCCATCCATCTAGTCTGATTTCTTTGGCGGACTCATGGAAATGATACCGGGGGGCCATTGTTGTTGTAGTTGAGTGCTTGTAGAAAGTATGTGAAGAGGGGTAGATGGACATATTTATATTTCATCGGGTTCGTTCTATTGGACCGCTTATAATTGCTCATGCTTTCATCGGTAGATTAGACAATACGAGTAAACAATGTGGCAGTGTATTTGATTCTAGATGGCTATACTACCTATTCACCACCAGTTAGAAACGTCAAGGCTGCAATGCAAAGAGCATCGACTCCTGTTCTCATGGTAGGCTGGATGGCCGGAGCAAAGCGAGCAGAATGGTTGCCAGGGATCTCGTCGAGAGAATCGGTGCGGACGGCCTCATCCCATTGAGCCGTGTCGATCCCCCCGAAGAACCAGAAGGCACTGGGCCGTGCCTGGCAGGTGGCGAGGGTGGAAAAGTCCTCGGCGACGTTTGTGCGGGGCGTGTCTGGATCGAAGTGATCCTTGAAATGCTCGTGAAAAGAAACCGCCAGCTTGGCCGTGACGCTGGTGTCGTTGATCGTCGGCGGGAAGCGTCTGGTATGCGTGAAGAGCGGTTTGCGCGGCGATCCACTCGCCACACACTCTGCCTCGACGACGCGCTCGATGGCCGACAGGATCTGCTGGCGTGTCTCCAGGTTACCCGAGCGGAAATCGATGCCCAGCTCTGCCTCGTCGGGAATCACGTTCTCTGCCTCGCCCGCGTGCAGGGATCCAACCGTCACCACCGCCGACTCGCTCGGGTTCACCTCGCGACTCACAATCCCCTGCAGTCTCGTCACCACGTTCGCCGCCAGCAGCACAGGATCCACCGTCTGGTGCGGGAGGGAGCCGTGCCCTCCACGTCCGTACAGCTTGATCTTCATGCTATCTGCGGCCGCCATGATCGTGCCCGGCCGGATCCCCACGGTCCCCGCGCGCAGACGCATAACGTGCTGCCCGAACGCATAATCCGGGACTGGAATGTTGTGTTTGCCGTATAAACCGTCGTCAACCATCGCCTGGGCGCCCTCTCCGCGCTCCTCGTCCGGCTGGAAGAGCACGAGCAGCGTCCCGCTCCACGCGTGTCGGAGACGGACCAGCGTCTCCGCCGCAGCCAGCAGACAGGTGATGTGCATGTCGTGGCCGCAGGCGTGCATCACGGGCTTGACGTCGCCGCTGCCAATGCCTCGCTCTTGCGTCGTCTTGCTTGCGTAGGGGAGCCCAGTCACCTCCTGCACGGGCAGGGCGTCCATGTCCGCCCGCAGCAGCACGGTCTTGCCCGGTCCGTTGCGCAGAATACCCACAAACCCATACCCGCCGATGTGGGTGTGGATTTCGAACGCGTCCAGCCGGGCGAGATGCCCTGCTGCGGTTTCAGACGTCGCTTTCTCCTGCTTGGAGAGATCTGGGTGGGCGTGGAAGTGGCGGTACAGATCCTCGTAGGGAGCCAGGTCGAGCGGGCTTGTCGCCAGGATCTCAGAGGGTGTCATTTTATAAGATAGTAGAGAGCTAGGTATGAGAGAGAAGAGAGAAGAGAGAAGAGAGAAGAGAGAAGATAGAAGATAGATTGAAAGTCTGACTCAAAGTTGATCGTAAGCATTAAGTCAATTAATAAGATGTTTTCTGCGGAATACTTGTAGTACACGGAATCCTACGAGAGTATGATATAGTTACTGAATACTACATAAAAACAATATAAACAATTAATATAATATATCCGAATCAATTGATTTTAATAGTATATAATTGATGACTCTCTACTGAATGACTACTAAGTCTACGAAAAAAAAAAGAATGCATCATCCGTGAATCGAACACGGGCCTCATCGATGGCAACGATGAATTCTACCACTAGACCAATGATGCTTGATATCAGTTCTAGATAAAAGACTCTCTAAGTACTAAAAACAGGCAGGATCTCAATATCAGGAAATCTCCCTTCTTCCCCTCCAGCCACGAGATCAGCCCGAATCTCCTCGAGAATCCCCTTGACCTCCTCGAACGATTTCTCCGTCCCGACCTTGGACTGCAGCCAGTCTGGGACAGGACATGATGGAATCACAGGCACTTTTCTACTTTTCTTCCTCAACTTCTTCCTCGCACCCGTGGTCTCTTCGCCCCCGTCTCTCCGTAGCCGATTCGTTTCTCTCCGTCTGAGAGCGATTTCGAAACATCGGATCTCCCCCCACTCCTGCATTCTCTCTACCGTTTCAAGAGCAAGATCGCATTGCCGGATACTCCATTTGTGGGCTCGGTACCGTGCTCGCTGGTAATGTTTGCGGCAGTAGTGCGTCCAGACATGCGGGGGGATGAGCTTCGTCACTCGCTTGTTGCGCCCGAACAGGTGGGAGATTACTTTGCGCGAACTGGATGCTGTGCTGCAGTTTGGTGTGAATTCGCAGGTCATTGGCGAGCTGCGAATGAAGTGAGGAGGTAGTCTAGTTAAGAAGTGAGAAGTAGTAAGTGTAGTAGAAGTGGGAAGTGAGCTGAGGTGGTATATTGTATGAGTAGATGAGTACTGATGAGTACTAGATGAGTACTAGTAGAAGTGAAGATACGATTTAGTAGTTTAGTGGAATGGAGTGGAGGAAGAGAGGAATAGAGAAACCAGAGAGAGAGAGAGAGAGAGAGAGAGAGAGAGAGAGAGACTACAATTCATTGTGATGTCTAGCCATCTACACCAACGCCATCAATGCAGATAAAGAAACAAAGTCTTAACAAGTGAAGAACAAAGGATGGAAGGAAGAACAAGGGTGGAAGAGAAGAACCCTAAAGGATATTCTGAATAGAAAAGAACTACACATATGGAGTATACTTGCGCACAGCGCGACTGTCACTCCACCCGCCCGAGCCAATGTCGATGGTCTGCAACTCGCGGCTCAGCGCATCCATGCCCGGATTGCTCGCCACAACCGGATAGCTCTGCATCGCAGGCTGAGCGACGGGCACCTTGGCCGGGATTGGGGGTCCCACTGCACCGTCGTCGTACAGACTCGGCGACCGAGACCCGGGCGACGGTGACACGGATCCGCGGTGTGACGACCGCGGACGATCGGGCGTCGTCGTGCTGTACGTGCGGCTACGCGTGTAGCCGCCGTACCCGTCGCCCCCGCTGCGAGTCATGGTCGTCATGGCCATGCTGGTCTCGGCTGCCCGCGGAGGAGGAGTATGTTGTGCCTGTGCCTGTGCCGCTGACTGCATGTAGGACGACGACTGGGGACGTCGATCCGATGAGAACGAGCCATGCTCGCCGGTACGAGACCGGTACGAGGCCCGCGGTGTCTCCCGTGGCACCTCCCGCGGCGGCGTGGATTTGGGTATGTTCTTGAAACGGATGATCACCTCGGGTTTCTTGGTCTTCCGTTCAGGTTCCGGTGCCCACGTCTCCGTCGGTAGATGATCCGACGGGTCGATGACCCGGCCATCGTCCCCGATGATGGGTTCCAGATCCCGGGCCGGGGTCGACTCACTGCGAATGGCTGCCTCCATCGCTTGGGCCGGAGTCTCATACGGCGGTGCCGGGTCGCGCGTCACGGCGGACCGCGCTGCGTTCGGGTTGATCACGTTATAAGAGTCTGGAGAGAAGGGAATGGACGAGCTGCCACCCATCATACTGCCCCGGTCAGCTGCGATCGGGGGGCGAGGGCTCACGGATTTCCGTCGAGGCACGATCCGCGTGTCCGGGCTGGCGGATCCGCGCCGGCTGCGGACCATTATCCCATGGTTTACATCTTCGGGTGGTCGAGGGGACGTGCGCGCATGGTACGCGGGTGCAGCCTCGTACGGGGCTGGCGGGGCAGGCGGAGCGGGCGGCTGCGAGACCATCGCCAGTTCGTCATCGTACAGGCCACTTCGTCTACGGACGGCTCGGTCTTCGTGGTCCACCCGGTCTGACTCGGCGTCGGCGATCGCGGGATCATAGCCGGCCATCAGGCTCGGGGGCATCACCGTGGAGTTGCTGTGGGGTGGCAGATCCCGGAGTCGATTGCTGGCCTGCATGTTGATGTTGTGAGTGCTCTGGGAGGAGGAGTAGGACACACCGGACGTGGGCATATTCACGTCCGTCGACGTGCGCGGCGAGGCCGCGTATTCCGGCGAATATGCCTTGTATGAGGGTGCCGGCGAGGGCATCCGCTGGCGACTTGACTGACCGATCGGGGTGCGGTGGATCGGCGGCGGCGGCGGGGGTCCTTCTTCCTCCTCGTCCTCGACGCTCGGCTGCATTGAAGCGTAATCAGTATGAGCAGCGTCGTGATTGACGGCGCTGTGCAGAGGACTGTTGGGGCCTACCACCGAGTTACTGTGGTGCCGGTACCCTCCTCCGCTGCCGTCATTGTCGGTAGCGATGGGGGCTGGAGATGGATGGGGAAATTCCGCAGAAGGCGGTTCATACGAGTTCATCATCGTCCGCGGTGAGTATCTGGATATCGCCCCTCCATGGGGGGAGGCATCACGCACATACCGTGGCTGCTCCACTGCAGCTGGGGGATAGCCATTGTGATGATGCGGCTGCGGAAGTGATTCATACGACCGTCTTGCATACGGGACATCATGGTAGTTTTCCGTGTGACTAGATGGTTGTGTCTGGTGTTGATGTTGATGTTGATGATGATGGTGATGGTGATGCTGCTGCTGCTGCTGCTGCTGCTGCTGTTCTTGCCTGGATGAACGGTGGTGTGTCGCTGGCTGTTGGTACTCATATTCAGCCTGAGTCTGGTGGGAATGCGCTTCGTACCGCTCCGCTGAGGGTTCACGGTACAGAGGCTCCTGGGGATAGTGGTTGGGATTGGTTGCCTGCGGAAGAGGCTCCCACTCTCGGTGGAAATCATCTGGAGTTTCATATGTTCTAGTGGGGGGTAATCCCGGAGACACTGATCCGCGCGATGAGGGAAGTTCATACGGCGCATCAGCCGCGGCGGCATGTCGACGCTGGTGATCCGATGATGAGACGGACGTCTGAGCTGGCGGCGCCGAATGGTGGTGCTCATAAGCCACGGGCCTCACCGGTGTGGGCTGCTGAATCGGCATGGGCATGGGCAGGGGAGAGGGTGCTGCAACCGGAGCTGCAGCGGGGGCTTGGCTGGGAGCCGGCGCAGCCGCCGGGGCAGAGTTGGTCTTTTCTGGGGGGGGTGGTGGGCGTGAGGTGGAAGCACCGGTCGGGTCTGACGGAAGAGGACGTCTCTTGACCTGGTTCAATTGACGAGGACCCGAGAGTCCCGACGAGGTTGGCCCGGCCGCCGCGGGGCCCGAGTGCGACGGCGTCTTCCCCAGAGCCTTCTCGACGGCCTCCTTTCTCTTCATCAACGCATCGCCCTCGGGCCGGGTATCGTAGTATGTCATTTCGATGCGGATCTCGCCTGCATAGCGGCCTCTGAACTGCAAGGGATGCCACTGGTCGCTCTGGCTTCCTCCCGGAATGATGAGATCTTTGAGATCGACCCACGTCTCGCCGATCAGATCGGTCTTCTTATCGTCGTTGAACACGGACACCTTCAATTTCAGGTAGTCCGGCGACTCGTGCACAGTAAAACGAAGCTCTTGATCCCTAGATAGCCAAGTAAGTCTGTCAGCCAGCAGCCTTATCTACCCTACCACCCACAACAGCAAAGAAAAAAACCTACCATTTCGGGGTCTGGCCTCCTCTCAGGTCGGTTTCTGTCTTCTTGGCTTCCTTGCCTAGACGAGCAGCACAGTAGGGATTCTGCTTGCCCAGCGTCTTCCTATTCGGCAGGTTCTTCGCCCGGTCAACGACACACACCAGCGTGCCGAGAGCCAGCCCGTCAACGGACATGTCTGCGTAGATACCTGCCGCAGGGTTTCCCCCCGGCAATCTGGGACCTTTAGCAGTCATCGTTACTTTCCTCAGATCACACAGTGACCTTTCTTTTCTTCGTCTCGATGAAAAAGAACAAAAAAATATAAAGGAGAATGGGATTTCGTGGCGGTCGGCAAGTCAGTCAGTCAATCCGGCATTTGGCGACCGGGGGGTGGTGGGAGGGGAAGCAGTAGTATTTCAGGAACAGGCTAATCAAGGAACGAAAATCGGTGTGAACCCGTAGCAAACGGGATATTCTTCCGAGACGATGACCAAATGAGCGAGCGACAGGCGACAGACAGGAGCAGCGACCGACAGGAGCCAAAAGAGGATGAGAAAGACGCAGTCTCTCTCTCTCTCTCTCTCTCTCTCTCTTTCTCTCTCTCTGTCTGTCTCTCCCTTGTCGACGGCGGGGGGGGGAATTGGAATGTTTTGCTTTGGCTCGATCCAGACTAGACGGAAGGCGGTGGCTGGGGCGGACAGCGGTGGCTGGGGACGAGTGTGATTGGCTGTTGGGGAGCGGGAGAAACAGGGCAGCTGAAGATTACCGTACGGTACGCGTATTACAGGGCCATCATTGCGTAGATGGTTGCGTGGCTTGCTGGCATTCCTTGTATTTAGGTAGGAATGGAGATTGTCTTTATAGTATGCTATCTATCAAGATGACTCTATTAATAAATGGGCTGTGTATAATTCTGTTGCCTTATGATGAAACAATCTATTGTCAGCTCAGCTTACTCCGTACAGTTAGAAGTAGGTAGATCTGGAGTATTGACTTGAGTCATTGACTTGACGCCAGCTCATCTGTGGAGTCTTGACTAATGTACGGCCTAATTGTGATCATCGCGTATCCAGTAGATTGTACTGGTAGATCATGCAATGTAGGTACGGAGTACTCCATACGGCGGTAGGTACCGAGTACAAGATACCAGTTTATATCAGATTCGTGATGTACAGAGTAAAGCAATAATCTTTCTTTACCTAGGTAATTCTAGATAGTTAACTATGTGATATACCTATACTCGTATTAATTGTATCATCCTGTCATGCCGGATCGCTTAGCCGTGTTGTATCATTCCCAAAATGGAAATCACCTGATATAGGGCTGAGTGCCTGAGGTACCTAACCCACCTGACTTTAGGTACCTCCAGCCTCCAGGCTCCTTCCTCAACTTCAATTACGCAACATTACGCAGAGACCAGACGAGTCTACTAGAGAAGTACCATGTCTACTCATCATGTCCTGGTATTATATTCTGCTAATCCTCATCTGCTGTCTAGTAATAGGAAACCTTACAACCCTGGACGCCGTCTTTGAAACCATCGAAAGAAACTGGACGATGCTGGTAGGGGTCTCTGGGCGGCAGGTATCCGCAAGATAGCCAGATTCATGATAAGAGATGAAGATGAAAAAGTCCAAATGAAGTTTGTTCGATACGCTAATACCGTGCGGCAATATGAGAGGCTTTTTGTTCAAACCGGAATCTACCTTGACGAGCGACGCGAGGTGTTTGAGCAGAAAAAGCAAAGTCTCAGTCTTGCTGGTGAGGAGCAAAAGCTACTGCAGATGATCTATAAGAGGTATGGAGAGAATGAAGACCTATGCGACCATTTGCAAATTGATCCCTCTAGCGCTTGGATCCGGGAGATGCAGGCTTTTATCAAAGGTGAGGAATGGCAATCTATGGCAAGAGAATGCAAAAGTAAGGGGGGTGCGGGTGTTGCGAGCGTCCCCGGGAAAGTCGTGGCGAGCTGATTCCACTGAATCATGAAGCACTATCTCACTGCACGCCTGACTGTGGCTGCTTTATCCGCTGGAAAGGTTACTTTGTACCTGGTGAGTTGCTCTCAAGGGAAAGGAGAGGTGGCAAAATGATTTGTCTTATATCTGACAACTTGTCTAGAGGTAAGTCTAGAGGCAAGGCCTTCATTACTCTTCCATCTATAAGATCGGCATAGTGAACATGTCTTGCTCTTAAGCTTTGGCAAGGAAATCAATATAATCTCTTATCTACTAATTCTCAAAAGAATACATCTATGATCTGTGGTAATAAGACAATAGCCAGGCAGCTTGCTACAATTCCATACTAGTATACTATAATTATAATATAAATAACTAATACTTTAGATTCATCAACCATTTATTGAGTCCCATTGAGTTCTCTCTTCATTTGTGTTGTTTTGCCCATTTTTGCGTCCACCCAATTTTGTCCGGATCCACTTTCTGTCCATTTTATATCTCGCGATGCCTCTTTTCTCCGCAACATAACAGGTTTATACTTGGACTTTCAAGTTAAGCTGGTCTATTTCTTCAGACGTCTAGCTCAGTCTTTAGTCTTGTCATACTACCTGTTGACAGCATGGTTCATAAGCTCCCTCCCTCCCGCTGTCTCAGACATCAACTCCGTCTACAACTGTCTACGACTTCGTCAAGATGAGAAGCCAAGTCATCCTTGCCTCGCTTTCGCTCGCTGTCCACGCGGCAGTCCCGGGGACTGTACCTATCTCCAACGAAGAGAAACGTGGCCTGCTGGATCCGGAATTCGATTATGTCGTGGTGGGCGGCGGCACTGCCGGGGCTGTCATGGCTACACGCCTGGCCCAGAACTCGTTCAAGGTCGCCCTGGTCGAGGCTGGAGGCACCTATGAACTGGAATCCGTGGCTGAGGTGCCTGCTGCCGATGTGATTCCTGTCGGATCTGATCCCAAGACGATCGCTCTTCACGATTGGGGATTTGTCGCAGAGAACCAGCCCGGTGCGAATGGACGTTCCATCCATTACGCTCGTGGCAAATGTCTAGGTGGATCGTATGTTATGAATCATTAGATGGTGATGACGGTATTGAATAACAGTTGACAATTCTAGGTCTGCGATGAATTTCATGATTTACCAACGGCCAACCCGCGAATCCATGGATCAGTGGGCCTCTGCAGTCAATGATAGCAGTTATACCTTCGACGAGGTGCTACCGTACTACAAACGCAGCGTACAGTTCACTACGCCAAATACCGATCTTCGGTTCAAGAACGCCACGACAGAATACAACAGCGATGCCTTTGACTCTAGCGGAGGCCCCCTGCAGGTCTCGTACTCGAACTACGCCATGCCCTTCTCGACGTGGATGAATCTGGGCATGGAAGCCATTGGAATCAATCAGACAGAGGACTTCAACTCGGGCTCCCTAATGGGCGCCCAGTACTGTGCCTCGACGATCAACCCGAAGAATGAGCTGCGCAGCAGTTCCGAGGCGTCCTTCCTGGCCAACAAACCGTCCACGCTGACCGTCTACTCCAACACCCTCGCCAAGAAGATCATCTTCAACAGCGATAAAAAGGCTACCGGCGTGCAGGTGAAGGGCGACATCCTGGGGCTCGTCTCCACCACGCTCCAGGCAAAGAAGGAAGTCATCGTATCGGCGGGCGCGTTCCAATCCCCGCAACTACTCATGGTGTCGGGCGTTGGACCCCAGGACCTCCTGGCGCAACATAACATCCAGCTGGTTGCTGACCGGCCGGGTGTCGGCCAGAACATGTGGGATCATCCCTTCTTTGCACCCTCGTATCGCGTCAATGTTCCCACCTTCACCAAGATCGCCCTCAACCTGCTGGATCTGGCGGCACAGTTCCTGAAGATGGTCACGCAGCGAACGGGTCCGATGACGAACCCCATTGCCGACTTTCTCGCGTGGGAGAAGATTCCCTCGAATCTTCGATCCAACTTCACCTCACAGACACAAGCCCAGCTTGCCACTTTTCCCGATGACTGGCCTGAGGCAGAGGTAGGTACTCTAATTCAGCTCGATGGATTGTCCAAAGAAAGTGGCAAAACGCTAATGTTATTAGTATATCTCCGGAGCCGGCTACATCGGCGACCTGTCGAATCTGCTCACCACCCAGCCAAACGACGGATACCAGTACGCCTCGATGCTCGGGGTTCTCATCACCCCGACCTCGCGCGGCAACGTGACGCTCAAGTCCGCCGACACGGCCGATCTGCCCATCATCAACCCGAACTGGCTGGAGACAACGACCGATAAGGAAGTGGCAGTGGCCATGTTCAAACGCATGCGGCAGGCTTTTCAAAGCAAGGCGATGGCCCCCGTGGTGATTGGCGACGAGTACTTCCCCGGTGTGCAGACGAAGACGGATGCGCAGATCCTCACTTTCATCAAGAATAACCTTATGACGCTTTGGCACGCTGCTTCCACGTGCAAGATGGGATCGGCGGATGACTCCATGGCGGTCGTGGACTCTGAGGCGCGCGTGTATGGCGTCGAGGGAGTCCGTGTCGTGGATGCCAGTGCTTTTCCTTTTCTTCCGCCGGGTCATCCCCAGTCAACTGTTTGTAAGTTTTGACGGAGTATTCGACAGATAGGAGTATACGGGTACTAATGGTATACAGATATGCTTGCTGAGAAGATCTCCGAGGCCATCATCAATGGGTCTTAATCGGCCTTCTCTCTTCTCTTCTTCTTTGTCTTTATTAATAAGAATCGATAGGATAATAGTTTATATTGAAATGAAGGTTTATTGAAAGTTCACTACTTATTGTGAATATACCATACTCCTAAAGTACCGCTGTGATCTTCACTTAGCCAGGAATCAAAACAAAATCACATGTAGTCTTACTACACATCTTCTTGATGTCTGCTATAATGCAGAAGATGTATATCTCCCTCTGTGCACGCAGGAGTTCTTCCGCTGTTCTCGTGAAGCATTCTAGGTGAGGTACTGGACGAGAGCAAAGACGGGGAGAAATAGAATAAGCTAAGTTATATAGACGTCGTCATTTCTGTGTCCATGGCCTCAGTAAGGGTTGTCAATTAGCAGTTTTCACAGAATATGGGCTATCCTAGCCATAAGCTATTTATGAGACATGTTTACCTTATATGGAGAGTAGAGTAACTAGATTCTTTCTCTAGATTGAATATCTTATGATTGAATGAAAGTTCATAGATTCTTCGGCAATCTTTAGTAACTATCTTGTGTTAGTCCTTCGACGCGGTTGACCTTGTAGCAGTGAATAAGCAGCAGTGAATATTACACTCCCTGCCAGTATAAAAGCCAACAATCCTCGTTCCATCTATACCATAGCTTCATCTAAAAATGATCTGTTCAAGTGCCGCAACCTCATTCCAAGTCTCTAAAGTCAATAACAAAGAGTTGCCTTGATATCAACCATCGTCGAGCCCACTGACAGACTTCACATCATGGCCGAGACATATACAGCGCGCAACTGGCAAGATCAAGGTCATCAGCTCTACTCCTCGGCAAACTCTGGCCAAGGAATATGTCCGTGTAGGGGACGAACTCGGCGTCCAAGAGAGATTTCTCCAACATATCGGACAGTCACGGGGGGATTTTTTTGTTCACAAGGCATGAATCTAGTCTTTGGTCAAGTCGGATTTTTAAGAGTTGTCCAAAGCCATATTGAAAAAGACCGGACATCATCTGTGACGGATTAGGTGTCCTCAAGGCAGTAGGCGACATCAAGGTCCTATGGTCGCTGAACACTTCTGGTGACCTTCATCATTTAAGATGATCAAGATATTGAAAGTCATAAGCTAACGAGTTGATAGATCCTAAGCCAAATTGCACAGTACATGCGTGATCTCAGCTTGATATATGGTTTTATATCGATATACAGACGATATCTTGAAGCAGGATGATGAAGCAGGCCAAGTACAATCTCTTACAGCGCTGAGATCAACCATGAGCAGATACATTCCGGAGTAGAGGTTTCGCTACAGCAGTGCTCTTTTCAATTGTGAAAGCTTGTGTTGGATGCATCCAACATTTTTGGTCTGGGGAAAGAGAGCATGGAAACGAGAGATCAAGAGCAGATAGGATAGACGACCTAATGGTCATTGCTTGATCAGCATCTATCTGATAGCATCTGCAGAATCCGATAGAATAGCCGTTATCATTCCAAACATATAGAAAGCCTCGTTATATACGTGTTATTCAGAGAGCTCCAGGAACGAGAGATTCCCTACCTAGTCCCAAAAAACCACTAAGCCACCTTTCACCTTCACATTCCTTCGATCATGATTTGGAAGCCACAGCTGATGATGCAGTGTCCTAAGCCAACCATCTTTATAATAACGAATGAAGGTAGTTCAACTTCAATGTGATTCTTTTCGAGTCCTTGCCTAGTAGAGCTACAAGAGCATTGAGAGAGAGCGGGGTTGCGAGCATGATGATAGTGCCAATGGTGTCTTGGAGAATCTGACTGATCCCGAAAAGAGGGTCCTGCTAAATTGTGTTGTCTTCTTGGATGGGCTGACTTTGCCGCAGCTGAACTCGCCAATGGAAGTGACTTGATGGCTGGTTGTTGCTGAGTCGTGGGATGATTTGAGACTCGACGGGGTGGATTTGACACATCGTCCATCGAGTCCTCTGGGCAAAGGCATCGGAGTAAGCCACAACCTATACTGACTAAAAACTTATAGCCCCTATCAGTGTATCCAGGGAGGGAGAAATATTGAAAAGATGACAGGAGTCAAAGGCGAGCAAGACGAACAGTCATTGGACCAGGGCGAGTCACGGAACCCATTTCGATGTACAGCTGAAGGGTGTCGAGGTGCATGAACCCCGCTGCCCAAAGCCAGAAACGAGGTATGACTGGAATATGGTCTTCTCTATTGATTTGAGCTGTGGAAATCCAAGAGATTAAAGTGTAAACAAAGCCTGAGGCACAGTTGGGTTTGAGTGAATTGAACTAAGCCCGGCTGGGTGATAGGCAGGTAGCTTAGGTAAGTATTACAACTATCAGCCTCTCACTTCCTCTTCCTCTTCCTCTTCCCCTTGTTATCCATCCTCTATTTCTTGTAGAGACTTCTATCAAGGCTATGAGATCGAATCATAATGGCAGAGTTGGCTGTCGAGAGACCTGGGGATATTTACGAAGCACTCGTTGTATTGCCTCATATACCTAAGCACGATCAGCTGGGAGAGGATTCGAAGAGGAGGAGGAAGTGCACTCCCTCGCCAGAGACTAATTCGCCGTCGAAGAGTGTCATCCTATCTCCTTCTGGTGCTCTACCTTCCGAAAGGATCATCGTCAGCCTCCAAGAGACGCGTTTCGCATCATATGCGAACTATTTTCCCTCGGGAGAAGTTGCTATTCGTGAGTTCACACGCGCTGCTTGGAGTTTAGATACTGACTGTATTTGCTGTGGACCAGAAAAAAGATTTTTTCTTGAACCAAGGCACAATCACCCTGAAACACTGTTCTCTTACTTTCCCACAAATGATAACCTCCCCTGTCGTCACATCATCTTGCCGTTCCATCTCAGACATAACAACACGGCCTTTAATGCAGAAAACTCCAGAATTTTATCCCATCTGTTCCCCGATACCAGGGAGGTTTCCTTCGATGGGTATTTTCTGATCTTTTGGCTTGACCGATTACCGCCAAAGCCATGGCCCATAACAATTGCGGGCGTACAACCGTACCTTACATTAGATCCCAATGACGAGGGGCCCACGCCGCCCATTAAGCGGCCGAGCAGATCCATTTTCCGGGTCTCCCCAGAACTGGACGGCAGCGAAGCAAATGCTGACAGAGTCTTTGAAGTGGCCAGAGATTTCTTTCTAGATGCCGAGATACACATTACCGAGATTCAATACTGGGGAGGCTTTCTTGTGATTGTTCTTGAGGAAAAGGATACTAATCTCAAAAAAGTTCCAAGCTCTGTTGCAAAATGTCGATGCTTTTATGTATATGAACAGGAGATGGACCGACAGCTCCCAGCCAGGTCTGCGGCCAAACGAGTCTGTGATTCTGGCTTCGGTATCATAGACAATACGAAATACGATGTTCTACGTCCTGGCGTGATACTAAGCTCTGTAAGCTCTGAAAACGAAGTGAGCACAGAGACCGAACACCTCACATCCTCTGGAGTCCTGGTGGAAAACGAAATGGGTCACAAATACCTGACAGTAGCGTCACACGGAGTTGCCTATGGGGAAAACATCTTCCACCCGTCTTCTCCTGGAACTGAGATAGGGAAACTCATCCTGGAAGGGCCTCATACTGACATTGCACTTGCAAAACTGCACGACACAACCACCTTCCTCAACGAAACCTTTGAAAGTGCCACAGATGGTACAGACCCTGTCTCTCTAAGTGGGCTGGTGCCTGCGCATGAGGTCCAAATTGGTTCTACTATCTATATGAACAACCCTTTTACAGGATACTCGGAAGGAACATGCGGAGCAAGGTCGTGGACCCGGGTGCCTAGTGATGATCCCCACGTTCCAAACTTGCACTGGGTCAAGACTCAGTGGTCTTACCTAGGTCAAGGATTTCAAGAACAGCTCGAGGACGGCGTCTGTGGCTCTGCAATTTGGTCGGAGAGTGGCAAGGTTCTGGCTTTCTTTCGGTACGCCCCTGCCTCCGGTCCCTACAAAGATTGGTGTATGTCGATTGCAGCTGGAAACCTCATCGATCGCGGATACAAGCTTGCTACTTGAAAAGAGAGGGGAGGGAATACAAACGTCCTACCGACGAATAGATATACATTGTTCTCCTCTCTAAGCAGCGCATCTACACAAGACCGAATGGCGATAGAGAACGTCTTGGCTCATGCTGCTCAGAGATACACTTCTGTTTATTTCTCAAATTTCAAAGTATCAATTCAATTCATCAATTTTTCCAATACAAAACAATACCTATACTGTAATCTGTACTTCTCTAAAAGTCCCGATTGGGTTAGCCGTGCATGTGACCAGCCATGTGCCTGCCATAGTATCACCGTCGGACAATTGCAACCACAAGATCACTCTCTTTCTCCCACTCCAGCCCTCATCATTGTCATCACGCCTTGGACATACATGCATTACAGCCTGTCGATCTTTTCGGGTTCCTAGCTCCTACAGAATATGATTATTTGAGAACCCTCCGACTGGGCAGACCGCTTGTCGCCCGACGTCTCCACCCTGTGGGGGGACTGCAGACTGGAGCTCTAGAACAGCTGTTGACGGCTTGACATACGGGGAGCGGTACAGAGGCTGGGTTGAAGGATCGACAAGGGCTGCGAGAGCTCTCGTTATTGTCGGGTCATGCATGATGCCTGATTTGCCTGCGTTGATGGTGCAGAGCGGAGGTCTACGAAATGCCTCTCTCTGTTCCGCTACGTCTACCAGACAAGTCTTCAGTATGACGGTTATACAGACCTGTGTAAGTGTATTCTGATCTAGTTAATCAATCTTTCAAGGCCTTGTATTGATTGTTTTCTTGATAGTCGACTTTGTGGTCGCGAAACTCTGTCTGACAACCTCATTCTACGGCGAAGATGATCATCAACCAAATAATAGAAGATCGCCGTATTGGCATTGTCAGATAAGGAAAATAATATTGACGATGATCCAGTCTCTTTCAATTGCTCCACGTGTCCGATTAAGATGGTCTGACGGAGTAACTACTCCGTACGGTGAGTCCTTCCAGCCACCAGATAAACACAGTGCGGATTGTCTCTCTACTTCTCTTCTCGCCTGGTGTCCCTCATGATATCCCACACTTAGGAAATCACCTTGAGACTTGATAGTCCTTTACATGATACCGACTGTGGACCCTATCTCAGCTAAATATCTCATAATATTCAGACTTTCCTTCTGACCCTACTTTTTCACCACTAGGATTGCACTACATATGTCTGGTACTCCAGATATTGATAACGACTGAAAGCCGCTGAAAGACGTGTCAGCATACAGAAGAATCAACCTCCCTTTAATGCAAACCGGACATGGTTTTCAATTTCGAAAGCCGTGGGTGATTTCACGATCAAGGCGTGACGGAAAAAAATACCTCTTTTTGCTCCTGTTACTTCTGAAAACGGCGTCACCCTCCTGTTTTACTTTCCATCAACGTCTGGAATATCTTCCTTTAGTCTTACGAACCAGAGGAACTTGACTATTTTCGCCCCTCTCCAGACTACGTGGAGGGTCTCTTTCTCCCTCTGGGACACTATGCGGGGAAATATCTTGTCTGGGCAACAAATACCAAGCCCGCAAAACCCTAAAACTCCCCGACGGGTAATTGTTTTCGGGCAATGTCCGATCGGATATGCGGGGTGGAACGCCATGAAAGACGAGGGGCTCGCATTTAAAAGGGACGGGGAAATGGTACCCTGCCTGCAATAGTCGTGCTCCAACTCGAATATCCCAGCTTCGCCATGGAACACACCCTCTTCTACGACCACCCCGCCGACCTCTGGTCCGAGGCCATGCCCATCGGCAACGGCCGACTCGGGGCCATGGTCCGGGGCACGACAAATGTCGAGAGATTCTGGGTCAACGAAGACTCCGTGTGGTACGGAGGGCCCCAGGACCGCGTCAACCCGGCCGCCAAAGAGAATCTGGCTAAGATCCGCACGCTCATCGACGAGGGCCGCATCCGTGAGGCAGAGAGGCTGACGATCAAGTCCTTCACGGGGATGCCGGAGGCCATGCGCCATTACGAGCCGCTGGGCGATGTCCTGCTCCAATTTGGCCATGGCGTCGACCCGCCCGGTCCCTACAAGAATACGGTTGGTATCCCGCGTTTTGAGAACCAAAAGTACTCGTGGGCGTCGGGCGAGGCCAGCAACATCCCCGCGAACTACCGCCGAGCTCTCGATCTGGCTACGGGCGTCGCAAAGGTCGACTACAGATGGGAGGACAACCAGTACAGTCGTGAGGTCTTTGCCAGCACGGCTGACCAGGTCCTCTGCGCCAGCGTCACCTCGAACAACGCCCCGCTTTCGTTCTCTCTCGCGCTGAACCGCGGCGACCACGACGATTACGACCGCAAGCTCAACAAGACGTTCGACTCGCTGCGTCATATACCTGGTGGGATGGTCCTTTCGGGAACAATGGGGGGCAAGGGCGCCGTCGAATTTGCGCTCGGTGTGAAGGTCGTCATCGAGGGCGGAGAGGGGACTGTGGACGTCATGGGGACCGACATCGAGATCTCAGTTGCAGCCGGCGCACGTGTGGTGATTCTCGTATCGGGCGAGACGACGTACCGCCACGCTGACCCTGTCGCAGCAGCTACAGACCGGTTGAGCAGCGCTGCGAAGAAGCCCTGGAGCCAACTGCTCGAGGCGCATACAGCCATCTTCTCTCCCTTGTACCGACGGGTGGTATTGACCCTGCCAGAGAGCAATGATGGTTCAAGCAATCCGAATTCTCTTCGTCTTCTTCCCACCGATCAACGATTAGAGAGACTACGGCAGGCACATGGATCGCCTGGAGTGGAAGACCACGGTCTCGCAGCCCTGCTCTTTCACTATGGGCGTTACTTGCTCATCAGCTCATCACTTTCCGGTCTCCCCGCCAACCTGCAGGGGATTTGGAACTGCGATGCGATGCCAGTCTGGGGTTCCAAATACACCATCAACATTAACATTCAGATGAACTACTGGCCGGCGGAGGTCACCAATCTGCCGGAATGCCACGCCGTGCTGTTTGAATTCCTGGAGAAGCTGAGCACACGCGGCGCCCAGGTCGCGCGCGATATGTATGGCTGCCGCGGATGGGTGACGCACCACAACACTGATCTGTGGGCGGACGCTGCACCGCAGGACCAGGGCGTTTGCGCGACGTACTGGAACCTCGGCGGCGCCTGGTTCTGCACGCACCTGTGGGAGCACTACCAGTTCCATCGCGACGAGGCCTTCCTGCGCCAGGCCTTCCCGCTCATGCACGGCGCGGCGCTGTTTTTCGTCGACTTCCTCATCGAGCGAGACGGAGAGCTCATCACCTCGCCCAGCACTTCGGCCGAGAACTCATACTACTTTACGACACCAACAGGAACAACAACAACAAAGAGCGTCGGTTCCCTCTGCGCGGGACCAGCGTGGGATGCGCAGATCCTGCGGGAGCTGTTCGCGGCGTGCATCGCCGCCGGAAAGGTCTTGAACGAGCCGACGGCCGAGTTCGAGACCGTACTGGCCAAACTGCCGCAACCCCAGATCGGCCGACACGGGCAGATTATGGAGTGGCGCGAGGACTACGACGAGGTGGAAATCGGCCACCGCCATATCTCGCATCTGTGGGGTCTATTCCCCGGATCGACGATCAAGGGGGACAAACTCCACGCCGCCGCCAAACGCACCCTCGAGCGCCGCCTGTCAGGCGGAGGCGGCCACACAAGCTGGAGCATAGCCTGGATCCTGTGTCTGTATGCCCGGCTGCGCGACACCGCGGGCGTCGAACGCGCCATCAACCAGATGCTCGGCCACTCCGTGCTCGACAGCATGCTCACCACGCACCCGCCCTTCCAGATCGACGGCAACTTCGGCTTCACCGCCGCCGTGGCGGAGATGCTCCTCCAGAGCCATGACGGCGACTACGTCGATCTGCTGCCCTGTCTGCCCCCTGCGTGGGAGGAAACGGGCAGCATCATCGGCTTACGGGCTAGGGGTGGGCTCGAGATCGATCTCAAATGGAGTAAAGGCAAACTGATCGAGGCTGGAGCCAAGTCCAGCCTCGCTCAGACTAGGATGTTTCGCATTCCTGGCGAGAGGCTCGTCGGTGGTGTGAGTAAGGAGTTGACCGTTGACCTGCAGGCAGATGTGCGGGTTTGTATCTACACTGTTACTTAATGAGATGCCCTAGATGGATTATGAATTTCAAGTCAAGCTTTCAAATGAACTATAATGGGATCCTTCATAGTCTAGCCCTAGTAATACAAATTGATCGGGGAAATCTCAATGTACAAGCCTACAAGCCTACAAGCCTAGAATCCGGAATATACAATATGATACAAGAAGATCAAGTTTAATTGTCCTATAGATACCAAGTCGCAAACACAAGCGTCTACCCACTGACTGGAAACTGATAGTTCTTGAACTCCCTCGTCGGAACTTCCAGATTGAAGAGGGTATCGAGCTCCTCGTAGGTGCGATTTGCTGTCTAAGAGCTTGATTAGTAAAGGATCGACACATGGTTTATGAACATTGTCTGAACTCACCTCTGGTAACCTGTAATAACCCCAGACGAGTCCCAACAAGGAGATCCCCCCGAAGAGAAATTCGATCTTAGCACCCGCATTGGCTGCGCCAGGATTCAACAGGGCGGGCCCCAGCGCGGTCAGAACGAGATAGGAGGCGCCGTTGATGGTGGCGGTGAGGGAGAGGGTTTTGGCGCGCAGCTTGGTGGACGGGGTCTCGGTCGAGACGATGTACCCCAGGGGTAAGAGGGTGAGGGCGTACGCGAATTGCAGGGAGATGAGCAGGCTGGCCTGGGCCCAGGAGTAGGCGGGCGTGGAGGAATAGTCCTTGGCGAAGCTGAGCAGGGCGACCACCCACAGCATGATGACACAGTATCCGAGGCCGTACAGCCAGGCGGTGCGGCGGCCCACGTGTGGCAGCAGGAAGGGACACAGGACGGTGCCCAGGAAGCCGAGCGCGGCGAGGCCGATGGACATGTCAAAGGCGGCACCCGTATCGAGGCCGACCTGCTCGAAGAGGTAGGTGGCGAAGCCGACGGGGTTGCCCGAGAAGTTTTGAATGATGAAGAGCATGGAGCAGATCTCCAGCCGGCGGCGGTTCGAGCCGCGCAGGCAGTCCCTGTAGGTCGAGCCCAGGGCCTGCTCGCGCTCGTACGCGTCCGTCTGAGCCATGAGGGCGAGGGTGCTGGCGTTCTGGGCCGGCGAGACGCCAGTAGTCAGTCGGTCGAGTGAGCGCCGGGCGTCCTCCATCCGGTTCTGGCGCAACAGCCACCACGGCGACTCGGGCGCCCAAGCGAGCAGGCTGAGGATAAAGACAGGCCAGACCCACTGCACGGCGTAGGGGATCTTGTACGCCCACACATCGCTGCGGTTGATGAAGGCTCGCACGACGCCTATCTGAAGCAGCTGCCCGATTGTGTAGCACAGCGAAACATATGTGGTGAGCACGCCGCGCAGGGGCAGCGGCGTCACCTCGGATGCATAGGTGGGTGCGATCACATGGTAGCCGCCCCAGACAAAGCCGGCCAGGTACATTGACACGGTCAGGATCGTGCGTGTCGGCGCAAATACCTGCATCGTCACCAGCGCCGCCGTCGCGATCAGGTACCCGGCCAGCGTCCGCTTGCGCCCGAACCGGTCCATGGGGATCGCCGCTGCCCAGGCGCCGCCCACTTGGCCCACGATCGCGCCCATGCTCATGGCAATCTGCCACTGTGTTGGTACCTGGTACCCGCCACCTGCCACGGGCTCGCCCATGTGGTGCTGGAACGACGGCTGCGCATACAGGCTGCCCGTCACCTCGATGTCGTACGCGCGCATGATGATGCAGGTCGAGACAAGCATCGACCACAGGCATGCCTTGCGGTACTTCTTGAGCGCTTCCCACGTCGTTAGCTCGTGCTCGGCCAGTGCCGCCTCAATAGCCATCTGCTGGTTGAGGGCGTCCAGCTTGCCCCCTTCGACCTCATATTGCTGCTGCTGGTCGGCAGTGTCCTCGACGAGGATGATGTTGGCCTTGGGAGGCTCCATAACGAGATCGTAATAATTTGTAGCGAGACTCAATTGGTGGCCAAAAATTGAAAACGCAATGGGGAAAAGAAAACCAAAAAGGGAGATTAGTTGGTACTTTATACCATGGTTTATGCCATGTTTTCCAGGCAAATCTGGGGACCCCGCATCGCACGAACTCCGCAAAGTTTAGAAATTGCCCGAAAGCCGACGGGTATTTGTAAGGTTAAAAAAACTCGTACTCGAGACTCAAAATTGAGACTCGGGGTTTGACAGAAGCCCCATTGTCAAAAGGTCAACTGCTTTAATTGTAAACCGAGGCTGAATATGAGGGTCCTCTGGGAAACATGAATCACTGGGCCAGGAATATGAGAACTCACAATCTCAATTGTCCTCCAAGCCGCTGTATTAAGAATATCCAGAATGACAGGATCGTCAAGATATATCTTTCATGTGCCTAATACGGCTGAATTCAACAACTCCACCGTAAAAATAATTGGACCAGACTGGTCAGTAAACACTGCCCTAATAGCCCGACACACCGGCGAGCTCTTGCGCTTATTGGAGAATAAATGGCCTATTGAAGCTGTTTTCATTGTTATGACGCGTCCCGCCCGCCTGGGATTTCCAGAAGCATAACATATGTATCCAACCTTCGCTCGGACGTCAAGTAGCTATGCTGTGCACTTGATTAGTACTCGATCGAAAATACCGACCATGGGATGCCGTGATACGTACTCTATGAATCTCGGACATCACATCTTTCTCGGGGCAAAGGGGCTCTCCGTAAACGCAAACCCGTCACGCAACCTCGTCAGCCACCAAGGCGTGTCTCATTGTTACCCTGATGCCAATGAAGGTAAGCAATCCCATGCTACCACTGTATTATAGGATCTGCTGTTCTCTGACGAGCATATTTTCCTGTAGCCGGACTGTAGTTAATAGACGAGGATCGGAAGTCAAGGATATAAGAAGGGCTTGGGGTCAGACAAAGACTCATCTGGAATCCAAGCATGGAGTCTTCCATTCTCCTCTTTTCCTGCAATGCTGCTTGCCTGGTATTCCAAACTGTCAAGACAGACTGCTTGTCTTTGCTTGCAGAGAAGTCAAGGAGAACGTCTCGCAGCTTCCGAATTCCAGTTGGTCTCACGTGTTTGTTTTGCACCTGACCGTTGTTTGACGCCTTGTCAGGTGACCACCCTTCCGTGACTCAAACCTGAACTTCCTCATCCTCCTCCTCCTTCTTTTTCAGGTCGACTATACTCCTCCCTCTGCTGCCTGCCACCATTGAGGGCTTGTGGGTTCTTCATTGATATATACTTCTTTCTACAGCAAATCGTCTCGTCAAGATCTCTCTGAGTTGGCCGACTGTGAGAAGTTCTAGTGTTGGATAGGAGGTTTAACCAACAGTTGACGGTGGTGTATTTTTCACCCAGCTGGAATGGCTTTTGATAGAGCTTGTGGCCTTCTGGACTGGCTGTGGTCTACAGCTCTGTCTGTAAGCGGAATTTTGGTTTCTGAACTACTGAGATCTCTGCTAACTAACCGTGACGAGAGAGCAGGTACACCACCCATTCCCTCAAATAAACGTCGGACCCTCACGCAATCAAAACTGGCTAGATTAAATCAATAATGCCGAGGCAGAGAGTGATACACCAGCCTTGAACATCTAGCGGTCTCACACTGAGTATCACTACGCCCGAGTAGTATACGCAAGCCCTGCGACTACGTCTCCTGACATGTAGCAGGGCACTGGGGATTACGTCACGAACGTACGTTCCTGTTTTATTAGCTTAATATTAACTGCAAGTATTGAAGATGCTAATTTTATCCTTATCTATATGTAGTGGTGGTTCATATTCAACTTTTGTCATCACGCCAAAGACTATAACCTAGACGGCCAGTGAAAAACGAGGAGAACCCAAAAGCCACGCAGACACCAGGAATTAAGCTTAACCTTACATATTACTTATGCGTCGCTGGACTCCTTGTCTTGTTGAAACATGCTGGTTTAAACTCTGATCCGATAAGCCACGCGGCAGGCGACGATCACTGGCATCCCTGTGGATCCCTCGTGGATCATTTCTACTTCTTGAAGAATTTCTTACTCGCCGGAGCGAAAGTTACATCCGATATTGGAGAGTGGATCATACTTTCCACGGATGGGCAAGCCGTTTCATTCTTCAGTCTTTCGTGTTCGTGTGGAACCACTGCATGCCTATCCACGGACTATAGTGATACTCACAGTGGCTGGCCCCTTAATTTGGAGAACGGTCAAGATTGAAAATGATACTTATAATACGAAATCAAGGTCTCACTCTGGTCACATTTTTTTACAATCACCGGTTTCCTTATTTCTCGTCTTCTTCATCCATTTTATCTTTAGGATGAAGTATCGTACCGAGACGGCCGCCTTGATGGCTGGCCTTCTGTCCACCACCCATGCTGCTCTTTACGAAACCCCCATCGAGACAGAGTATGGTATGGTGCAGGGCGCTGCCGCGCTCAACTCATCCATCGATGGTCTCTTCCCCAACTGGCAGAACATCTCTGCGTGGAAGGGAATTCCCTACGCTGCCTCGACCGCAGGCAAGAACCGGTGGCGACCCCCCCAGCCTCGTGAGGCCTGGAACGGCACCCTGGATGCCACCAGCTTCAGTGACGCCTGTCCGGACACTGGGTCCAGTGATACCGCGAGCGAGGACTGTCTGACGGTGAACGTCTGGTCGCCTGCCACCTCTGCGGACGAGAATCTGCCCGTCATGGTGTGGAGCTACGGCGCTGGGTTCAGCTCCTCCAGCGACGAGTTTGACGGCAGCGGGCTTGCCAGCAAGGGAATCGTCTTCGTCAGCTACAACTATCGGACGGGCCCCTTTGGCTGGCTGGCGCTGCCGGAACTGGCGAGCGAGTCGCCCACCAACACCTCTGGCAACTACGGTCTGCTGGATCAGATCGAGGTCCTCAAGTGGGTCAAGGCCAACATCGCCAACTTCGGTGGTAACCCGGACCATGTCGTCAGTGCGGGCCAGTCTTTCGGCTCCGGAGCCGTGCTGCACACCATCAACAGCCCGCTGGCTAAGGGTCTGATTGTGGGCGCCATCGCCGAGAGCGGCATCAAGGACCCCTATGACCCGGACTACGGCACCTACGGCTCCAACTATGTCAACATGACCTATGCCGAGTCTTTCAGCGAGACATACCAGAGCAGTCTGAATTGCACCACGGTTGAGGAGCTGCGCGAGCTGACCGTCGACGAGCTCCTCGACGGCACAGGCGTTGATGCCTTCACCGGTGGCTTCAACCCAGTCCTCGACAACTGGGCCATCCCCTCCACCTACTTCGAGAGCCTGGTCAACGGGCCGGCCAACGACGTGCCCATCCTGGTGGGCAACAACCGTGATGAGGACGAAGCCACGTACAACCTCAGCATGACCGTCGCCGAGTTCAAAGAGGACATCGTCGACACGTACGGGGCGTACGCTGACCAGTTCCTGGCCGAGTACAACGTGACCTCCGATGCCTGGGCCGGCCGCGCCTACGACGCCATCTCGCGGGACCGCGCCCGCATTTCTACCTGGCTGTACAGCGTCAGCTGGGCCAAGACCGCCTCCAGCCCCGTCTACACCTACGAGTGGGACCACGCGCCCCCGGACCAGGACTCGGGAGCCTACCACGCCTCGGAGATCTTCTACACGCTCTACTCACTGTGGAACGTTGACAGCACCGACTGGCAGCCGGCGGACTACGAGATCGCCGACAAGGTCTCTTCCTACTGGGCCAACTTCGTCAAGACCGGCAACCCGAACAACGGAAGCTCCTACACCGCGGGCACGCTGGCCCACTGGCCTCCCTCGGTGGCCACGTCGAACACCACCTTCAACATCGGCGACTCCTTTGAGGTTGTTCCCTTGGCGTCGAACGCGCAGATCGAGACCATCTTCAACTGGTTCATCTATGACATGGACGGCAAGCCTTATTAGACTTGTCTATCCCTCCTCCTTTTTCTTTTTCATTCTCATACTATGATCTATCTTTCTCTGTACATTTTCAATAGATATAGATAGAGCAGAGCGGTGTTGGAGTAAATAGAATATCGAAATTCCAATGATACAGATCATCTACGGACTCGTTTCCTCACCTCACAGATTAATTACCGTAACGGAGAGAGCCTATCGACTTTGAGGAATTGTAGGAAACAACAAGGGACAAGGAACAGTTGGTGGAAGTAAAGTAATGTCGTCCCGTGACTCCAAGTCACGGCCCACGGGGCTGTCATATCACATGAGTCGTCCTCAATCGTTCCTTCCTTCTTCCCTCTTCGCTCCTTCCTTCCTTCCAATTTTCTATCCCACTTCATACACGCAAGATTCTCTCCTACTGTTCCATTCTTCCTTCTTTGAGAATCGCATCTCTCAAGGCTGAGGCAAGTCATGGTTCCTTCAGCCAATGCTTTCGGTCAGATTAGCGCCGTATACAGGAGCGTCAGGCTGCCCGCGTTAACGGGGCGAGATGGACTCGAGAGATGCGCTGTCTTCACAGTGTGTCTTGTTGCTCTGCCTTGCGCTTAATGAAACACCACTGGCCCCTTCATAGGAGCTAGAGAAAATAGAGTAGTCGTTAAAATACTCGGTACTAGTCATGGCCCTGCTCATGATACCAGGTGATTTTTTATCACTAAGGACTTTATCTATTGATTTACTTCTGGCTCATTATCTTCCCTCGCACGATTATGTTACCTGAATCCAATGTCGGGGAAAGGATTTTGGAGGTGGGGATCTTGACTGCCTTGCCCATAGAGGGTGAGGCTGTTCAAGGTGTCTTCGATGAGATATACGAAGGCGATAATTTGGATATTGAAGCTTCTCAAAGCGAAAGAGCATCAATATTTGAATTCTCATACACAATAGGCAGGATTGGACGCCATGAAGTCGTGCTGGCGTATATGCCTGGAATGGGCAAGGTGAATGCAGCAAATATAGCGTCAAGCTTACGATCAAGTTTCATTGATTTGAAACTGGTGCTTCTGGTGGGAATCTGTGGTGGGGTGCCGAATGGGCTGGATAATTCAGAAATTGTGCTCGGCGATATCATCATCAGCAAGAACGTGGTGCAGTCTGACTTTGGGAAACAGTATCCCGAGGGCTTCGAAAGAAAAAATACCGTGTCTAACAATCTGAGGGAAACAGGCCTGGAAATCCGGTTATTTCTTGAAAATATCGAAGACAACAAGAAAATACTTGGAGAGAAGACGTCCAAGAATCTCATTTCCTTGCTTGAAAGGCCTGGTTTTGAAGAGGTCAAATATCCCGGGGCTCATGAAGACAAGCTTTTTCCACCCGACTACCTTCACCAGCACCATGATACCCAAGACTGCGGATGCCATGAGGGTCAGACCTGTTCCGTAGCAAGGCAGTCCCCGTGTGAGCTGCTAGGCTGTGACCCCGAGTTGCTGGCACGCGAAAGGCCTCGCGCTCGACAAGGACAAAATCCAGCCATCCACTTCGGCTCAGTTGCATCTGGGGACGCAGTGATAAAATGTGGCATGTATCGGGACCAAATCGCGAGACAAGAGAATGTCATAGCTTTTGAGATGGAAAGTGCAGGGATCTGGGAGCTCCTTCCGTGTTTCATGGTCAAGGGAGTCTGTGATTATGCAGACAGTCATAAAAACAAAAAGTGGCAACTATACGCAGCCGCCACTGCTGCTGCTTGTGCCCAAGCAACTTTGGAGCTCTGGGATAGGCGCAGTCAGCAGCGGCCTTCACGAAACCGAGTGGTAAGTCCATGTTATGAGCCAGTTTCAAGAGAAGATTACTCACTATAAAAGAGCAATGGAGGGAAGAATTCAGAAAGGACGAAGCTTCTAGGTCAAGTAGTATCACCCGATCCATCCCCGAGCTTCACCAGCTACGGCTCAATGGTCGCCATTCAAGGCGGTATTGTAAACGCCCAGGGAGCTATCTTCAATCAGTGAGTTTCCGACTCTCTACACTGTGGTAATCCATCACTAAAGCCATCTACAGAAGAGTATATGATGCTCTCGAGAGTTTGCCTTATGTACCTGAAGCCATCTTCAATAACATCGAGCGAAAACAAGATCTGTGTCTTGAAGGGACACGAGAGGCCTTGCTGCAGGAAATATACGAATGGGCGGACAGTGATCAAGAACAGCCTCTACTTTGGCTGAGTGGATGGGCAGGAACTGGGAAATCGACCATCGGTGTGACTGTGGCCCGGAAATACGAGGAGAAAGGCCGTCTAGGAGCGTCGTTCCTTTTCAGCAAAGGCAAAGGAAACTCTGAATCTGCGATGAAATTTGTCGCCACTGTCGCATATCAACTCGCACAAAAATCTTCCCTGATCAAAGATTCGATCTGCAAGACGCTTGAGAAAGATCGAGATATCGTGAACAAGTCTCTGTCTGATCAATGGCATCAGTTGATCTTAAAGCCTATGTCAGACCTTCCAGATGATGAAGGCAAGGCCCCCTATATTTTGGTTATTGATGCGCTGGACGAGTGCGAAGAAAGCAGAATCCGTGACATACAAACAATACTTTTCGAAAACCAATCAAATCACCTGCGAGTTCTCGTCACAAGCAGACCAAATCTTGATCCTTCCTTTCAGCCGGCTAGTGGACCGGGATGCCAGTCTCATTCCATTGTGCTGCATAACATTGCTACCGACATTGTTGAACGAGATATCCTAAAGTTTCTAGAACATCATCTCGCAAAACTAAGACCTGACTGGCCAGGAACAGAACGCATCAACCGCTTAGTCCAGATGGCAAGCGGTCTCTTTATATGGGCCGCGACTGCTTCTCGATACGTCACCAGCGGGGGAGGAGCACTCGCTGAGCGAAGGCTTCGAAAGGTGCTCGACAACGATATATGTCCAAACTCACCAGAAGGTTCGCTGGACGACATTTATATCACAGTCCTTCGAGACTCTATTCCTGCCAATTGGTCTGATGAGGAGCGGCGCGTTTGCTGCTACTCTCTGAGACAATATCTCGGCAGTATAGTGGTCCTCTTCGAGCAGATGTCTCCTCACTCCCTTTATAAGATTATGGAGGTGAATCCGGATAAGAAAGCTGAAATTGAAGTACACGAGCTCTTGAGAAACATCCGGGCCATTTTAGACGTCCCAGAAGGTAAAGACGAGAAACGAACAGTATTTCGGCTGCATCATCCCTCGCTTCGGGGCTTTCTCCTCGATGCAAATAGATGCACCGATATGGAATTTCATGTGGACAAGAAGCAAGCCCACCGGACATTGCTGGATGGATGTCTTCAGCTGTTATCACAAACTCTCAAACGAGACATTTGTGGTCTAGAGGCATCTGGCATCTTTGACAGAACGCCAGACCAACTTCGAATCGAGCATTTGCTTCCTCCAGAGGTTCAGTATGCATGTCTTTACTGGGTAAAACACCTCCAGCAGTCTGGCTATGTGGTTCAAGAAAATGATACCATTTATCAATTTATTAATGAGCATTTACTTCATTGGCTCGAGGCATTGAACTGGATGGGAAAAGGCCATGATGCACTGGAGGCACTAAGGTGCTTAGATTCCCTCACTATAGTAAGTCCCATCAACAGAGCGCAAAGTAATTCATCTCTAATGGCTGTAAAGCAAAATAAAAGGTCTGGGGTATCCATTCTCATCAAGAGCTTGATCCGGTTTACCCAACGCAACCTCGATATTCTAACAGAAGCACCTCTTCAACTTTACAGCAGGACCCTTCCATTTGCGCCACGAAGAAGTCCTGTCTGCAAAAAGGATAAACGCGACGCATTGCATTCAGTCAGATCCTTGCCCAAGTTCTATGGCGGCTGGGCCCGGTTCATACGAAGGAAGAAAAGGAACTGACAGATACTATAATACTGCAAGTCACTTTTAGGTTCCTGAAATACTACAATTGGTATCATTTTTGTATTGCTATTAACTAGTAGTATGAAGATAGGTATTTTGGATAGACTATATGTTAAGTATCAAGCTTGCTTTTGACTGGATAATAACGGATTAGCATCGGATCAATGCTCGATTAGAAGTAAGTCAGTATCAAGTTGTCCGCAGTGTAGTTTTGAAAAACGTGTTTCTGAAGACATCCTTGTGAAATGTGAAATAGAATTCCCCTCTAGATTGAGAACCACAGCTAGACCTGCGCCTGAGGAACTGGCTGAGGAGCTGCATGGGGAACTGGTTGGGGAGCTGATTGAGGAGTCTGCTGGGGACCTTGCTCCAGACCATCCCTATCCAGAGATTAGTTGAGTATTATGATCTGGCTATTGATGGTACTTACGCCGTCACTCCTCTCTTCTCGTTTCTTTCTATTTGGTCTCTCCTTTCTGAGCGGTGGAAGGCAACAACCGCAATTCCCTGAACCGTCAGTATATACAGACATACATCATCTGCTGAGTGAGACCATACCAATACCGCACTGCAGAAGTATAACAACGCCGTGATGAAAGTGAAGGCCAGGTTGGCTCTCCAATCGCCACAGTTATGCGTGCCGACGACAGTTGTCGTGACGTTGCCGGTGGGATAGACGGTCCACCATCTACCCCAGTAGTAGCCCCAGTCTGTCACGTACCAGGTGGAATGGCAGCCTCCGGAGACAGTCAACTAGACGATAGAAAGGGATATTAGCTATTCATGTGCATGATATAGTTGGATATATTTTCGTCCGATTGAATTGGCCCTTACATTCGCCATGAGGCCAAAAGCGACGATCCAGAGAATAAAGAAGATAAAGTCAAGGATGAAGGCATAGAAGAATCTGATCCAGGGGAAGACCATGATCAACGACGCAGCCAGGCTGAGACTGGCAATCACCAGGCTGTAGATGATGCGGCTGTCATTGTGTCCGTGGGGGGCTGCGTCCACGAAATGCTGGAAGCGGCCGAGGATGCCTACCACGATGGCCGAGCCGATGATCTCCCCGATGCGGAAGAGGAGGTAGAAGACAATTGCCCAGGTCTGCATTTCTTTATATTTCCTTGAGGATAACAATAGAAGTTGTTGAATGACAGAAAGACCCAAGTCGAAAAAGCTCTCAGCTCTTCTAGACACCGAAGCTAGTTATATAGATGATAGCACGAACCACGGTAGACTGGATCATGAGATCTTACCCTATTCAGCATCTATACTGATCCGGCCGGCGCCTAGACTTGTCCATGGGAGGTATACTTTAATCCTGACATATGAGGCTGGTCGATTTGTATAGCAAGATAAGATTTGAGCCTCTGCGAACCACGGTTCATCCGTCCGACTCGAGCTCGTAGAAGTGGCCCTTTTCAACGCAATACGAGCTTGACAGTTTGCATTGCTTTTCGTATTACTCTATCGTCTAGAGCAAATACGTAGTCTGAGGCAGGTTGTCTCCTGAAAGATAGCAGTTGGTTGGAATCAACTCGAGATGCGACAGGAGAGAGGGAGTAGTTCGCCGTTGGTACCATATTTTCTTTGTTTACACAGTCTGGAGAGACTACTGCTGTCTCTCCAGCTGGCCTGGCGTTGGAATAGCTTCAGGAGAGATGAATCACCAAGAATGTCTGCTGCAGGAGTTGGGATGATGTCGTCGTCATTTCGGCCTGAGGCATAAAACATGTGACTCCGGATCATGTGATGTGACTAAGCAGTCACACGTGACTGGGATATCCTGTGTCTACGCTATTCCATATTTGGAGATACATCAAAAAAAAATCCCGTCGCAGCTTCACCTCCACCCGGACATCCTCCAACGTCGAACAACATGGCGGCCCCCGTTCTCTCTCTTCCGCAGGTCAGGCTGCCTGCGCTGCCGTCAACACGCTTGACGCCGGAGCAGCAGTACTGGAAGACCTTTAAGAACCCCCTGCTGATCCCCTCGCCCGCCAACAGCCCCATTAGCCTCATCACCCAGCCCGCCGCGCCGACGACTGCGTCCGCCTTCCCCTCGCTCACGCAGCCCCCGGATGTGTTCACAATCACGACGGGCGCCCGGGTCCAGATTTACTCTATTCGCACACGGAAACTCCTGCGGACAATCACCCGCTTCGACGACACAGTACGCGGCACCGATGTGCGCCCGGACGGCCGTGTGCTCGTCACCGGCGACGACAGCGGCACGCTCCAGGTATTCGACGTGGGCTCGCGGGCGATTCTGAAGACGTGGAAGGAACACAAGCAGCCGGTCTGGGTGGCGAAATTCTCGCCCAGCGACCCGACCACGATCCTCACGGCCAGCGACGACCGGACCGTGCGACTGTGGGATCTCCCCGGTGACTCGAGTGCACGGACGTTCGTGGGACACACAGACTATGTACGCAGTGGAAGTTTCATGCCGGGCTCGCTGGCGTCGTCCAGTGTCGTGGTCTCGGGCAGTTACGACCGGACGGTCCGGCTGTGGGATCCGAGAGTGGAAAACCGGGCCGCGATGGTGTTCAAGATGGGGGCGCCGATCGAGAACGTGCTCCCCATGCTGTCGGGTACGACGGTGCTGGCCTCGGCGGACAACAAGATTGCCGTGCTGGACATTGTGGCCGGGCGGCCGATGCACATGATCCAGAGCCACCAGAAGACGGTGACGACGATGTGTCTGGCGTCGAACGGCGAGCGGCTGCTCAGCGGTGGGCTCGACGGCCACATGAAGGTGTTTGAGACGACCGGGTGGAACGTGGTGGCCGGGTCCAAGTACCCGTCACCGATCCTGTCGCTGCAGGCCATCACCAGCGGCCCGACGCAGGAAGACAAGCACATCGCCGTGGGGATGCAGTCCGGTCTGCTGTCGATCAAGACGCGGCTGTCTGGCCAACAGAAAGTGCGCGAACGGGAACGGAAGAAGGAGATGCAGGCCCTACTAGATGGCAAGCTGGAGGAGCACGACCGGAAGATGGCGAAGAAGAAGCGCGGCAGCGGGTGGGAGAAGCGGCTGCGCGGGCGCGATTTCATCGGCGAGGGCGCCGAGATCGTCATCGAGGGCCAGGATGCCCGGAAACGCAAGAAGGAGCAGGCGTGGGAGCACGACCTGCGCAAGGGTCGGTACGGCCAAGCTCTAGACCAAGTGCTGGCCTCGGCGGACAAGACCGCCCAGCTGACACTCCTGACAGCCCTGCGGCACCGGTCTGCTTTGGCGGCCTCGCTGCGGGATCGCGACGAGGAGACGCTGCAGCCCGTGCTGCGCTGGGTGTACAAGCACATTGCGGAGCCGCGGCTGGTGGACCTCAGCGTCGAGGTCGCCATGGCGGTGCTGGACATCTACTCCAAGGATTTGGGCCAGTCGGCCCAGATCGACAAGCTGGTCGAAAAACTGCACCAGCGCGTGCGCGCCGAGGTCGAAATGGCCCAGCAGGCTTTCCAGACCCGGGGGATGCTCGACATGCTGTAATAGGGGAACTCATAAATCATGAGTATCAACCAAAAAAAAAAAAAAAAAAAAACAAGTTTCCAGGCTTGTGTCTGGTCTGAGGAGCAGTATATCGCTGGATACCCGGAGTTTTACGGAGTTATGATTAGCAAGCGATGGTGTTAGGCCTCCAGTTATGTACTAGATAGAACCACCATGAAGATTACACTGAAAGCATACATCTATACACGTATTTATATGGGAGTATAACTGTTTCTAATTGTACAGCCTGGAGAAGCCCTCACCACTCTCCGGGGGCTGCAACCAGTTCCGCTCATCGTACTCCCAGCCATCGGCGCCCTCGATGACGTGGAAGGTATACGCATAGCGACTGTTGGGACTGGTATTCTTTTCGCTCTTGTGCAGGACGTTGCCGTGGATGATGACCAGCGAGCCGGCGGGGACAGTGAGCACCTCGAGATCGTCGTCGGATTCCTTGCGGAGTTCCTCCTCTTCTGCTCCGCGCGGCAGACTGGGACCCTCGTTGGGGACGAACTCGGTGCCCCCCACTTCCGGGGCGGCACGCACGAAGCGGCGAGTGATGTGTCCCCCGTTGCGACCCTTATGGCTGCCCTTCCAGAAGCCTAGGGTTGCGTTGCCCGGCTTTGCGTCCTGGAGGGCGAACCAGAAGCCCACGGCGCTGGGCGGGTTGGTGTAGAGGAACTCGGAGTCGCGGTGGGAGGGGACCGCGCCGCCGATGCTGGGTTGTTTGCAGATGACCATGCTCTGGAGGACGCGCGGGTCGTGGAAGCCCAGCGAGCGGGCGATGGCGGCGTTGCGCGCCGTGAGACTGACGGCCTTGAAGGGCTCGGAGAGCGAGTGCAGCGAGTGGCCGATCTTGTTGACGGAGAGGTGTTTCGGCTTCAGCAGCGTGGGACGACCCGTCGCCGGGTCGGGCGTGGGCGAGAAGGCGTCCGGCTCGAAGAAGAAGCGGATCTTGTCGCCCGAAGAGAGGAAGTAGTCGTCTCCGACGTGCTTGACCGTCTTGTCCGCCTCGTCGTCTCCCGTCGTGAACCGCGTCAGCGGGTGTGAGTCCAGGTCGAAGTTCTCCAGGAGGTTCGTCGTCTCGCCCATCAGCGAGGTGATCTCCTCTGCTGACAGGTACGAGGGCAGCACCAGGAAGCCATTCTCGTGGAACGAGGCGATCTGCTCGGGTGTGAGGCCTTCCATTACTTACGCTAGGTTCTAGAGCCTTAGTAAATACTCAGCAGTTACCTGTTAGATGGGTAAACACTACCTTCTTATATACCCACAAGCGGGGAAAGGACGTCGGCGATGGCCTAACGAATCGGCTGGCAGGATAACAAGTCCCCAGGAGCCGAAAGAAATAAGCGAGGGCGACGGAGGAACTTGGGTGGAGTCTGAGTCCTGAGTAGTCTGCTAGTTATCAGGTCTTAGGATCCAGATATCAACGGATTCAATGTGCGCTTAAACTTGCCCGAAGTGGGTAGGAAGATGGTTCGTTCTATCCAGAATCTCTCTGGACCACTGGAGGGGAAGGGATTACTTACTGAGGGGCACTGGTTGCTGGCGCGCGTGGAATATATATCAAAGAAGAAGACTTCCTGTCAGCTTCAGTGGCGCAGTGGTAGCGCGTGGGATTGCAGTTTGCTACTATCCTTAGGTCACGCGTTCGAATCGCGTCTGGAGCTTTTTTTTTTTGTTTTACAACAAATTGACTGACTGTCTGACGGTTATTTTCTATTTTTCTCTTCTTCCTCATCCTTGATTGTTGAGTATTGCTACTTTATATCGATTCTCCAATATTATTATTATTGTGATTCAAATGATACTAAACTATGATATAAATCACCCAGTATACATGACTCAACGCCGATATACACCCAACTACCAAAGACTAGTATACCGCGCAAATATCCGACGTAAAATGGACCAGCCATTATGAAGAAAGACAGAAAAAGAAAACCAAAAAGATCAAGAATTGTCTGGAATCAACTCGTACCCACCCTCTGACGGCAGGGTGCGGCCAGCGGCAATGATGGCGGCGGTGCAGAGCAGCCCAGTGCACCAGCTGACAGTGCAGTAGATCCAGGACTCGCCGAGCTTCCAGCCGACAAAGAAACGGTGTTCGTTATCGTACAGGTAAGCCTAAATCATTCAGTATGGTCAGCCCCCATGGCAGGGAGGAATCTGAAAAAAAAAAAAAAAAAAAAAACATACCACAATCGACATGCTGGCGGCCTGGACCAGAACGCCGAGGATGAGCAGCAGGCTGAGAATCTTCCACCCGGACTCGCGCAACCGTTTGCCTCCGGAGAGAATGATGAGGTATGCGACCAGACACATGCCCTGTAGGACGATGGCGAAGGACATGAGGAAGCCGACCGAGCGCCACATGGAACAGAAGTACCGGTCTTCGCCGTGGCAGTCATCCTTTTGCGGGAAGCTTTCGCAAACGTTGGTAAGGGAGGAGCAGCGGCGGTGTAACCCGTAGGCGATATGGAGCTGTAGAGATGCCTGTCAGCATATATACTTCGTACCTCTCCAAGATAGAATATCACACCTTGTCGCTGTCATAGGTAGCCCATTTAGGAACGATGATCGAGCTCAAAGTCAGACCGAATGCTGTTGCTAGATTTAGTCTCGAGATTAAGCGGGGGAGGGGGGTACAAAACACGACGTACACGCAAGAAAGATGACCAACGTGCTGACGTAGACGATGGTCTTGGTGAGAAACCCTGTGTAATTTCTATCTTCGCCCCGCGGGACGAGACGGAAATCCATCTTGACCAGAGAAGAGAGAAAAAAAACCGACAACGAGTGCAAGTGCCGGGTGGACAGATTTATAGTGATGCCTAGCGGGATGATCTTATCTGGGGGCTGTTAAGTGGGAAAAGTGGCCTGAGCGTGCAGAATGCAGAATGTAGAAGTGAGGGGATCTGTCAAGGGGGAAGAGACTTCCGTGGCGGTCAAATTGACAAGGCGAGTGTTTGTTTATATGACGAGAGAGAGAGAGAGAGAGAGAGAGAGAGAGAGAAGATTCCCAGGGATGGAGGATAAGGTGGAATGATTGATCCTCAGGCCACAACTTCCCAAGTCACCTGAACAAGTCGTTTTATTGTTTTCTTGGAGTCGATTTCCTCTAGTCAATTTCCACTAGTCAATTCCCTAGAGTCAAAGTGTAATAATCTCACATCCAGGTTATTCCTATTCCCTGTTCTTTGCACACCGTTGACTTGCTGCAGAAAATGGCGCATCCAACAAGGCCAAGGAAGTGCGTCTGACCGTCGTGGGGTATGTCTTGGTATCCAAGAGTAACCAGAGACAATGAAAACGGTCTAAATGATGGGAAGATGTCAAGAGAGATTAATGAATACCTGATATATTCGATGGATCTCCTCTTGACTCTGCGATGACGTCATCAGATATATGTTCCTTGTTGGACCAACTATACGAATCGTCATATATGAATAGAGATCTTCTCTTCAATAAACAAGGATGCTAATACTGTTGTTGAAGCCCTATAGGAGCTACATAAAAATACTACTCTCGAGTCTCAGTTCAGTAATACCTCAGAGCCAATGTGACAATCATCTATCAGGTTTGTCTGCTACGAGTAGGGAATCTGCAACATGTCTGCCAACAGGCTGAAATCGATTAATAAGTACAGCGAACGCATAGAGTATCAAAGCCGTAGAACCATCAGCTCATCTGTGGCTGTATGCGACACAAGAAGGTTAAAAAAGACAGTCAGCAGAAGGGGGACAGAAAAGCAACAGTCTGGCTCTGGTCGAAACACAGACTGTTTATTGGCATTAAGTCTTCCGAAAGAAACTGACATGCGAAGCAAGGGAAACAAAACATAAAAGGGACAGAAAAATGGAAGGTTGACAGCAAACGGAAGAAGAAGAAGAAGAAGAGTAACATAATCTACACAGAGAGTATAGATGCATCATCCAGGAGGGTATGGCCGTATTATGGAGGGCAGACAAGACATCAGAACCCGCTAAAAAAAAAAAAAGAAGAAGAATAAAAGGAGAAGAAGAAGAAGAAGAAGAAGGAGGAGGAGGAGGAGGAAAAGAAGAAAGGCACGAAGAAAACGCCCCTGTCATCGCAAAAAAATGCACCGGTCTCATCAGCATCTCTTCACTCCGCCCGACTCCGCTGGATCATGGCCCGGAAATCGTCGTTGCTTTTTTTCCTATCATCAACGTTGTTGTGTTTTGTCGTTGCGTCATTGTCATCACCCCCCGGCTTGTTGTTGTTGTTGTTGTTGTTGTTGTTGTTATTGCTACCGGTCTCCTCTGTCCTGTCGCGGCGTGGCAGGCTCGACGCCGACATGCCTCCTCCGCGCTTCATCATCCCGAGTCCGCCGCGCCGTCCGCCCTTGACCCCCGGCTGCGTTGGGCGCTTGATCGGCCCCGTCGCCGGGAACAAGCCGCCTGGCGTGCCCTTGTTTTGGCCCTCCTTGTGGTGGTGGTGTTTCAGCACGGGGACACGGTCCACCTTGCGGTCCGCAGACTGTTTCAGCATCTCCGGCACCGTGCCCACATGGATCGGGCGTCCCGGCGCGATTTCGTGGCCTTCCAGACCCAAGGACGCTTTGCCCGCGTTGTGCACGTCGGCAAACTCCACAATCGCCCCCTGGTGGTCCGGCCGCAGGATGACCTTCACCAGCTTTCCAAACGGCTCCACCAGGGTTCGGATCCGAGCGTCGTTCACCGTGTCAGGGATGTTCATCAGCCCCAGGGTGCGTGCAGCCCGCTCCCCCGTGGGCGCCACCGGTTCGGCCGAGGACGTGCGCGTCCCATTAAGCTCGACCGGTGGGGACTCCGACGGTTCGACCCGAGAGATGATGCTCGTCGCAATGCGTTTGGCGGCCAACGGCGCAGAGAGTTTCACCTGCAAAGGCCGTGATCGGAACTCTTGCTTGTGCATGGCTAGTGCTGCTGTCGCTTCCTCCTGTAGGAACACAACATGATTAGTAACCTGGCACGGAAGTTGATCAAATCCTTGTTGTAAAAATGGAGCTCACCTTGGTAGAAAACACAATGTACCCAAATCCCTTACTGCCGCCATCCACCTTGCGGGGGATGCGTACAACTTCAACCCGACCAAATCGGGAAAACGCTTCCTTGACATCCTCCTCGGTCGCCTTCCAGTCGAGGTTGGAAACGTGGATTTCCCGTCCTTCGTGCATCGGGCCTTGACGGTCCTGTTTTTGCGAGGGGTCTGAGATCTTGGCCACGAGTTGTAACCCTTTCTCCAGCGTAGTCCCATCAAGCTTGGTTGCGTGCTCTGCCTCGAAAGCCTCTTGGAACTGTACGTAGCAGAATCGGCGATGGGTGTTATACTTGAGCGAGGGGAAGCGCACATCAACAATTTCACCATACTAAGAGAAGTTTAAATTAGCATATTGATACCTGTCAGGATTGGAGTAAATGGTATTTTGAACTCACGGGTCGGAAGAGGTCACGGATATATTGCTCATCCGCGGTGGGAGGGAAGTTCGTCACGAACAGCGTAGACCCAGAACCAATTCGAATCTCGACGGTGTTCCCCTCGAGGATCTTCTTGTCGCGCGTCTGAGCAACCAAAGCATCATCCCTGGATTCAAACTCGATCATCGCTGTTTCGGAATTTGCATCCTCGCCGGGAATCATCTTGACGCTGTTGATTGTACCGCACTGCACATTATTAGTATTACCAACGCACAGAACGCCCCGGAGAATACTTACATGACGGAAGAACTGGCGCACTTTGTGCTCGGAGATACGGTGCGGCAAGTTCTTGACCACAACAGTTGCGTTTTCACGGTCTCGTCGTAGCGCGACCGGTTCTGCTTCCGTGGTCTGAAGGATGACCTCCGTATCCTCTGGCCGCGGTTTCTTGCTGCTTGGCACCCCGTTCGCTTCCCTCTCATCTTCGCGTTTCCGCTTTTCGGCGTGGGCGACGGCCTCGGCTGGGCCCGGCTGGTGCTGGTTCTCCTGGGGCTGGTGCTGGTGCTGGGAGGCAGTAGCGGTGGCTGGTTCTCTGGCTGCTTTCTCACGTCGCGCATTGTATGCCTTCATGACCTTGCGGGTTTCTAGCACAGCCTGCTGGAGCTCGTCCATGTCTTCATAGTCTTCGCAGTGAGCCAGATACGTCTGGATGATTTTCTCCGGCCAGTCAAGATCGGTTCTGCGGAGAGCCTGCTTGAGAACTGCTGTCGCGTAGCTGGGGTTGGGCGTGCGTCTGGCGGCGTCGGCGGTGGCCTCGCCCTGGACGAACTTACTCCACGAGATGAGCTCCCATGCGTAGTAAGTTAGCCAGAACTCGTGGCTGTTGCCTCGCCGAGGTACCAGGCCTTTGAAGGTCTCGCGCGCGCTGTCCCAACTGCCGCTCTCGCTGAGATAGCGGATGTAGATGCGCTCGAGCCGGAAGTACGGGTCGCCCTGATACGACTTGCCGTATTTCTTCTCCCCGAGCTCCTGGACATTTTCGATGGCCGAGCGAATGCCTACCTCTGCGACGTCGAGATCTTCGTCGGTTCCCTCGGGCAGGAAAGCTCGTCGGCGGAGGTAGCTGCACCAGGTCGTGTGGACTTTAAGTACCTCCTCCATTCCGCCCGCATCGAGAAGACCGGTGCTGGTCGCCTTGTGCTTGATGTCGGCAATCTTAGAGAAGGACAGCCCTTCCCTTTCGGAGCTGAGGAGGTACTGAGACCACAGGTTTCCAGACCAGGGGCAGTGGCGGGTGGCCCGATCGAGGGTGGAGATTGTCTGAATAGAGACGTGGCCGTGCATTGACTCGTCGATGAGGAACATGATGTAGTCTTCCCAGAGATTGACGTCGGTCGGGAAGCGCAGCACCGCACGTTGGTAGACGGCATTGACCAAATGGAAGCTGAAGAAACCCTTGCGCCGGTTCTGGCTGCACTCCCATTCGATGTACTCGGAGTAGAGGTACCACTCTTGGGTGCGGTCGCCGGCTTCGACGGCGGCTCGCAGTTTCATCTCGAGATCCTGGCGGTCGTCGTATTTTCGTTTCGGGTCGGCGGCGTGTCGCACAGTCTCGGCCATAATGTCTTCGTAGTTGGCGCTGTAGTAGGTGCTGATGAAGCCGGAGAACTTCTGGAAGGTTTGATCCCAGGTGGCATGGGGCGTTTGGAGACGAAGGTCAAAGGTGCTTTTGACATGGTTGATTTTACCCTGGGACGGGGAGCGGGCGACGTCTTGCACGAGCAGGTCAAGGAAGCGATCCCAGACCATGTGGCTGTCGTTGATCCGCCAGCGGGTGGCCTCGGCGCCGCGTTGCCAGACGTCCAGGACATGCTCCCACTGGAAGGCTTCGCGGCCGACCAGGCGATCTTGCTCGCTCCAGTGACTCTGACTCGCGTCACCAAAGGACGAGTTGTAAAGATGCAGCACCCATTCCCCGTAGATACTCCACAGCTTGGTGCTTCCGTACTCCTCCTCGATGGACCGCTGGCACAGGCTCATAACGTCCATCCGTTCGCTCACGGACTGGGCAAGCATGCTCTCGTCCTGGATCCATTCGGCCCAGAGCTCCTCGCCCATGGCGAACAGTTTATCCATCTCCTCGCGCGCAGTCCGCATGTCCCGGAGCAGGTCATAGTTGCGAGGGTCACCGTGGACGTCCGGGTTGGAGGGCGGATAGACATGGTTGACAAAGCCAGCGTGCAGCAAGCTGATGAACTGAACGTGGGCGTCATGCGAATGGGGGTTTTCCTGGATCTGATTGAAGAGCTCGGTGGCCTGCCGCTGGGCATTTGGCACCAGTGAGGTGGCCACGTAGTTCCGGCGGGCGCTTTCCCCGGGGCCCTCAGCCATGGCGATATCAAAGGAGAAGCGCGGGGTCGGCGTGTTGTGCGTGATGGGGTTCACACTGGGGAACATGGTCGAGGGAGAGAGCTGGCTCTCATACGACTCGGTGTTGCGCATCATGGAGGCGTTGGTCCGTGGCGGCGGTTGATGATGCTGCATCGCAGCCAAATCGGCCAGCGTATCCATGCCAGGCGTTGACGGTTGTCTCGCGGAGCCCTGTTCGGCCGCTGTGGGCGGCGTTCCGTTGCCTCCTCCCATATTGGGTCCCACGGTCGGGCTGCTGGAGGGCGGGGGGGGCTCCGACCGCCGCCCAGGTGCCAGAACCTGCTGCGCGAGAGGTGACGAGGTCATTCCCTGTCTTGTGGAACCCGAGTTTGCTCGCCGAACCGCCTTGTGAGGCGAGTGCGAGGCGGGCGCGGCGGCCGAATTACTGGCGCTCGCGGGCGTCGACCGACCGGACTGCGATGCAGATTCCTGCGGGGACAGCAGCGAGCTGATATCCATCATGAAGAAACGATAGAAACGAGAGGTGTGCGTTTTTTCTTTTTTTCTTTCTTTTTTTCTTTCTTTCCCTTTTCAAGATAAAAACAGTTCGATGGTAGAGCGATGTGAAGCAACCTAGAGCAAACCCGGAAGATACCTCATCAACGAGTCCATTCCTGCCTCGGCCAGGAGGGCCTTCTTTTCGCCCTTGGCCCTGTTTCTCCCAACCTGACGCCTCCCAGGTCCGATCGGGTCGCGTGCAGGACGATTCTCGGCGTAGGACGCGACCGTGGATGGGCGGTTGGACGCACGAGGGGATGCGACGTCGTCGGACGAGACGAGCAAGGGTGGTGGATGGATCGGGAAGGATTTCCGGACAGAGGAACAGCTTTTTCTGGGCCTGCTGCGTCGAAAGACGCGTCCTTGAAGCCCGGAAAGCAGCTCACAGTGATGCTGGAGATGGGGGGGGGGAAACCTGATCTCGCGAGGTGCGGTTCCTGTGACGGGCGAGCGGCGGACGTGAAAAGAAGAGGAACAAAGACCGCCGGACGACGAGAGTCGGTGGAGCGGCGCGGTGGAGATGACGGTCGTCCGTTGTTTGGCACAGCTCGAGCTCGGCATGGGAACCACCGCAGCGGTAGGAGCCAGCCCTGAGCACTGAGCAGGTCAGGAACACGAGAAGCTGTCTGGAGGGATAAAAACCAGGTCTGACGACTAGTGGTCCGCCCTAATCTGATGGTGGGTGCGCGAATCCCCTGTTCATGTCTGGAGACGCACAGCTCAGGGAGGTCAGGCAATAAGGCAGGATATTAGTCATCAAATATTAGTCATCAAATATTAGTCATCAGATATTAGTCACCAGAAAAATCTTAGTCATCCATTCACAAGGCACCAAGGCAACTACGGCAGCCGGGACAACCACTCGCGCAGGGCAGGAGCTTTTTTCTCCGTGCAGCAACAGCGTTCAGGACGAAGTGCCCAGGACGCTTGTGTTTCTAACCCCCATTCCCCCGTCGGTTGAGCTGAAGATGGCTTCGATGGGTTCTGTGTTTAATTATGGGCAACTGGCCCGGTCAGGTATGTGGAATGAATTCTTTTTTACGCGGAGGAGGGAGTGTGGGTTAACGATTCAGCCCGGGTCAGTGTCCTCGTTGTCCCCCGGCGTCCGCTGAGCTACACGGTCCCCCGTCTCGCCGAGGAGGATAATTCGAACCACGGTGCGAAGGCCGAATCTGCGGTGACCAACTCACCGCTGTCGTCGATCAAGAACTTCTTCTTTGGTGGGAGAAAAGGTGCTGCCAAGCCGACTGTTGCCCGCCGGGCGACACCCGCAAAGCGAGAGGGCTCGCTGAGCGCCGATTCGATTTTCGCCGAGGATGACACCTCACCGAAGCTGATCCCCAAGGGCCGGACGCCCGCGCGGAAGGGTGCCGCTGGGGAGGTGCAGCCGGAGGAGGAGGCCGCCGAGGCTATCCGCACCTTGGAACAGCGGGACCGCACGAACATGGGCTCGGTGCTGGACCCGCGGCCGCACGCCCGAGTGCGGTGGGAGAAGAAGATGGTGATCCGAGAGATCCGGCGTCGGGGCCGTCTGAGCAAGGCCGAACAGATCATGCGGACGGAGCGCGAGTCGCTGTCCAAGTCGCACTGGTTCAAGACCTCGACCAAGAAGCTGGGCCCGCTGGCGCGCCAGATCGCCGGGAAGAATATCGACGATGCGATTGTGCAGATGCGGTTCAGCAAGAAGAAGGCCGCCAAGGATGTGCTGGAGCACTTGAAGCATGCAAAGAACGTTGCCACCGTGCGTGCCGGTATGGGTCTGTCCAGCGGCAAGACCGGCAAGCCCACCACCATCACCCTCAAGTCTGGGGAGCGCAAGACCATCACCGACCCGACCTCCATCTACATCGAGCAGGCGTGGGTTAACCGCGGGCCGTACGGTGCAGACTTCGACCACCGCGCCCGCGGCGTGATCAACATGCTCCGCCCCCCGTATACCTCGTTGTCGGTGGTGCTGAAGGAGGAGAAGACGCGCATCCGCGAATGCCAGGATCGTGATGCCAAGGAACAGCGCCGGCGCAGAGATCAGCTGTGGACGGCCCTGCCGGACCGCAAGATCACGGGCCAGAGTCAGTATTACAGCTGGTAAGGGGCTTTTGTTCGGGTTCAGCGATCATATCGGCGTTTGTATTTTAAGAAGCTATCTTTACTATATAACCAGCATGTACAGTATTCAATCAATCCAATCAAACATCCAATCCTACAATCTCCACACTCGTGCGTACACCCTGCTTGACCTCCTCCTCTGCGATACACTTTGGTGCTGTCGTCGGCGGTTCGATCTCCATCACGGGTGCTCGGCCATGTACGTTCCTCACCATCACCACGACGGGGATCACCCCGCCCGTGGTAAGGGCAAATGGCCGATGGCCCGTGACCTTGAGGATACTAGTGATGGCGCCCGAATGGGCCGTCAAGGAGATGAAAATGTTCGAGTCCCCGGCGACGATCTCCCGTACAGCCTGGAGGAGGCGGGCGTCGCGCGCGGAATTCGACTCGCGCAATTGTGCGTCCCAGAGGGGATCTGTTTCCGTGAACCCTTCCTCGAAAGTGTAGAGCGGGTACTCGGCTGCAATTTCGGCCTTGGTCGACCGCTTGTCGCATGTGTGTAGGCCGATTGTCTCGCGGATGTTCTAAGCATAATTAGCAGTCGGTTGAAGTTTTTTTTTTTTTGTTTATAGTAGGAGTGTGCACCTCTTTGATGATCGGTTCAAACCCAACATTCAATCCTGAAAAAGTCACATTCGCCGTCGCGAGACACCGGTTCAATGGGCTGACGTAGAAGGACTGGGGGATCGGGATCCCCTGCGCCAGCTGGCTTTCCCATGCGGAATGCGCGGTTTGGGCCTGCGCGACCCCGAGGGGGGTCAAATGGGCGTCGATCCAGGTGCCCTTTTCGTCTCCCTCCTGAAGAGACCAGTAGCACTGTGAAGATATTAGTTTCTTCGTTCGTTCGAATCCACCGTGGTAGGTGAAGTGGAAGTACGTACGTCCCATGCTTCGGTTCCGTAAAAGTCTTCCGCGACGTTATGGTACCCCTGGCCATGCCGACCAAGAAACAAGACCCGATACGAGGTTGTGGCATCGCTTTCTGCGTTGAGCTGGCGGATATGCTGTTCGAAGCGTTGCCATTGCGTCTGGCGCCCGTCCGGATCGAAGTCGGCGTCTGTGCCGTAGGGGCGCTCGATGAGCCCGAAATTAGACGTCTAGTGAATTAGCACGTATATCTCTTAATAAAAGTGCTCTTTATATAATATATATATATCCATCATACATAGTCGAATTTGGCTGGATCCGTTGCCTCCTCGTCCTGTAGAAAATACCCCGGCACGTTGCTGAGCTCGAGGTACGACTCTGCGTGCTGCTCGCCGCCCATCATGAACACGCCTGCAGAGAGCACAGTGAGCACAAGGAGAATGGGACTAGGCAGCCGTTAGATAAATCATTAGATCCAGGAATCAAGAGGGGGCCTACATAATCACAGGAATTCGACACAGTCTACGCTCGTGGTGGTCGTGTAGTTGTTGGTAGCGGGGAAGCCAAGCACGTTGCCGGCGACCGCAGAAGGAGAGCATGTCGGATTCAAGCGTCAATGGAGTGAATATTTCCTACCTAGACACGGGAGTCTGGCAATAAAAAGAAGATCTCAAACAGTCATGGTTTAATGCATGAGAATTGGTTGCAGATCAGTCGAGATTTGATGTGGTTGGGAGGTTTGCAAGGGGAAAGTTACGATGGGAGAGAGAGGCTCTACCAGTATAAGTAAGAAGTCTTACGGACAGAATGAAAAAATCCCATATCAATGATTTTAATCATATTGACTATTGACAGGATAGCCAATCCATTGGATAATCGCTAGACAGAATACATATAGTTACACAAGAGGTATCTCAAACACAGATGAAGGACAAAACCGAGGCAGGAGTGTGGATCAGACGCAGCATGGCTACGTTTGGAACAACCCCAGTCCCTTTCTTGCGCATAGTATCTGTCGACAAGACGACCGAGCAAGCCTCGCGCAAAAGCCGCTGACCCAGGACGATGCAAAGGTGCATGTATCCCAAAAAGAGGCAAATGCATGCACAGACCTTTTCGCAGCAATTCCAGCACGGAGGTTGAAAGGTAGCAGGCCAGCAAATCTGCTTGCGGATGACAGTGTTGCAATCGTAGAGTGCGTGGCTGTGTAGGACAATCCTGTGGAGGATTGTACCTCGCTTCCAACGCCTTTCTGTAGAATAACTGTGCTGTTGGCATTGGTGCGGATCGTGCTCGAATGTCGTCCGCCCAAGATGCTTGAGGCGCTTGAACGGTCGAGAGGTTTGGCTGCCAGAATCCTGTTGGAAGAAGTGGTCAATTGGACGTGTTCTCCCAGCACTGACTGCCGGGTCTGCAGTTGAGGCCTCTCTGTAATCCAGCGATGAGCGTGAGCAGAGCTGTGGAATGACTTTGGTGCCGAAGTCTGTAAACTTTGCTGTGCTCCATTCGGACTCAATGGACTGCTGCACAGAGGTCTGCGCAATGGCGCTGCCAACTGGTCGGCAGGGTTCATCAGCGTGTCGGGTAGCTTCATCCTGACGGACGTGCCATATGGATCCCTTGATTTTATGAATGATGGGTTGTCCACTGGTAGTTTCCTTGTCCTCATCTTTGAATCCATCAGCGGATTGATTATGGCAAGGCTCTGGCTGACTTGTGTCGTCGCCTTCTCGAAGCACTTGCACTATGATCAGTTAGCCCATTGATGCACTACCAACAACGATACCCGAGAGATAAACCAACCCTCTTGTGCTGCTTTCGGTGCTTTTCGCAAGCACCATGCTTTCTAGCCTTTATATAGCTCTCTTTCTGAGCTAGTGACCTCGGCTTCTGTTTCCTTGGCACGTTGGTGGTCGTGTTCATGTTCAGATCGAGGACCATTTCGACACCACCCTCGGGACCCGACGGCGGCGAAGACGATGAATGTTGGGGAGGAGAAGTGGAGGATAGTGAAGGGGCCGTCGTCGAGGCGGTGGTCGCAGAGGGGGTGTACAAAGTGTAGTCAACATAGTCTGCCCAGCAAGGTGATGAATCGTTTGGCTGCATGTCGATCTCCGCAGCGGTGGCGTCCATCAGTCGCTGCAAGTGCACTGCAATTGAGGCTTCACGGAGCTTCTCTTTGCGTGAGATACATCTGTGATCCGCAGCTGCTCTGGCCTCGACCAACTCACGCACGGTGGAGCCGGGGAAGTAGGCCGGCTCATGGTTCTGGGGGAGATCCAAGAAGGTCTCCTGAATCGCAAACTCCGGGAGGCTCTCCTTGGGAAGGAAAGAAGGGCAATCCAAGGCGTAGGCGAAGTCATGGCCGGGAGTCGCCAGGTCTGCTGGGGTCTCCATGCCACTCGAATGGGGGCTGTAGTCGATGGTCTGGGAAGAGAAACTCGGGGAGCCGTCTATCGTTTCAAGACTGTACTCTGTCGGCGAGATCGAACCCACCGCAGTGACGTCCTCGACCAAGAGACCAGTGGTGAGGTCGAAGGAGTTGCCGAACTCGAGCCACTCATTGTAGAACTCCTGCTCGTTCATCTGAAACAGCATCTGATCCGACGAGACCGACATATTTGAACAATTCAAAGACAGTAATGTAAAATAAATGATTCTGAAGATTGCCGGAAAAACTTTCTATTGAACGTAAGAGACACTTTAAAGCCCTGCAAGCGTGCTTTTAGGAGCCGGTGAGACAGTCTTTCCTCTTGGCTGTTCGGCTGCGTGTAGAGAGAGAGAGAGAGAGAGAGAGAGAGAGAGATAAGCCGTGGATGGAACAACGCAAGGCAGACGTAATCAAGCACAACCTGAGCCTTGAGGCAGCGAAGCGAACTCGCAGTCAAACACACAACAGACAGACAGTCTACAACAAGGGAAGAAAAGTATCAAGAGAAGAACAGGCAGCCGCGAGGAATCTCATCGCATTTGACCATCGGCCGTTCGTTCCTGCCGTCAAGTCGGGGAGCCTAAAGGGGGATGGCGCAGGGCTGAGCCGCCGTGTCTGATTGGCCAATAGCTCGCATTTCTCCAGCACACGATGACTCGACGCTAAGCCTCATCTGGACCCCGACGGCCCACCCCGCCCTCAGACGATCGAGACTGTGCCCGCTGAGGGGGCTGTGATTGGCTGCTGTAGATTTGGCTGTGTGGCACAGGCAGGCTGGATGTAACCTTGCCCAGATGGGTAAGGCTGCATCTTTTGTTAATGCCTTAGGCAGACATATTACTTGCCTCTACGGAGCAGCGAGCGCTGAACGAGACCCAGAGGAAAGCACGGAAGACACACGGCGAGGCGAGGGGACCAGGCTATTTATACTCTGTGCCTACTGCTATGAAGACTCACGATGAGTAATACTGAGTAGGAAGCCTGCTTGCTTCTTCCAATCACAGGTACGAGTTCCCCAAGGCCAACGCCTTGTACTAAACCTGAGAGGCCAGCTTTAGCTGATAGACGAAATGCCGTCTTGTTAGTTATCTCTCTATCTTACATACTGCTGAAGTCGGCTGTTGAATTGCTCGTACACGGAAAATGCGACCCCGCCGCTCAAGTTCAGCTGAGATGAGTCGCCTACTGCTCCCTTCGAAGCAACCGGACAAGCCGTAATCGGTTCAGATACTCGAGACGGATTCAGTCTGTGACTGTGTCTTGACGACGTCAAAGGGTTGAGTGACATACATGGTTGCAAGGTCTGCAACGCTGCCCTTCAGAAAGGTGGTGACGGAGTCATCCTAGCCACAATGCGTCCATCGTCGACAGCACTTACTCGTCTGCCAGAATACTTTTGATGCTAACGTATATCAAGAACCAAAAACCACCCTTGACAGCTGTTCCACATTAGTGGAACAATACAAATGAACAGAATTTTGAACCATAAACGAAGAGTCTCTCGACTGACCACTACTAAGCTGGAGCTGCTCGTGTATAGCGCTCCAGGTCCTTCGTTCGGTACCACCTAGGCAACAAGTTTGATCGGATTCTTTGATAGATTGGCATTCTGCGAACGGAGCTGCGCCCTTGTCTTTGCAAATTCAATCGGATACCTTGGGTAGAGCATGCCGGTTTGCCGTTGAGCATCGTTCGGTGACAGCCTAGAAGACATACCGTGATGGCAGCCTCAACTCCCCCAGCTGTCTCATTGGCCACAAGAGACATCCATGGCGCCGCTACGATGGTTGGATGCTCGCCACAATAGCCAGTTACCACCTATGAATGAGTTGGTGATTGTTGATCTGATATATTACTCTTGCCGAAGCCGATCATAGATTCGACCAAACCGAAGTGGTTAAAAATACCCAAAGAACTGCAGCGATGACCATATAAGTATCTGGAACACCCTGCATCCTTCCACGATTCTTTTTACGCAGTGCCATGGAAGTCATCTTCCGAGGGACGTGGACAGTTGACTCGTCAATCATCATAGCAACTCTTCATGGCTATCGCCAGTAACTAATTGATTCGTCAGACACAGGTAGAGACTTTGAATGAACGACTTTTTAATGGGAGAATCGTGAACTGATTGTATCTCGGTCTAAAATGTCTGGATAGGTCTTGTTAGCGAGGCCAGCGACCACACAACTCCCCAGTTTAATATGAAAACAAGCTCAATCCTGTTTATTGATACTCTAATTATCACCTGGTCATTATAATAAACTCAATATCTAAAGTCGCTGGCAAGTATCGTCTCAACTGCAGCCGTCATCAATTCTGATCCCTGCACCGTGCCTTTTTGCGGGGATATCTGTCCAACCAGCCAGCGTAGAACTTCTTCTGTCTTCTCTATCCAGCTCTCCATACTCATTCTCACTCATCAATCCTTCTCCTGCCCCCTCCCCCCCATCGAAGAATTTATTTCTATTCCTTCCGTCACGACGGACTCCGCCCGGTCTCGGCTACGTGGCGTCTCCAGGTAAACCACCAGCTGCCAGCTTGTTCCCCCCCACCAGCGAGTTCGCTCCGCCCCTCTTCGGTGCTTGTTGGGCATCACGATCAGCGAGTCCCTCGCTAACTCGATCACCAGGTACCTGGAAGCGACCAGCCAGTGAGTGGTTTGGACCCAGAATAGCTGAGAAAAAAACGGATCCAGAAGTCTGCTCTGTGGGGAGGAGGAAAGTCTGGCCTGGGACGGTCGGCAGCGCAGAAACCGTGGACCCGCGACCTCCCCCCGCCCATCCATCACGTCAACGATCACGCCCGAAAACCCGTCTTCTCTCCCTCCGCCATGGCTTCGGCCCTTGACGACGAAGACCTGTCCATCTCGCTGCCCTCGGTCGACCGCGACCGCGACCGCAACCCGCGCGACAGAACCTCTCCCGCAGCCCGCTCCGCGATGGCCATGCCTCCGCCCGCCCGCCCGGTCGGGAGGGGCGGCGAGGTCAGCAAGCAGTCGCCTGCCACGATGCGAGACATGCAGCGTCTCGACCAGTACAAGACGGTCAGGAACCTGGGCGAGGGCTCGTTTGGAAAGGTGAAACTGGCCATCCACCAGCCCAGCGGCCGCCAGGTCGCCCTGAAGATTATTCCTCGCCGCAAGCTGCTTTCGCGTGACATGGTCGGTCGGGTTGAGCGTGAGATCCAGTACCTGCAGCTGCTACGGCATCCACACATCATCAAATTGTGCGATTTTAATATATTTCGAGGTTGATCACGGAAGTCGGGATTGCTAATGAGTGCTAGGTACACGGTTATCGCGACAAAAACTGACATTGTGATGGTCCTCGAGTATGCGGAGCGAGAGTTGTTCGACTACCTGGTGAAAAGAGGCAAATGCAACGATGACGAGGCACGCAAGTTCTTCCAGCAGATTATTTGTGCCGTCGAATACTGCCATCGACACAAGATTGTTCACCGGGATCTGAAGCCCGAGAACCTGCTCATCGACAGCGAGAAGAAAGTCAAGATCGCGGACTTTGGTCTGAGTAACATCATGACGGACGGCAACTTCCTGAAGACCAGTTGCGGCAGTCCGAACTACGCGGCCCCCGAGGTCATCTCGGGCAAGCTGTATGCCGGCCCGGAGGTGGACGTGTGGAGCTGTGGTGTCATTCTCTACGTGCTGCTGGTTGGCAGGCTGCCCTTTGACGATGACTATATCCCCGCGCTTTTCCGCAAGATCGCGGCCGGCAACTTCCACATGCCCTCGTATATCTCCTCGGGCGCTGCCCGCTTGATCAAGTCAATGCTGCAGGTGCACCCTGTCCACCGCATCACCATCCCCGAGATCCGCCAAGACCCGTGGTTCCTTAAGGATCTGCCCAAGTACTTGCAGCCGCCGCCTGAAGAGTTCATCGCCACGGGGGTGGATCCCAGCAAGGCGATCGACCCGCGAAAGCTTGCCCCTGGCAAACCGACGGCCGTGCAGAAGAAGATCCACCATGTGGCCGTGTCCAAGCTGGAACGCAGTATGGGCTACGGCCGCGACGATATCGAAGATGCCCTGCGGAACCCCGAGCCAAGCGCCATCAAAGATGCCTTCTTAATCGTTGCGGAGAATGAGGTGATGCAGATGAACTGTGAGTCGTACCTATTTATTATCGGCTTTTTTTTTTCTTTATTTTTCGCCGTTTTCTATCCGCGCCTTGGGCTAACTAGCAACTTTCCAGCGCCCACGGAAGACAACATTCTCACCGGCGCAGCTTCTCCCTCTCCACCCTTGCAAAACCCGATATCTTCTCCCAAGTCCAAAGGGCCGGCAAAGACTCCCGTCTCTTCCCCGACGACCGCCGCCCCTACCGCTCCTACCCGATCACGAGGCATGGTGCAGCAACAAGATGATTCGGAGGATCCAGACAATGACCGGGTGAGCCACGTGCGGATTCTGCCCACGAGTCTGCCCTATGTCCATGCCCAGATCATGGAACAGCGCGACCGGGAACTGAGGCTCCGTGCGGCGGGCAGAGGGCAGGATGGCTTGTCCCCCCTGGAGCTGACGGCCGACGAAGAAAAGGCGGCTGCAAACAAAGAACGCTCACTGGAAGAACAGGCGGCCACCGCCCGAGCTTTGAAGCCGCACAGTCGCAGCGTGGTGCAACTCGACAAGCTCCACTACGAACCGCCTGCTCATTCTCACGCGCCGCCGCACCAACCGAAGAAAACGCGTAAATGGCAGTTTGGGATCCGGTCGCGCAATCAGCCGTACGAGGCAATGCTGTACCTTTACAAGGCCATCGTTGCGCAGGGTGGGGTGTGGGAAATCCAACCCATCGATGCAGGTTAGTCAACATTTTTACATCCCCTTCCCCCCCCCCCCCCCCCTCCGGGGCTATTTTCCCCTTCTAACAGAGCAGATGGCAATCCGGTCGACGTGGACCCTCCGCCGGACAAGCAACCACCGCTGCAGGGCAAGTACCCCGATCTCCCTGCAGATTACTATATTCCCAAAGAGCCATGGTTCATCCGTGCTCGTCTGTTGAAAGAAGGCGTCATGGCTCCCAAGGACGCAGCCAACATGAGCCACAGCCGTAGCGATTTAGAGGAACTGCGCCGGCGGTTCCAGACCAGTGGAATGGACGAGAAAGCCGTTGTTGCGGCGTTAGCGCAGGCCGTGGAGCAGCAGCAGCAGCAGCAGCAACAACAACAACCACACGGGACCTCATCGGGCTCATCATCAGGCCCATCATCGGAGCCACGGCACAGCGGCTCGGCCTCGATCTCGCACGGGGTGTGGGTGTTCATCGATATCCAGCTCTACCAGCTAGAGGAGAACAGCTACATGGTCGACTTCAAATGCGACGGGTACCAGAACGTGAACCGGGCCGAGGGCGATACCGCCTGGCACCCCGTCAGCAAGCGGTACAAGAACAAGGAGAAGGAGGTGACGAGCCCGTATCCGTACCTGGACGTTGCGTCGGACCTGGTCGCGCAGCTGGCTGTTGCCAGCTAACTGGTACTATAACCCTATACTATGGATATAACGGCGCATTGGAGTTAAGCTAGCATAGCATGGCATCTTGTCTTCTTCTATTCACTTTATGTGTAGATTCGATTCTTATTGAGTGTAGACTCTGTATTTCCTTCCCCGCTTCCCCACTTGCATCAGTGGGGAAAGACAAGATATATCTTCAACATGATACTGCCCATGAATAGATTATAGAAGCATTCTCATTATCCTACTTGTTTCTTTCCTGAACTACCAAGATGACAACTCTTGAATCGACACATCCCGTCCTGATCATAGGCGGGGGTCCCTCTGGTCTTCTCCTGGCATTCATACTGTCTCAATTCGGAGGTACTCACATCTAGATATACGCATATATAGAGAAGCATACATATAGAAGCATATATATAACATTAAATACTGATTTGTTAGTCCCCTCCCTCCTCGTTGAACGGTACAACACCCGCCTCGCCGCGCCAAAGGCACACGCCCTCTCCCCGCGTTCACTGGAACTATGCCGCCAGGTCGGACTGGATGTGAACGAGATGCGAGCGCAGGGCACCTCTCGCGCAGATGCGTACTGGGTGAATTTTATTACGAGTCTGGGGGGGAGGTTGGTCGGGAGGTTGCCCTATGAGAGGATGGATAGGGAGGTTCTGGATGCGACATCGATGGTGCTTCCTTTTTTTTTGCTACGAAGTGAAACAATTGCAAGATGCTAACATCTCCAGATGATTCATAATATCCCACAGCCGGATTTCGAAGAATTGGTCGCGAAACGGGTGCGCAAGAGTCCGCTTGTTGGAATCCGCAAGAACCATTCATTCGTGAAATTGGAGGATGTGAGTTATTCAGGGAATACTTGTCTCTGATATATTTGTTCATTCAATTGTCGCAGCGTGGTTCCTACGTGGTTACTACAATCGAGGATCGGAACACGCAGCAGGAATACCAGGTCCGGTCGAGCCATGTTGTGGCCTGTGATGGGGCAAAGAGCGCCGTGAGACGGTATCTTGGTGTTGAGAGTGAAGGCGAGGACTCGTGTAGGCAAACCCTTATGAAACTTTTCACATCCTATGCGTTCTATGATGTTTTGATGCATTTTGATATGCTGACCAATAGACGAAACTATGATGACGATCCATATTAACGCCGATCTGCGGCCGGTGCTGAAGGATAGGGTGGGAATGCTGCACTGGGTGATGGATCCTGAAGCTGCAGGCTTTATCATCGGATACGATCTGTCGGTAAACCAGGTCTTGATCTGCAACTTTGACGTGAGTGATTAGAACCCTGGAGTAATATACTCGCTAGGCCGGCTCACGCAATTAGTCGGACAAATACCCCGTCTCTGCATGGAATGAAGCGCACTGCCGCAAGGTCGTCGATAAAGCCATCGGGGCAAACGTGCCATACGAGGTGCTCAGCTATCGACCTTGGATCCTGAGTCGCAAAGTCGCCAAGTCATACCGCGTGGGGAATGTATTTCTGTCAGTAATTCTTTCTATCTTTCCTCGCAGTTTGTTTTGGTCTCTGACTGGGTTAGTGCCGGCGATGCTGCCCATTCTTTCCCACCAACAGGTGGTCTGGGGCTGAACTCTGGAATCGGTGACGTCCATAACCTGGCGTACAAGCTGGCTGCCGTTCATGGCGGCTGGGGGGGCGACCGCCTGCTCGACAGCTACGAGGCAGACCGACGGCAGGTTGCACTGGTCAACTCCCTGCAGAGCGTTAAGAACGGCAAACAGATCTTTGGGCTGCTCAAGACGATAGGGACTACCGATCCGGACACCGACGCTGCGCGTCGCAACCTGTTCCGCAACATCGACGACCACGCGAAAATGCAGGACATCAGCCAGGGGATCGAGGAACAACGGGAGCATTTCGACAACCTCGGACTCCATGTGGGATATGTCTATGGCGACGACAAGATCCCACCCCATGCATCAACATATACGCCTGTCTGCATTCCGGGCGCCAGGCTGCCGCACGCCTGGATCCAGGTGCTTGCCCCGGAAAAGGTTCCACTGCCTGCGATCGACTGCTCGTACGTGACCGACCTATCGCCTGCCGAGGTGCGTGCCAAACAGTTCTCCACACTCGACCTGTGTGCCTTTGACGCCTTCACGCTCTTCGTCGATGCCAGGAGCGCTGCCCTCTGGGAGCACCGTCTCCGGGACGTCCGACAGAGGCTCCCGCCGTCCGTCGCCGCGTCCCTCAAGCTCCGTATAGCCGTGTGCGGGGTCGACTTCGAGCTGCATCCAGGACACAACAGCACCGCATGGCTGCAGCTCATGAAACTGTCAGACGGCCAGGGGACGCTAGTCCGCCCAGACCAGCATATTCTGATGTGTTTCGACAGCCAGTCGCGCCCGGAGGAGGTCTTGGACGCCCTTCAGGGGCACCTTGACCTAGACCTAGCGGGGTGACAGCGTCGGAAATAGCGACCAATCCTCTGGTATTATTATCAATTAGAAGATAAAGAGCATAATAGAAACCACTTCACGATATTCGGTCACTACTCCGTCAGTTCGTCGTATCCTAGCCCCCCAGGACCGACCGCCGAGCTCTCTGTCGGCAGTGGCCCCGACAGATTCTCCCATTGTTTTCCCGTCGATGGGCTGATGCGCTCAAAGGGGAAGGCGGTGGCTGCAGAAACTATTTCCACCGGCGGACTAAGTCACATGCGGGCGGATAAAATGTGTTCCGGCGGGTGCAGTGTGGGGAAGCTCGGTGGCACCAATGGGGCGCCTTCCCCACGGTGCTCCGCCCGGCAGTAAGTCACCGGTGTGTGGAGAAGGGAGGCTTCATATACCTCTGCCCCTCCTGGAGAGCTCTTGCCTTGCCCGCTCTCTCTCAACAACCCTCCTTCTTTGCCACCATTACCTTCATCCCTCCATCTCAGTTCAACCCTTAGCTGCTGCCCACCATGACTTCCTTGGATGTGAAGGACTTGGAGAAGCCGACGGGCGAGTACCGTCAGTACCTGCCCGACCTGAGCCTGCCGCGCTTCCAGGTGATGAAGGATCAGGACGCCCACGAGTATGCCCACGAGTTCAAGACGGGCAAGCAGCCGCCGTGGCTGCACGGTCTGTACATGCACTGGGTGGACCTGCTGCAGGAGCCGTTCAAGGGTGTGACAACTGATGGTGAGTGAGAGAAAATAAAGAAACGAAGGGAGAAGAAAACAAAACAAGAGAAGAAAAAAAACTGATTCAATTATTCAGGCAAGGTTCGCCCCGGTCTGTTCACGTTACAAGATGAAGACGTTCCGATTGAGGCCATCGTCGGTTCGGTGGAGGCGTTGTTCTCGGTGGTGGACGACAAGCAGCGACAGGCGCTGTGCTTTCACATCGACTCGCCCGAATGGCGCACATGGTCGAACCCGGAGTTCCTGCTGAGCCACAAGGGGCTGCGGCTGGATGAGGTGGAGGTCAACGTGCGCGAGGCCATTCTGAAGGTGCTGCAGGCGACCCTGTCGCCCGAGGGATACGAGAAGGCGATTGCTGCGATGCGTATCAACCACTTCCTCGGAGAGCTGGTCGAGTCGCCCAAGGTGATGAACGAGTACTCGTACAACTTCGCCCTGTTCGGCCGGCCCTCGACCACCCGCCCCTGGGGCTGGTCCTTCTACGGCCACCACCTGTGCCTCAACGTCTTCTTCTACAAGCAGCAGATCGTCGTCTCGCCCTGGTTCACCGGTGCCGAGCCCAACGAGATTGACTCGGGCCCGTACGCCGGCACGCGCATCATGCAGATCGAGGAGCAGCTCGGCCTGCGTCTGATGCAGTCGCTTACCCCCGAGCTGCAGACCAAGGCCCGCGTCTACGCCGACATGCACGACGAGGCCATGCCCCCCGGCCGCTGGAACAAGGACGACCAGCGTCACGTCTGCGGCGCCTACCGCGACAACCGCGAGGTCCCCTACGAAGGTATCGTCATTGGTGACCTCTCCCCGGCCCAGAAGGAGTACGTCTACGGCATCTTCGAGCAGTACCTGCTCTACCTGCCCGCCAAGGCCCGCGCCTTGAAGATCGAGCACCTGCGCCAGTTCGAGGCCGAGACCTACTTCTGCTGGATCGGTGGCTTCGCCGACCACGACCCCTTCTACTACCGCCTGCAGAGCCCCGTCATCCTCGTCGAGTTCGACCACCACTCCGGCGTCTTCCTCAACAACGAGGAACCCAAGAAGTTCCACATCCACACCCTTCTGCGTACCCCGAACGCTGGTGACTACGGCCAGGCTCTGCGTCCCTTGATCCCGGGCATCGAGGGCATCAACGGCAAGGAGATCAAGTGGTGAAACATCCACACCCATCCACACGCCTACAGACACACACAGAGTATTATGATTAGCTAGCGAGTTTCTGTGTTATTTTGTTGCTGCTTGTTTTTTCCTGTAACTTTTTTTTTTTTTTCTTTTTTTAACCTTTTCCCTTCTATATACATATTTTGTGTCCGTTTGGCATGTATGGACGATGTGATGCTATCTTTCTCTTGTTGCTCGAATGACCCGCAGCATGACGAGTTGTACAAATGAATGAACATAAGGAATCCGATTCGAGGCTTTACTCATCTATCCTTCGTATTCTTGTCTCTGTAAGCGTTCCCGGCAGATCATAGCCAAGTGACCGATCATTTCCTCCATCTGCGCCGACACCCCCCACCGGGAGGCGATGGTCTTGAGGCTGATTTGTAGAAAGTTCATCTCGCTTAGCAGGTGAACTGGGATGCAGTCTTCTGCCTCACTGCCTTGGTTGGCTTGCTGCAGTACCTGTTCGCCAGTAGCAGCCTGAGAACCTAGTGTATCATTATCTGCTGTCGCTGTCAGGACAGAGGCCCACGCATGGTCCCAGTGGGTGTTGGCGGTTTTCGATAGATTAAATGTCCCCTTGTCCCCTAGACACACGCCTCCGAGAACCACCGCGGATGCAAAGATCGCGGCTGGAAGGTGTGTTGCGTGAGCATGTCTCAAAGGTATCTGATTCAAAATGCGCGTGATGGCTGTGGCGTGCAGCACGGCCCGAGCAGCGTCGGCACTGCCCGCCCATTTTTCAAGGTCGAAGGAAAAGAAGGTACCCCGGCTGCTGCTTTTTGTCGTTTTACTGCCGCCAGTGAGGGGTGGGAGTTTGTAGAGTTCGCATATACGGCGGTACAGAAGCGTGGATGGTGTGGCCAGCTCGAGGCATATCGTATGCCATCGGATCAACAGCTGGAAAGAATCGACATTTGTAGGCGATGATGAAGGATACAAATGGTTGTGGTAGAGATTGAGTAACGCACGGATGATCTGTGGTCGCGAGACTGCTCCAAAGACAGGCCCGCTGGTCTCATTCAGATCAGCGACAAGAGACTGCAATCCTTCCATGCAGACAAAGATGGTGAACGATGACAGCTGCAAGGGCATCGAGGCACAGTTGGCCGAGAAAATCGAGACAAAGACCTCCGACATGGGTATGGCCGTGGATTTTGTGCGTGCCATCTCTAAGATCCATTCATCGGCTGTTTTGGCTGCAAAGGCTACGTCCGAACACGCAGCGCCAGTTGCATTGATCAGGTGGCGTGCGCTGGCGGGTGACCCAGAAGCTTGAGAGATCAGACCATCCAGAATGTAGTGTCCAAGGATGGCGCGCCGTTGAACCTCGGATGCAGCCCATGTCCTCCATATCTCATTCTTCTCCTCCCCTGAAGCTTCTAAGCTGGGGATCTCACTTGGAGAGGTGTCCCGAATGGTATACATATCACAGGTTCGTGCCCAGTAGAACCCCAGTCCGTGGAAGACAAAGGCCGTCCTTCGAATGCTGTGATTGCTGGAGAGGAGAGCATATGTCTGGCCTAAGAGAGCGGTCAAAACCAGCTGGATACCATCGCAGGCATCGCGAGGCCCTCTCATCCCAATCAGGGTCTGCCATGAGGTCGCTACCGCCGTGTGGCCAAGGCGCCAGAGCATCTCGCCTTTCTGAAGAGAGCCCGGTAAACAAACAAACAGAGACCCCAAGGCTACGATGTTTAACAGGAGGGGCGGAATCGACTCTCCTGATTTGAAGGTGGGCCCATGGATCACTGGAAAGCAAGGCGATATCCGCTCAAAGAACTCTTGCAGGCACGCGTCCAGGAAGGAGGAAGTAATTCCCGTGTCATGCAGATCAGAGTTGAGTCTCTTTGATAAATCATCGATGAGCTTGTGAATCTGGTAGACAGCCGTCTCCCCGGGCTCCTGAAGACAAGCTCCATTCGGGTCCGTATTGCCCAGTACTGTATTTGAGTCATTAGGATCGAGAAACTGAGCGTTCGGCTGGCCAGGAAGCTCCATCAACGGCAGTGGTACCAGCGAGGAGTTGTGGAAGTCATGAAGCAGCCATTCCAGGAGATTATCTGACTCCATTAGTGTTTGCTCATCCGCGATTCCTGGCTGATAAAACGGCTCGATGCCTGCACCGCACTGCCCGGGAGCCATCTGACTGCTGGGAGTCTGAGGAAAGACTGTCTGCTGCGGCTCAACCGACACAGAAGCCACCGCGAGCGACTTGTCAGCCGAAGATGCCGCGGAATGTAGCTTCATGTGCCTTCCCAGGACATCCTGACGCCCAAAGCTCCTGCCGCATTCATTACACCGAAACGGCTTCGAATTGGAATCTGGAAGCACGCAATCCGCCGTGAATAAAACTCCCGGAGCAACAAAGGAACCTCAGACTTACGAGTTCTCTCATGTCTCTGTTCCCCTGATCAATACCGAAATCCTCATCCGTAGGGAGTAGAAGCCGAGGACCAGTCGGGACTTACTGTAAGGTGCTCGAGCTTCGTGTACGCCTTGTGGCATTGCGTACACCTGAACCTCTTTATCTGAGAGCTCATAACGCCCTCACAGCCCGAGAAAAACACAGACCGGATGGCTTTATCGCGCTGAAGAAGCCATCTGGGCTGTCGTGCGGCTTCTGCAACCTTCTTCGACGTTTCAACGCGAAGGAGCAGGAGGGGAATTGGCGGCCTCAGGCCAGAAAGCTAGACCCGTTCTGGACAGCACGTGATATAGCGTCTACAGCCCTCTGATTGGCTGTTTCCTGACCAGGCTGTCAACAACAACAAGCGACTTCACGCACTTTCCCAAGAGCTGCTTCTCACACTTATTTGTCTCGTTCTTGGCCTAGGGAGGTATATTCGAGTGAATGGGGTGTGCTACGGGTGTATTCACACCGTTTTTACTGATTTATTGATCAGAACTAGATGGATTTCCTGTCGGAAAGAAGGACGGCAGAGACAATGAGCAGCAGCGACGTCTACAATCGCGCCCTGTGGCTTCTGATAGCCATCATGGGGTCTCTGATTCTTACTCTCTACGTGGTCTATAAGCCGCCGGCATTTTTGGTCCGGTATTTCCAACGACGGTGGCCCGACGTGCTTTGGGAGGTGCCCACAAGGAAGAAGGTGGTTGCTCTCACCATCGACGACGCCCCGTCGGAATACACGTCCGACATCTTGGCTATTTTGCGAGCCCACCAAGTGACGGCAACGTTTTTTGTCATTGGGTCTCAGATAGTAGGCCGCGAGGAGGTGCTGAGAAGAGCTGTGCGAGAGGCCAACGAACTGGGGAACCACGCTATGGAGGATGAACCGTCACGGTCGCTGAGCAACCCTGTCCTTCAGGAACAGGTCTTGGACGTGCAGCAGCGTATCCGTGAGATATACCGGGATGTGGACTTGAACCCGCCTCTGAACCTGTTTCGACCCGGATCCGGATTCTTCAGTACTCGAATGCGCCAATTACTTGCGGGGCTAGACTACCGTCTGGTCCTCGGCGGTATATATCCGCATGATGCGCAGATCCCCTACTGGAAAGTCAATGCATATCATGTGCTGAGCATGCTGCGACCCGGGGCCATTATCATCTGCCATGATCGACGGAGCTGGACTGCGCCGATGCTGAGGCATGTAATCCCAGAAATCCAACGGCAAGGATATCGAATAGTCACTGTAAGTGAGCTACTACTGCAACAGGACTAATGGAGATGAGCAGGCGATGTGAAATGCAATTGCCATTTCATTCCAGTGCAGTCTGTCCTGCTCTACTCTAGTCTACTCGTGGTATATGAGTCAGCCAGCCGGCAAAGCTTCACCCCGAGTTTGAACGCGATTACCAAAAGATTCACCGAGGTCTCCGTGTAAAGACAGGCATACGCATGCTTGACCCACTGAGGATACCCTGTATGATGTACGGGTTAGTTGACTGTTACCCCGGACACACTCGCTTCCTGACACTCCACATCGGATAATCCGACACCCTCATGATTGCGGATCATCCGACCTGGCCAAATGCCGTGGAAATCTGGGGTTCTGCAGGGGCCGTCCACTTTGGGGATATCGGATGAGGGGCGCGGGATTTCATTTTGAGTCCCTCAAAGGCCATTTGACCGTCTCTGGCGTATATCAACCCTCTTCTTTTCTCTTTCGATTCGAGAGCACAACTATTTTTTCATTTCCCATTTCTTCATTTCTTCTTTTTTTTTTTTCTGCTCTAAAAATCCACACCTCACTACACATCAGCCATCATGACTCTATGCTGGAGTAAACAGCCCCCCGCAGAGCGGGTTCCTTATGGCATCCCCCAGCTCGAAGGTGAGCGGATCACCATTCCCGGCAGCAAAGGTGTTTTCCGTATTCTCGCCTCCTCGAAACAAACCAATGGCTTGATGGCCGTTTTCCAGAGTGCCGCAGTCCTCTCCGACGCGCCTGGCTTCCATTACCATAACCACGCACACGATGTTTTCCTAGTGACAAAGGGCTACTTGAAGCTGTGGAATGGTGACAAGTGCCGAATCATGGGTCCTGGTGACTTTGCATATGTCCCTCCTGTAAGTTATTCCTTTTACTGTTTCTTCTTCTTTTTTTTTTTTTTTGTCAATAATTTAGCATCCTGACAAATTCGGTCCTGTCGCAGAAAGTCGTTCACAACCCCGAAATGATCGGGCCTCACACTGAAACCTTTGGTCTTATCACCCCCGGCGACTGGATCGACTTCTTCCGCTATGTCTCAGAGCCGTACGACGGACTGGTTCTACCGGAGGACGATAACCGGGATCTCAAGTCCATTCTGATCCCAAAGGTGATGGCCGCCAAGGAACAGTTTGATGTGGTGTTCCAGCCGCACTACCAACCCCCCGCGCTGGGAGAATGGGACGCTGACGACGAGAAACTGCCGGAGTCCCAACAGGGCTACTATCTGCGGTCGAACACGGGGCCCAAATGGATGTGTGGGGGGGTCATGTCGCGGCCATTTATCACGACGACCCAGAGCAACAACGTCTGCGCCATCTCCAGCATCGAGTCATCCAGCGACTACGGCCGCGAGTCGATATTATCCAGCTTCATGACGTTCGAGGCCGTAGACCACTGCCTCTCCGTGCAGGAGGGCACCTTGACTGTCCGTCTCAAGGGCCTAGCGGACGCTGTGGTCCGCGAGGGCGAAACGGTCGTCATCCCCGCAGGGCAGCCGTTTGCTCTCCGCTTTGACAGCAAATACGTACGCGTCTGGTCCTTTACGGACGGCGATGGGATCGAGGCGCTGATTCACCGGGTGGGGCAGCCGTACAAGGGTGTCGTTTTGCCGGACAAGATGCCGGAATGGAGCCGGGAGGGAGTGGCAGCAGCAGCATCAAGCATCAGGCTTCAAATTGATTTATAATGAATATGAATAATAATAGTATAACTGTTTCATGAGAATAAATGGAATCTACCTACCTACTATCATTCTTTAGCTGTAAGGACCACGTGCGATAACGATTTATCCTGGTAGGCTGATCCCCCACGGGGTCGTCACGTGCGAGCTTGATTAATTTCCTCGGAAATCCCGCCCAGTGGCAAGGAAATCACACTGTCACATACTGACCGGGGAGGAAAAGAAGGACGTTTATTTATATATATATATTGATTTCTGCATGTTTCTATGAATGGATGATGCGACAACAGACCCAAACGTCGCCTGCAGGGCTGAATGCCGGTGCTGGTGCGGATGAGTCGACGCCGCGACGAGCGAAACGGCCACGCGCAGCCCAGGCGTGCGATCGATGCCGGCTGAAGAAGTATAAATGCGACGAGCTGTATCCTTGTTCCCAATGCAAGAGTGGGTTGCCTTCATTTACGTTTCTTCTATATAGAATCCCTGTCCTTGGTGCTGAGGGTGGGTAGAAAGCAAGATCGACTGTATTTACCAGGGTAACTATCGGCAATGGGAGAGCACTCGATCTGCAAGGTAAGCTTCGAAGAATAACTGATAATATGAAAAAACATCAAGCTGACAGACCAGCTATGTGGTCGATCTGGAAAGAAAAGTCGATGAACTCAATGCCAAACTTCGAACCGCCGGACCGGACGAAACCACCACCACCAAAACAACGACAACAACAACCACCACCCCTCCTGCTACGTATACCCACAACGCTGTCTCCTACACCTCGACTTCCATCTCACAGGCGGAAGCGACTGTTCCGGCTGGCGTGGAGGCGACGCCAACCTCGCTGCTGAGGACCGACTCGACGACGCCCCGCGAGCAGCCGGTCGAATCGACGACGGATGCGATCACCGACGAGCTTAGCGAGCTGAATCATCACACAAACGGGATCGAGTTCCATGGGAGTACGTCGTCTGCTGCGTTTTTGGGCCATCTGCAACGGTCGCGCGAGCCGAAACAACCTCCTAACAATAGCGGAGGAGGAGCACTTTGGAATACTGGCGCTGGTGCCGGCACTGGCCCTGGCCCTGGAAATGGCACCAGCATCAATATCAACACCGCCGCGCCTGAGACCTCAGCTGCATCGTACTCGCTGATTTCAACGCTGCATAACCCGGCATTCTCGCCGTCGAACACGGTTGATGCTCCCGGCCGGGCTGCTACTGCTACTGCCGGTGTCTCTCACGATCAGAACTACTACTTTGAACAGGCCCATGTCTTTATGAACGGCTATTTCGAGAACATCCATTTCATCCATCCGCTTATCGACAAGGAGGATTTCCTGCTGCGCGCACATGGCTTGTGGTTCAACCACTCGCAGCGGCCGGACGCCAGCTTCGTGGCTCTGTACCTGAGCGTGCTCTCTTTCGGGGCTCTTGTGCGGGTCTGGGACGAGGAGAAGATCGCAGGGCTGGGTCGCTTCGAATGGAGTCGCAAGCTCTTTGCGGAGGCGCAGCTGTATCTCGATTATTTACGCTTCTCGAACGACCTGGAGACGGTCCAGTGTTTATATCTAATGGTCCCCCCCCCCTCTTCTCTTACATCGTTTTAACATCACTATTAACGATTTTCTAGGCCAAAATATGCCAGAATGAGCTGAATCCTAACTGTGGGTTTTTTTCTTCTTCACTTGGAGGTTCTCATTGACATCTCTAGTGGCTTATATGTACCTTGGGCTGGCCGTACGCACGTGTCTCTCTGCTGGATTCAACCGTGAGATCCGGAATCCCAAAGATCAGCGCTCGGGGTGGATCTCCAAGACCTGGTGGTAAGAGATTTCACGTGTATTGATATATCAATATCGAGAGACTGTATATTGGCATGCTAATCATTTCATTAGGGGACTATTCTCACTAGAAATGTAGGATCTCTCTTCCTAACAGCTGCTAACAACTGCTAAGATCCAATCAGAGAAATGAGCTTCTCCGTTGGACGCCCCGATACACTAGGCATGGACGAGTATCACAATCGAGCTCTCCCAGCGCGAGACAATTCCGAGTACGCCATCATCCCATGGATGGTCGACTTTGCCCAGATCATCCGCCGGGTCTCGGTGCAGGTCTACCACTCGCGGATTGCCCTGCATGAGAAGCTGCAGCTGGCCCTGCAGATTGAAGAGGAGATGGACCAGTGGCTAGTCAGACTGCCCGACAGGCTGAAGCCGGATATTCTCCACCTCCGGCTCTCTCGTGATGCCCTGCGAGATCCGAAATGGGCTCGACGGCAGCGACTCGTATTAGGGATCCGTAAGTATATCAATAGAGATAGAGAGAGGGAGAACTAACGAAGATCAACTGGAAGGATATTATAATGTGAAAATGCTCCTCTTCCGGCCCTTCTTGAGCTACTTTTCTCGAAAACTACGACACACACCCGTCGAACTCGAGGAGACAATCTCCAAATGCCTAGATGCGGCGATGAAGACCATCGAGGTCATCTACGACATCTACCGCATCCATACTTTTTTTCGCTGCTGGCAAGTTCTTCTTTCTTCTCTTCTTCTCTTCTTTATATTAATCATGCTTAGGTGGTACAATACTACATACGTCATGTTCGCAACATCAACACTCCTCCTCCCCATTTCGAAACTGGGAGTCTGCGACGAGACAGCCCCCTTCCTGCGCTCCATCGAGATGGCCGTCGACATCCTTGACGCGATGGAGGAGTCCGTCGTGGCCCGCAAATCCGTCGAGATCATCAAACACTACCTGACTGAATTCCAGCATCCCACTGTTGATGATGATAGTCAGTATCATAGTCATACCCACCATGATATTGTACCGCCGCGTATCACTGCAGAGGGACAGGAACCGGCTGCCCCTGTGTTTGACTTGCCGGTGAGTCTTCATATTTTTCTTATCCCACCAGTTCCATTCGTTATTCTCACCTAACTACTCCAACCCCCCGTCTATTATGTTCTATCTTACTGATCAATAAGGAATGGGCGTATGGATTTGGGTTCCCTGATTCCTCGTTTGATGGGATCGCAAGACTGTTCGATGATCTCCAGGGCCTTCCTGTGCTGGACAATCCATGATACCATTCATCATCTGTACTTCTCTAGCTAGTTATAATAACTATTATTCTATAAAAAATAAAGCCGGATTCTCTTCCACGGCCTTCTCAACCTCTGCAACCGCATCGTAGCCGTACAGCCACGGCTGAACTTCGGGGCATGTCCTGAGTAGTGAGCACGTGAATACCTCAAAACAGTCACCGGTGATGGCGATGGGAATTGCGAGTGTCTCTTACCACCTGCTGGGAAACGCCCCCTTGATCTCCTTGCCCAACTGCGAGAGGAAGACTTGGTCTCGCTTGATCTGCTCTTCGCCATCGGGCATGTGGAAGTCGTGTCTCTGGGAAATAGTCAGTATTCTTCAGTATCCATTGAGTGAATGAAGTTCTGGGGGTTCTGCTGACCTGCTTGAAGGCTTCGCGCACGATAGCTTCCCCTCTTGATTTACGAAGACTCTCATACAGACGGAGGATTCCAGGCAGCTGAGACTTGTCTTTCATCTTACCGAGGAGTAATCCTAGCACGGCACCGTCTTCGAGAGAGGAATTGGCGCCCTGAGCGAGGTAGGGGAGCATGGGGTGGCATGCGTCGCCACTGGAAATCAGCAGAGGGGAAAAAAAAGAAAGAAAAAAAAGAAAAAGAAACGGAACGAAACTTGAAGAACGCTTACAGGAAGACCATATTTGAGGCCTCGTTGACCCAGCGGTCCATTTCGGCATCTATAGAGGTGAGTTTGTCTGAATGTTGAAAAGAAGGTGCAGGATTACCCACGGTGCATCAGCTTCCACTTGTCGACGGTGTCGACGTAACTTAGGAACTTGTTGAGTCTATTGCATGATTAGATGAAGCTGAAGATGGAAAGACGATCACTGCTTGAGACTCACATAGGATCCCAATTGGCAAAAAGTTGACGCATCTCTTCCACCGACCCGGCCTGTCTCGACACCCCTGCGGGCAGGTTATCAGGGACGAGAAGCACGACGTTGAACATCTTGCCAGCCCGAAGAGAGTAGGAGACGGCGTGAGCAGATGGGCCTGCCCAGAAATGCACCTGCGGGTTCTCGACCAGCGCCCTGAGCTCCGGGTCGGCGACCTGGTCGGCGGTCAGCACGATGCGATATGCCAGGTCGCCCGTGGGCAGCGGCTCGTCCCTGCGGCCCAGCAGACTCTCGCGGCACCGGGACCAGAGCCCGTCTGCCGCGATGATCAGGTCGCCGCTGTACTGTGATCCGTTCACTGTGCGGACGGTTGTTGTCTCGGACTCGACCGACTCGACTCGCTGGCTGAAGTGGAAGACGACCCCGAGGTCCTTGGCGCGCGCGAAGAGCGCCTGCTGCAGATCGACGCGGTGCAGGTCGACGAACGGCGCCCCATACTTGGCCTGGATCTTCTTGTCGAACTCGTCTTCGTGAGCCAGGATCTCGCCCGAGTACCGATGCACCGTCACCATCGTCGGCTCGGCGGCAGCCTCCCATATCGAGTCGGGGAGCTGCCAGTGTCGAAGCAGACGGGAGGCATTCGGAGTGATCTGTAGCCCTGCACCGACCTACTTCAATTAGTATCTGGTTTATAACCGGAACTGGTACAAAAGAGAGAAAAAATCTCTCTTCAATGTCACTCACCTCGGCCAACTCTCTTGCCTGCTCAATCACCTCGACGGTGTGTCCGGACGTCGCACACGAGATCGCAGCCGCAATGCCACCAAGACCTGCTCCAACGACAACAATATGCAGTCGGGCCTCTTCAGGTATGGACATTTTGCACAAGTTCTCTACTTCTTCCAAGTTACTTCAACAGAGAGGTTCAATTTTTGTGTATATGCGTTCTTTCTGAGAAATGCAACACGAAGAAAACGCCAAAAGCTCCGCCACTCCTCCTGCAGCTTTGATCCCGGTCACTCTAGCCATTACGACGATTAATTCACGACCAGAGCTCCACCCCCAATAGGGTAATCCATCGGAGGGCGGGGGAAGGGGGGAGTCGGAGAAGCCGAATACATGGGACATTCCGGATTCCATCTCGGGACTTCCAGCATCGCCAAACGACCGTCCACTTGGATTATCCACATCCACTTCTAACCGACTGCGGAGAATGGACTCTGCAGAGTATGACGGAGTTGGGGTCGTCTAGTGACTGTGTGTCTAGTGATTACCTATCTGAATATCGGATAGGCTACTTACGAAGTACGTCTTTCACTAATCAAATGTCCAGTGGGATCCCCACTTGTATGTCTTAAACCTGGGGTACTCCAATGTTACTAATATCTCCGGTCTGGGGGAATCCCCCCAAAAGATATCATTGAAGGACTGTAAATATTCATGAATCCTTCTTAAATGATCAAGTACTGTGATGGTATACCAGTAAATGACAGATATAGGTCCTAAATGAAATGAATAGAGTCTCTGAATAGAGTCTCATAGACACTCAACCATAACTCTCAGACTAAGGTATACTGGCAAGAAGATCAGCGGATATCCCGATAGCTATACCATCCCTCGACATGCCTGCTAGTCCAGCCTTTACGGCACTGAAGTCCCTCTTATGAAGATCCCTCCACCCTCCCCGGAGTGGGTTTCCCCAGAATCATACGATCTTCTTCCCCCAGATAGTACTTGGTCCTTGCTGTGTCTAATATTATTATTATTCTTTTCAAACATGACTGTCGATCCCCGGGTAGGCATCATCCTACACAGTACCTAAGGTAGTTCTATAGTCAGCTTGCTGACTGTTTGCTAGCAACTACCCCGGAGTGTGCGATATGGCGCCGTCTTGACAGTTAATATGTTTGTCTTCATGGGCAACATGTATTCTGTATGTTTTTTCTTTCCTTCTTATAGTAATGTGTGTGTCTCTGATATCACAGGCCGGCCTGGCAACGGCGTTTAGCTCTCTGGCCGAAGACTTGGAGGTGAGCTATGCCAAACTATCCGGTCTTGTCACCTGGTCAGTCCTCTCGATGGGACTGGCCAATCTGTTCTGGATGCCTTGTGCGCTGTGCTTTGGCAAACGGCCCGTTGTCTTGGTCTCGATGGCCATGTTCCTTGGGGGAACGATCTGGAGTGCGGTGGCGCCAGGATACAACAGCTTGCTTGCCTCGAGGGTGTTTGCCTCTGTTGGTATGCTTTGAGCCATCTCTCTTTTCTGTCTCTCTTCTTGACTAACCCTTTTATAGGCTATGGTTCGATTGAGTCTCTAGGACCCAGTATTCTAGCAGGTATCTTGAACCCAATCAACCACTTCTCTTTCTACCCATTTCTCCTTTCTTTTCTGCTCACGCTGTAGATCTCTTCTATGAACGTCACTACGCCAGCGCCATGGCCGTCTTTGCCGCGTTTCTCTCCGCCGGATCCCAGGTCGGCCCCATGATAGCGGGATACCTCGTCACCGCGCGTGGCTGGCGGTGGTTCTTTTACCTCTGCAGCATCCTCACAGGAGCGAATCTCTTGACCACGATATTCTTCCTCCCGGAGACCCTGTACGAGCCTGACGTTGACGAGACCACCATGCTACAAGAGGGAGATGCCGATCGCGAAAAGGATACATACGCCCACGTCGAGAGGACTCAGGCATCGGCGATGGCCTTAGATGGCTCCGTCTCGCACTGGAAAAGTCTCTACACCGTCAGCTTGTCCAGGGCTGCCAAGGAAAAGGGCGTGTTCAGGCACTTTGCTACTCTCTTCGTCTTACCTCTTCCCCTGTTGATCATTCCTGGGGTTCTTCTTGCCTCCATCATGTATGGAGTTGTATTAGGGGGGTGAGCATCATTACCGTCTCTCCTCTGTTTAATATCATCAGGTGTTCTTCTTGCTAATAAACTAGAACCGTCGCGATTTCCACCCTTCTCGCCGACCTCCTCTCCCCCCCTCCCTACCTCTTCTCCGCCGCAGACATCGGCCTCTTCACCTTCACCAGCTTCATCGGCATCCTGATCGCCTGGCCCATTGCCGGCCCGCTGACTGACCTGCTTTCCCGCATGCTACGCTCCCGCAACAACGGCGTCCACAAGCCCGAACACCGCCTGCCCGCCCTCCTTGTGCCCTTTTTGATCTGCCCCGCCGGTCTGGTCGTCTTCGGATACACCATGGCCCGCGAGGAGTCGTACCTCCGTCTCGCCGTGGGTGTCGCCATGTCCACCGCCGCCCTGGCGCTCGTCCCCGCCGTCATGCTCGCGTACGTGGTCGACGCATACCCGGCCGTCAGCGGCGAAGCCCTCGTCCTCGTCAACGCGTCGAAGAATATCGTCGCCTTCGGGCTAGCCAAGGGCGCTGTCCCCTGGATGGAATCCCATGGCGTGGGCCGCATGTTCTACGAGATGGCTGGCATTGAGTGGGCGGTGCTTCTCCTTGCGTTGCCTTTGTATTTTGCTGGACCGTCCATTCGGTCACGGATGATGGGCATGTTTGATAAATAGGTATTTTGTCAAGACGACTTTCTTTCTATCTATATGTTCAATGATTCTGTTACCAATACTATGAAACTCAGTGTGCTCTCAGTAGTTGGGTTAGTATGATACAGAAATATGTAGAGACCGGAGCAAGTTGCACATTTATTAATAACTATTCCAAGTTTTATATATCCATCATCCTCCAGGGAGAGTAAATCAACGCCACAGATTTGGAATTCAAAGACCGTCAAACAGAAAAATAAAAAGAAACCCCATACACCCATCAAATTTATTGATTTCGCGGCCGAGTCTCGATCCTCCCGCCGCCAGGCCCGTCGCCATTCTCAATTCGTCGAAACGGCCCGGCCGGCCTTGAATTGTGGTACGGAGAGATCGACGTCGACGAGCTCCGGCTCAGAGAGGCCGGCGATGAAGGCATAGACGATGCAGGCGTGGAGAGAACCGAGGAGGCTGCCGTTCGCGCAGCCACGGCCGCCGCCGCAGCAGCAGGGTGGCAGTGAGAACAGATGTAGATGTTGAAGCCGCGGCCAGCGCAGGTCCCGCAAATCGAGTCTCTGGAGAAAAAAAAAAAAAAAAAACAGAGGATTCAGCGAGGCGAGTCACTTCCCCGACGGATTGATGTGTACCCTACCTAGGTGCATTACCTGCACACATTCGACAGGTCATGACAGTCCGTCCTCCGATACATGATGTGTGTTCGGGATCCAACTGAAGCATTGGCAATGGGTTGAGAGCGCTCATGTCGACAGCGAGTCACGGGCAGGAAGGTATAGAGATCAATCGAGTGCACTGCAGGTGTGTCTTTAGAAGAGAGAGAGGAGAGAGAGAGAGAGAGAGAGAGAGATGTCCAGTCTTTGTTAAAGAGATGCCACCTGGAGACGGAGCTCTCTATGGTCTATATATACATATATCAAGAGAGAGAGAGGGAGAAGAGATGGATAAATAAGCTCTGCCGGTGCTCCGTACATGACGAACGTTATGCGCAAGCTATCAGGGCGTGGTTTCTGCGTTGCGGCGCAGCGGAGTGGATAAAAAGGCTCGTATGTACGAAATCGCCAACATTACTCGCGGGGATTCATGGTTGGTGATTGTTTGAAGCAAGGTAGCTCCTTGTCCCAGCCCAAACGGTGATTTATTTTCCCCATGAGCGCGCGACGAATGAGATATTGTTCTGGCCCGTGTCACTGATGACAGCGCTCGGTGAACAGCCCGGCATTCGCTGGTCAAGGTCTCCTGGATCTGAATAATCGGCACAGCCGAATTTTACTCTTATCCGGGCATTAGATCAGTAGGACAGTGGTGTTCCGAAAGTACGGACCCCCCATAGGCAAAGCCTCCTTCTGTCCTGGTTCCGGACTCAGCCTTGCAGGTTGGTACGCAGGCTCCGGGTAAGCAGCAGCAGCTGGAATGCCTTGAGATGGGATAGCTAGGCAATAGACCAGGTCCACCGACAGCTTAGTTTCCGAAAGGGGGGAAAAAAAGAAAAGGAAGCCAAGGAAAATAAGGCCATCTCCTCCAGGTACGGTACTATCGATCCAGGCAACTCGCGAGTCACTGGTCCTGGCGTTTCTATTCTCTGACATGACGGCTGTTACCTCATCCTGAAACAACCAAGAAGGGCCAAAACCTCGACCTTTAGACGGTATCTTGCATACTCGCTCGCATGGTTGAAAGGATGAACCGGGCCTTGGCTACTGGAGCATCTCGGCCCTAAAACCGGAAAATAACTCCAAAAGCATGGCAGCCACTGCAAGTCGTGTTACTGTGTCCAAAACAATCGGTGGGATAGGCAAACGAACCATCTGTCCGACTGCTTTCTGCAGCAATTGCTACAGGTCCATCCTGACTTGGGGATCTGTTGATGTCAACCACGGGTAGATGCAGAATGGACATGCGATAATGAGATCATGGCCAGCAAGAGGGCCAGAAGAGGCAGCCTACAAAGAGGCAATTCTAAACGTTCCATTGACGAAGGAAGGGACCAATAAAAAGACAGCCCCAACAACTTTCCTCGGATCAGATGCATGAGAGACAACAGACCATGGCAGGAGCTGCCGGAACTCTGCTAGAGCCCTTCAAGATTTAGTCCATGTTGCATGCGGGTGCCATTCGTCAATTCATCCCTCATCACTTAGACCAAGACCTGAGCGAGACATTGGATCGTCGACTCTGTGTCAAGGCCGGAGTACGTAAATGGTTCTCCGGAAATCTTGTGAACCTCCGATCCCAAAACCACCAATTAGAAAGCCCTCACGTAGATATAAAAAAAGAGCAGCTTGATCTGTTGTGATTTGGACCGCTAATACAGCCACAGTGTCTCCCCACCTCAAACATGGAAATGCCGAGGGAGGCAAGGATCATGATTGTATTTTCATGTGAAGTGCAATCTCGCTTGGAGGAACGTTGCAATCATAATGTGTCAGTCACTCCTTTGTATGAACTCTCTGTCAGCACCACTTACCATGAGGTACAAGGAAAGAATTGATCAGCATCGAAGGGAGGGAAAAGGGAGAAAAGGTAGGCTTTGGCGATAGTCATTTGGTACGGAGTAGATGGGATCTAACTCATGCAAGGATCCGGCAAAAAAAAAAAAAAAAAACTGATGGAGGATAATATGAAGCCATTGGTAATCACGCGAGCTTCGATTGATTCGCATGCATGCCATTAATAATTACGTGAACACCTCGTGTCTCAATCCTCCCGCTCGGTAGTAATAGTAGTAGTACCTTTTTTTCTCCTGCAAAATGACAAATTCACCTGCAGCCCGAACCCAGCTGGCAACGAGCAGACTTGATCACATGCCCATCATATCCGCGAAAACGAATATGAAACATTTGGATCCAGGTCTCAATGAGGGAGTATTGAAACGATCGTAGCACCAGCTTCAGCCAAAGAAAGGTGAGGTATAACGTTCAAAATCTTGCGAAAGCCGAGAGCCTAGTCTGGTATAACTGAAACAACTCCGACGACTCCGACGAGGAATGTCACTCTAGGGGGGGAAGGGGAAGTTTCCACCCAAGTCTGCTACCATCACGGGACAGTAGCAGACGAGGCAATCACTCTCTATCCTGGCACGCGGACGATGGACAGCTAGCATTCTGGTGTGGCTAGGGAGGTGTCGTCTCAGCCGCGCATTTGTTGACTGTTCTAGGACTAAACTGTATGTAAGCCATCTGCACGAACCCGCCGGCAATCACACAGGAAAGTGGGAGTTTCAGCTCAAACCCGGGAATGGCCGCACCCTCTCATCGAGTTAAGACCTTCAGCTCGTGGTCAGCAATGGGCAACGGTTGTCCTCTCCCAACTCTGCTCGCACGACCGGGGGGAAAACGCCGCAACAAACAGCCTCATTACGGTACGAGGGGCATTCTTGAACCGATCGATGATGAAGAAGATACGGTATGTCATGTGTTCTTTTTCCCTATGAGGGTTGACAAGAAGGCAACGGTGACACAGAGGAGATGACAGTCTGCGTGATGGCGAGGGGGGGAAAGTGACTCCGACTCGGGGTCTGATCAGCTGACGCCGGACTGCCTCAAATCAATCCCCTTCGTTCCCTCGACCCTTTCACCGCAGCCCACATGAGACTTTGGGCTAGGGCTGAACGCAACACCCAAAGAACCGGGTAGGCCGAGTTTGACAACATCCTCCGAGTGTGACGGACTGGGAAAATGGAAGGTTTGGAGCAGTGGAAAGAAGGTAGAACACTGCAGGGCAGGCTGGGGGGACCCTTTTCCGACATGTGTGGTGATTTTCCCTCGTACAGGATGCGAGACCAACTGAATTGTAAGTCATTACTACATAGCAACTGATGGAGGGGGATAAAGCTAAAGACAGAAAGAAGGGGGAAAATAAGGACAAAGAAGACAAAAAGTCTGGGCATTGCAATCTGCAGTCCGAAAAAAGAAATCCTATGCGCCTAGTTGAATCTCTGCATCCCTCGCTCCTCCTTAAGCAAAGCAAGCATACATGAACCATACGACCCGACTATTCATTCCAGGACACCACCCAATGTGAAGATCCCCCCCCCCCCCCCCAAGCCCCCTCCCTACACTCGTTTATTGGCCGCTCTAGTTGAAGAAGTCGGGAGGCAGGGAGGCCAGCAGAGCAATGGTTCCGAGACCACCCACCACGGCACCGACCAAGGCAGTGGCAGCATGACTTATGTAACCCCTCGCATGAGGAGCTTCATTCTCAACTCTTGCCTTTTTGCGCAGGGGTTCTTCGCTCCGGGAAAGAGGGCTGACGGGGGGTTGTGAGGCCTCAGCTTCTTCGTTCGCAGAGGGTTTATCTCCGGTAGAGGAAATAGCGCTGAGTTGCGATAGATCGACAGGCCCGGAAATGTTCTGTGGTTGCGCATCCTGGGACATGGACATGGCATTGTCGGGGGCGCTGTGCACCTGGGACTCAATGGGCGCAGAAATGATAGAATCCATCTCCATCTCGGGAGCCTTTCGCTTCAACGTGACTCGTGGAGGGTCGGTGTGCTCCGGATCAGTAGCATCAAGGATATCCGCAATTGAGACTCGCGTGTGAACTTTCGGGGCTTGGACAGATGGAAGGGAGGCATTGTTGTCCCTGGGAGTGGTGGTATCATGAGAGTGGGTTGGTGATATGAATGTAGACAGACACGGCATGCTGTTTCGAACGCAGGCGTATCTCTGGGTATGCTTTGTGAGGTCTCCGGCCCAGGGATCGCCGATACTTGAAGGTCCAGCAGTGCAGGTCATATTAGGAGCAGAAAGGCCCGAGACCACGAATGGGCCATCGTGGTAGGTGGGCACTGGGTTTTGCCGCGGTGGAAATGTTGTCTCGTAGGGAACCGCACTCTGCGGATGAGGCGCCCATTCTTCCAGCGCCGTTTTGAAGTGGCCGATGCTCGAAGCACCAGGCACAGGAGGTTCTACTGGTCTTTCACAAGGAGGCTGAGAAAGATCCGGCTTGTAACCTGGCACTGGCCAGAAGACAGGAGCCTGTGACTGAGCGACCTGAACTGTAGGCTCTATTGCGTTTGTGGAAGAATCCTTGAGCTCTTCGCCTGCTTTGAGATAGGCAGAATGATCCTTGATTGAATGCTCACTCCCACCATTGGAGTCATGGGAATAATTGCTCTCATTTTCGACGTCACTGTAAGGTTCAACGCAGGGCGGAGGGTAGGCTGCAACCTCGGAAGGGCTGCTTGAAGCCATCGACTCGGCATCATCATCTGAAAGGGGAGGGCACCAAATTATATAATCACCCTCATCCTGCGAGTCATCCTCACTGTCAGCAATTGAAACTTGCTCATCGGGCGTTTGAGCCTCTGCAGAATTTGTGGGAGGGGTCGATCTTGGTGTCACAAGTGGTTGATCGCCATCAACAACAATTGGACTCTTTTGTGACCCTTCAGCATCCGTGATCTGCTCCTGTCCATGAGTGGATGATGCCTGCGGCACCTCATTGAACATTCCCTTGGAAGATCCCGTAGGGGCCTCGCCGACGTCTGCTGCATCTTGATTGGGAAGAGAGGTGGCTGGGCTGGTTTGGTCCAAAGGGTCATGGTACTCTAGATCAGTAGGAAAACTTGATTTCTCGATCTGGAAGACATCAATGCCGATCGATTTCGCACGGACTGAGGTGGATTCGATGTCCATGATTTCGCTATCGCTGTCGGAGTCATCATCAGGAACAGAGAAGCTGTTCATCGCTTTTTTGATGAGAGGTCCATCCTGTCTGGGGTCGCTGTCAACCAAGTCAGTCAATGCTGCTAGGCAAAATGGTAGATAAGAGGCTAAAGGGGGGAGGCTATTACCTGTCCTTGAACCACTGGCATTCGCAACGAACTTTGAGAGGTTCAAATGTATCTGCACCACGAGTCACAACAGTACCGAATGTCAGCACGTCGCCGCTTGCAAGCGGGACATCTAGACCACTGGCGATCTTCATATCATTCAAATATGTACCATGCATGGACTCATAATCGCGGATGTAGACAAACTGCAAGACCAAACCAATATCAGCATACAGCGGCCCCCAAGGACGAAGCTGAAGAGACACACCTCCATATTTGCGGACGTTCCCAATCGTGCATGCTTCCGAGACATCACTCGAGAATCAAACCATGCGTTATGATGAGCAGGAACCAGGTTCTTGGCCTCGCGCTTCGAAGACCGACCGATATCGACATATTTGCAGTCGGTCGAGAGGGTGAGGGAGCGGAAGGGGAACTGATCGGGCTTGAAAAGAGGGTGGAGGGTGATGACAACTAGTCCCAGGTGATGGTCAGCCAAGTCCACCAAAGCAATACTGTGCACAATATTGCCTTTCGCGTACCTTGTTTGTCTGCCATGATGGCCGCTCGTATCACCGAAGACGCCGTCAAGGAACAAGGAAGAGGAGCAGGTCTCTGAGGAGTGTAGATATCAGGAAGGTGTGGCAAAAGTGGCAACAACTCGAGGCTCCCATCAAAGGTTGCTTTTGTAGGCGAGAACTTGACAAGATGTGTCCAAAATGAGACAAGCAAATGCTTACCTTGTAGTCGTACAGTTTCAAGGGCGTACTGGTCCTACCGAGGGTCCTTACCTATATTGACAGGTCAGATTAGTACTGGCAGAAGTAAAAGAGAAAGAAGTACCTTGTAGTCGACCAAGTGATGACGATATCAATGGAAAGAGCACCTTGAAGAGGGGTAATCCAGATGATAAACCGTGGTTGGAGCGGTTGTTACCTAGACTTTCCCTCCCTCTCAGCAAGAGGTGGGCGGACAGCTAGTTAGGTACCAGTAGGTACCTACCTAAGGTAAGTTCCAGGTTGCCTGCCACGGTGCCCTCTCAGTGACTGGTCAGGACTGCAGCCACCTCGGATTGGGTAGCAAAGACAAATAGGTACGATTTGACGATTATATCCGATTCAAGGGGGGAAGTAAACTGGCTCTCAGGCTTGGACAGCACAAGGCCACCAGCGTACAACAGGCCGATAGAGTGACCGATAACTGTAGCGTCGTTCGTGGAGCGATAAGGGGAGCCCACACCGTTGGAAGCCCCGGGGGTTTTTTCAAGGAAGAGAGAAGATGAAGGCAGAAGTAAATGAGGATAAAAATCTTCTGGAGACAGAAAAAGCTGTGAGTGTTGCAGAGATTTGGATTCGATTTGTCTCAGCAGATGATTGAGGGTACCTAAGGGGCGCTGATGCCTGCGATACGCAATGTCCATTACAGCATCCGGGAGTCGACTGATAGGCGGGAACAGGGCGGGGGTTTGCGCTGTTTGTCCCTCGAGTTCATGTGACGAGGCTGTGCCTTGTTCGTCAGGAATCCATGGAAAAAGGGCAAGTGAATCAAATAATTCATAAGGGAGGGTCTAGATCGCATCGATACTCCTCGGATTGCTATCCTATAATATAGTACACGGGGGCTCTCCCTTTCACTGCCAGTCGAATCATCAAAAAAAGACATGCAACATTGAGTCCATCCGTGCCATGCCATACCTCCCCGACTCGTTCAAGATGGTCCCTACCTATGCAGAAAACGACCTCCAACCAGCATGTTGGAAAAGGGGACGCGGAAACGTTCAACAGTCCTTTTTGAAGTTGCGGAAATCAAACGAAAGATGGGAGTCGCACACTCGAAATGAAAAACGAAAGGGGCATTAAATGGGACACACAAAAAAAAAATTACACAGGCAAGAAGAAGTCCGTTCCCAAGGCGCCGCTGAGAACATCAGAAGAGACCGGAATCAAGAGGGTGTGGTGTTGATTAGACAGGCGTAGGTTCGTTGTCCACATGCTTTCAGAAAGAAGCGACATGGCGAAGACGGGTGGAAAAAAGAGATAGGGGGAAAATAAAGAGAAGGAGAACGCAGATCCCAGACGCCGATGTAGAGACATCGAGTCGATCAGAGAAGAGAGTTTCTATTCCAAAAATAAAAAGACGGTTGGGTCTGGTGGTGAGCGAGTGGCTCCAAGTTTGTTTGTTTTTTTTTTTTTTTACAAACCCGGAGGGCCACCCAGACCGGCGCCCATGCCTTGAAGGCGAGCAGCCAGTTGCGGGTACTTCTCCTGGACCTCGAGCTGTGTCCGGGTGGCCTCGGCGTATGAGATGGCGTTGACAATCTCGGCTTCAGTACGAGCCAACTCGGCGGCCCGCTCGAAGTACTTGAGAGCCTGGGAGACCTTGCCCTGCTGGAGGAGAAGCTGGGCCATAGTGCCCACAGCAATGTCGCACTCAGGGTCAACTAGATCGCTAATTAGTATCCTGGAGAAGGAAAAGAAAAAGAAAGAAAAAAGGAAAAGACTAATGAATGGCTCAAACATACTGATAAGCGCCTTCTGGCATAGGTTCTCGGCCTCCTGGAAGTCGTGCTTCCACTGGAAGAGCGCAAGGGCCTTGTTGATCAGAGGCAGGACATTGATACCCATGGGCTTGTTCTGCTTCTCCATCTCGACAGCCTTGTCGAACTTCTCAATGGCCTCGGAGAAGTTCTGCTGGTCGAGGAGAAGCTCGCCGTAGTAGTTGTAAACGTCGGGCACATCCTCGAAGTTCTTGACCGACCGTCTGAAGGTGGCCATAGCCGAGGCAACAGAGCCCATCTTGTACTGGGTCACTCCCAGCTGGATGTGAGAGTAGATGAAGCTGCGGTCCAGGTCAATCGACTTTTGGTAGTCCTTGGCAGCCTCGGCGAATTCTCCGAGGATGAAGTGAAGCTGGGCACGGTGGTAGTAGATATCAGGGTCGTCCTTGTTGTGGGTAATAGCAAGCTCGAAGTCATCCGCGGCGGAGTCCTTGTTACCTAAGACTGGGTCAGATACTGAAGGAAAAAAGTACAATAGATTGGAAGAATATAAGTGGGACTTACCCAACTCAAGGTGCAAGCTGGCGCGTTTGATGTAGCTCTGGACCAGCGACGGCTGCAACTCCACACTCTTGTTGAGGTCGGCCAGCGCAGCCTGTGCATTGCCTTCGAGATAGGTGAAAGTGGCCCGCAGGTTGAGGGCCAGGGCCTCAAAGTCGCCGAGGTCGCCGATTTCAAGGGCCTTCTCAAATGAAGCAGCCGCCTCATCGTAACCCTCGGCAGTCTTCTTGTCCATGGCGAGAAGACCCTTGCGCAGCAGTCCCTTTCCAGAGTCCTCGCCCAGTTCAGCGGACTCGGCCAAGCCCTCCGGGATGGGACGAGGGCGGAAGCTCTGGAGGTAGTTGGACACAAAGGTCGGGCTCGGCAGCTTCTTACCCTTAGCTTCGAGAATAGCCTTGGCCTTCTGCTCCGCGACCTTCTTCAACAAACGCTCAAGGGCGACTCGGCTGGTTTCGTTGCTGAAGCCGTCGAGGATGCAGCTGGCGGTGAAATCGAGCAGCGCCTCGCTGAACTTTCCGAGGTGCTCATAGGCAATCGCTCTCCGGTTCAAGGCCTTGACGTACTCACTGTCCATCGCAATGGCCGCACTGGTGTCCTCCACAACCTTCTCCCATTCGGACAACACATTGTAGCAGGCGGCGCGGTTGGAGTAGAAGACAGGGTCGGGCTTGCAGATGATGGCTTTGCCGTACAGCTCAATGGCCTTGTTGTAGTCCTTGGAGCCGTAGGCCTTGTTGCCAGCAGCCTTGAGCTTCGCAGCGTAGTCCTTTCGGGTCTGCACATAATCCAGGGTCAGTCCCATTGCATTTTTTTTGCTGGCTGATCAGCCAACCCTTTGCTCAACGCACCTCTTCCGACAATTCTCCCACGGTCGCCTCATCCACATCCGGAAGCTCCTCAACGGGCTTCTCGGTCTTCTTCTCCGCGGACTCTAGATTGGATATCAGTTCTACATGCTCGGGGAGAGATTGAAAAAAAGAAATTCTGGCCCTGTTTGGGCGTGCAAATCCCATCCACGTACCGTCTTCGACCGACGCAGCCTTGGTCTTCTTTTCCTCCTCGGCCTTCTTCCTCTCGCGCTCCTTTTCCTTGCGTCTCTCCTTCTTACTCTTCTTCTTCTCTCCGGTGGCAGGTGGTTGCTGTCCGGCTTTGCTCGAGTCCGACAGATAGTACACCACGCCGGCGCTCGTCACCACGACCGCGACTCCAGCAATGGTATAAACAAGGGCCTTGTTCTCCGACACCCACTTCGAGATGCGGTCCCATACCGACGCTGACGACGACGCAGGCAGTGCCGATGTGTCGAGGACCACGTTCTGTGGCGGCAGCGTCACCGGTAATTCGGTCGACATGACGATGTGCTTAGGGAGGGAGAGAGAGAGAGAGCTTGGGGGTTCAGGACGAAGGAGCCGGCGACAGCCAGTAAACGCGAATCACGCAGGAATCAGAAAGAGCAGTCCCGATTGAGCATACGCAATAACGCTCACACGAAGATCAGACCGGTCTGGAGATGCACAGCAGACGCTGTAGGCGCTTGGAGGATGCTGGGGGGGTTGAGAGGTGATGCGACCAGCAGTGAAAACTTATCCAGCCTTGATTATCCGGCGGCCGAGATGTGCTCAGCTGTCCTGCGCCAATCACGGCCAGCAGCTTGATTTCTCCACATCGTCAATGGTTCGATGGCAAACAGGATGGATGATGGTCGTCGAGGTTATTTGATTTATCTTTGGGTTTCAAACTACTTGGATTGGGGTTCTTTTCGATCTATGTTGTAATGTGGTTGATTGTGGTGTCTGGTAAAGCTGGCCACATTGACTGGGCTGACTGTCCTACCTCACTGTTGAGGATATCGTACCACAGGACTTTTTAATTAGAGAACTGACGGCCAACAAAATGTCCACGACCTCTGCATTCCAGATCTTCTCCTCGCTCCGTTACGATCCTGCTCTTCCTGCAGAGACAGAGCAGCCAGCGACCGCCTACCCCGACCCGCGCGAGTCCCCCTACTACCTGCTGCAATACCACCGGGATCGTCTGCTTAACGCGGCCAGAGAATTCAGATGGGACCAAGCGATTGAATTTTTACAGCAAGATGCCGGCCCGCTTGCGAGATTGCTGGATACCCACATTCCAGACACTTCGAAAGCATGGCGGCTCCGGATTGTGGTCGACTGCAACGGGGTCTGCGTCGTTGAGGTGCATCCGACCGCGCCGATGCCTCCTTCGAACCTGCTCGTTCCGATACCATCTCTCCCCCATCGATTAAGCTCACCAGACGATATATGGCGTGTCTACGTGGACTCTGCGTCGACAGTCCCGTCTGAGTTCACCACGCACAAAACCACTGCACGGGATGGATACACTGCCGCCCGGCAGCGAACGGGAATTGATTCTCCCGCAGAGCTCGCAGAGGTGCTGATGGTGAATCCAGAGGGTGAAATAATGGAGGGAAGCATTACTACACCATACTTCCTAGCACGGAATTCTGGGTCTGGGCAGGAGAGCGAGGTTGGCTTGACTCCACGATGGATCACTCCGCCGCTGGCCAGTGGTGGCAACGCGGGCACAACGAGGAGATATGCTCTGAAAAATGGCTTCTGCACGGAGCACAGAATCCTAGCATCCGAACTGGTTGATGGAGAGCCGTGCTGGCTCAGCAACGGAGTCAGAGGTTTCTTGCAGGGAGTCATAGTCCTGAAGGATCATCATAAATGAATGTCGTCTAGTATGACTATGTGGAGAATTGAAAGATCCTCTTCTGATGCAGCTAGCTGGAAGCTAGTCAGTATCAATTCATTGGCAGGTTGATACCAGCAGTCTGTCTTTTACCCTCACCCACTCAAGCTGGCCATGCAAGGTGGAAATCTCTGGCCGCCTTGTTTTGCTGGATCTGATGATCTCTCGGAATTTAGACATGGCAATTCGACCTGTCTTGGATGCAGGACTTGTCAACAGAGTTTGCCCATCCTGGGTGTCTCTGATGTGTCCTCCATCTTCAAGCTGATTGTACATATCCATCTCACTACCTGAGCACACTTCAAGGTGCAACTCTCACTGGAGCGGAGGTACCTCCAGGGACTTGGTTCCCCTGTATTGATTCTTCTACTCCGGACTACATAGGTGTAGACTCACTGTAGAATAGCCATCCAGAAAACAGGAGAAAGGCATCACCTATCATATACATTCAGGAAGAAATAGTTGTATGTGAAAGAATCATACCTATTCTAATTGATAGGTATTTTAATCTATAGGAAGCTCGTCGCCTCCAGCTGACACCTCATGACCGTCTGATGACGATTGCCATGGATAAGCCTGAGAAAGAATAGCTCTGATTGGCCAGAAAACAGACTTCCACGTGACCATATCACACCCCCGCGTTCCTAAAACGGCTAGCCTCGAAGTTTTCCAGTACTACATGGGGGATCTCGGAGCCGGCGGTACCGATTAGTCCGGGCCAACCCAGAAAGAAAGAAAGGGCAGAAGAAGAGAGCAGACGACCTCCGTCAACGGAACTGCCAGCCAGCCCCAAGTCTCCTTTTTTTTGCCATCTTCCCACGCCATTACAAACCTCACGCCGTGTGGACTCACTGTATGCCTCTTACGCTGTGACGATGAAATTCTTCGAGAACATATCTACCTATGAGTACTCCTTTCCCGCCGTCTCGCTAGCCTATTTCCTCCGGTACCCGAACCCCTACTCTCGCCATGTCCTGACGACGGATGTGATTGAGCGCTACGTCGATCCGCAGACGGGCCGGTTGCACACGACGCGGCTGCACCTGAAGAAGTCCAAGGTGCCTGCCGGGATCCTCAAGCTGCTTCCCAAGGGGATTGGCGGGTCCGACAGTTCCGGCCAAAGCTACATTTTGGAGACGACTGTCGTTGACGCCCGCGAGGGCTGGATGGAGACTGAGTCGCGCAATATGGAGTGGACGGGGATTCTCAGCGTGGTGGAGAAGCAGCGGTACCAGCGCGAGGTGCTGGAGGGAGAGGGAACAACAACAACAGCAGCCCAGGGGGCCGACGAACGGACCAACGTCAAGACGACGGTCACCTTCCGTTCTCGGTTTGGACAGGGTAAGTTGCTGGGAGGGCGGAGCCGGTCGGAGACGGCCACGCCGTCTTCCAAGGCGGAGGACGAAGCTCCGAAGCGCGGGTTCTTCGCTTCGCTGTCCACGGCCGGCGTGCAGCGCACGATCGAGCTCATCGGGCTCAACCGGACCCGCGATGCCATTCTCTCCAGCAAAAAGGGGATGAATATCGTTCTGGAGCGCCTGCGTCACGGTGGGATTGTTGGTGTGCTGGAGGGCATGCGTCAGGACCGCGAGGCGGCGTTCGGTCCCGACGGTCCCTGGAAACGGGTCTGGCTGCACGGCAGCGGCAGTCATGCGGAGGAAGACGACGGCTGATTGGAGTCAGTCTAACCTCTGCCACTCATTTGTATCTTCTTCTTCTTCTTCTCCCTTGGGAATCGCCTCTCGTCTGCATATTTCGATCAGGGTTTGATTCTGCATTCAGCATGGAGCTCAGGCGTTGTGTTTGTGTTTTTCTCCTTTTCTCTTTTTGTGTGTGTGAGTGTGTCTTGGATGAAAACTCTCCTTTCTTCTTCCTGTGGAGTCTGAAAACAGGACTTCTCTTCGATATGTATTTGAACCCACGAAAGAAAAGCCGGGTGTATATTATAGGGAAAATGGAGGTGGTGGCTTCACTACCACCATGTACAATACAATTACTTACAATTAAGATCCAGACCTAGTATCATCTAAAACAGTTGCATTACAAAGCCATGGTTTATAAGCATCATTTGACGTGCAATGAATGCAGGGATCGACGCAAAAACTGTAGAAGAACTAACCTAGGAATGAGGGTATGATCTGGGGGGAGCGCAGTGTATAAATCATGTCTCTACTCGCTGCGTTTATATGACGGAAAATAAGAACCACTACGACGGATCTATCCTCAATACTCAAAGAGGAAATGTGTTTGGATGGCAGTTTGGCAGAGTCTGGGCGAGAATGATAGTACATTCATATTGATAACACTTGATGACGACAAAGTTGACCAAGAAACAATTTAATAGAATCGGGAATGAAGGAATATAAGTGAACTAATATCATGGAGAAGAATGACCCCCCCCCCCCCCATTACAGACTTCCCCCATGGGACGCTCTTCAAGAAACGCGAGGGTCAGATGGTGCAGATCCAGAAATACACTGTCCAGCCAAGCTCAATGCACTAGCTTTTCCAGAACCTGCCAGACCAATGGAAAGAAAGAATGGGAAGAACTGGAGGACGAGGAGGTCGGCTGTCAGGAGAAAAGAGAGGGGGCAGAGATGCGGTGGCAGGCGGCTGAACTTGAGGGACCAGAATTGGGGACACAGTAGACGCCATGGGCGAGGGAGATTTGGACAAGAAGGGGAAGTAGAGGAGGAAGATTGGGGAGAGGAAGATGAGGAGAAGGAAGAGAAGGAGAGTTATCAGGTGACAGTCAGGTGAAGACTGAAGTCAGGTGAGGTCAGGTGGTCTTGGGGTGAGGATGATTCTGGGTCTCTTCGCTTTTCCTATTGAATGTCCTTCCTCTGGTGTTTACTTGCGCAACTGACTCTAGCTATTCAACAACCCTGAGGCAGTGAATAGCCTCAACACTCGAGCAATATAAAAGGCCTTTCCATCTTCAAAATGGTTGTTCTTCATCATTCTCCCTTTCTCATCCCTTACCATCTACTCATTCTCTTCTCGTTAAGTTTCCAGGATGGATCCAATTACCGATGAAGATCGCCACAAGATCTGGGCGAGGTTGCCTGACTTGAACATCGGCCATAGATACCTAACAACCGTCTCAAGACAGGCCAAAAACCTTATCCATCTATCTCAAGTCAGGGCATGGCCAAACTTTTGCAATGATGTCCGCAGGTACACCAGTCGCTCTGACGTACTTGGTCAATTCCCACCAGTTGGCGGTGTTCAGGTAGCCTATCGCCGGGAATCCTATCCCGTCGGCAACGAAGCTGGTGTTACTGGCCGTTGGGTCAGTAACATAGCAATGAATGTAAACGCTGTTGCCGAGAAACTGCTACTGCCCAAGTTCGCGGATTATCAATTAGGTAATAACGGCCCAAGAGGCTGCAGTGTTGATGATTCTCCAGGCATCATTCTTCTTAAAGGAGGATCACGGACCGTTCTGGTAGGGGAGTTCAAGACTCCTTGGACTACGGACTTGAGCGTTCGAACGACCAACGACGAAAAAATCGCTAGACTATGGGGTATGTTTCCGTGGAGGCCACTTAAAAGCTTGATGCTAAATGCAACTAAATAGGGCAAATCACAAATTACATGGATAGCTGTAGGTGCCGGTATGCAATTATGTCTACATATATGCAAACAGTCTGCATCCGGCGGACAGGAGACTATTCATTTGAAGTATCCCCAGTTATTCACCATAACATACAGTCTCTTCCAGTTATATCCAGCCAGAGTCCCACAATCAGCGTTCGCGAAGCCTTACTCTATATGGCATACCTGGCTGGAGACGGAGAGGGCGACTCGGCCTTCTCGAAAGTGGTGGGCAATCTCTATGTAAGTGTCCCGAAGTATGGACAGAACAGAGCAGCTGCTTATATTACTCACCCAGCGTCCTGTACTTGCTCCTAAGCAAGGTTTATTTGATCATATTAGTTAGCTACTCTATTGGGGTTTCTGATGCAGTAAAATATGTCAGAGGTGCGTGCCTGATTAGGCTTAGCGTCGCCTCGTTTGGCGCGGCCACACCACATAACCACCTGCTTCGCGTCCGAGCTGTAGTAGTAATAGCAACCATTAGCCATCTCTTCCCTTTTCTAGGCCTACTAGGCCAACATGGTAGCATATTATTTAAAAAGATAGAGTATACTATATTTAATAAATTCTTATTTATTTAAGATCTTATCTAAGTGATATTAATATCTGCAAAATAATAGGTGATATAAGTAATATAAGTAATATAAATAGTTCCCCTAGGGCCAAACATGTTCAAAAAAGACCAATAATAATTAAATTTAAAAAATCCACACCTACCTAATTAATAAATTAGATATTAATAGGCCTATATAATAGGAATAGAACTAATTAAAGGTTCACCTAATAAGTAGTAGCTATATTAATAATTAAAGGCATTAATTAGGCGACTAAAATTATAGATAGTTAGCTTATTCTAGATACTATTAAGAAGTTATAAGATAAAGAGAATATTAAATATTAGGAGGACTATATCTAGTAAGTTCTTAAAGCTAATAACTTAAAGAATATTATTTATAAAGATATACCTAGACTAGTAGAGAATTTCTATAAATTTAATAAATAAGATTATATATTATAATATATAAAGCTCTAGCTGGCACTATTAATTAATAAGAATATTTAAAGTAAGGTTAAGATATCTATATTACTATAAGTATATATAAATAATTTCTATTATACTATTCTAATAAGTATTAAAGAAATAGGTGTTTATTAGGCCTCTTATAACTTTAGGAAACTAATTAAGATATATTATTTAAATTATTTAATAATTAAAGAATTTATTTAGGATCTTATTAAGAGTTATAATACTACTAATC